CGCGTTTGAGGGCGTGGCTTAGCCATAGGTCAATTAGCATCAAGCTAATCACATCGCAAGCAGATCGCAATGTTTGAGAATTTATAGAAATGCTATTCTGTATAAAGCTGTATTTAGTGAACGTGTTAGATTAAACCTGTGTCTGACCCCAATGATAACAAGCCATTGTAATTACAGTCATTTCAGAGACCAAAAGCCTCATCTTGAAAGCAGAAGAAAGAGTGTCTGAAATCAGGGAGAAAGGAGCTGTCGAGTCGAACACCTTTCACCTCTGTGTGACCAGCACTGATCTGCAAAGGCAAATAACGCTACCGATAGCTTGTTGCTAAAAAGTGGATGCATTTGAAATATTGCTGCAATAACAGGAAGATTTATATAATTAACAGGTTATCCAATTTGTCAGCCGTTATTTCTGTAACATTATCAGATAAAAATCTACTACCCCTTTGCTGTCATTATACGCATCATCATATTTCACACAGAAGACTTGCAGTGATTTGTCTACATTTCAAGTCCAGTGTGATTGTTGTGGCCGATCATCAGTCCATCTGACCTGAATCAAAATCTCTTTATCGGTGTCACTTTTTTCACTTTCATTTGTAGGCGGTGTTGATTGTGTTCTCTGATATTTAAACCCACAGGACAGAAACAAAGCAGAAGTCAAACCACAACTATGAGCTCAACTCTATTATTAGGCCTCTTAAACTAAAAACACTCTCTGTCATATTCTCTCCACAATCTCAAACAATTTAACGTTAGCAATACATCTTCAATGATGAGCTGAATGAAGCCTCTGTCAATCAGGTGATTTGCTGTGACTCTGTATTTTCATTTTTAACCACCAATGGCCTCCGAAAATGTAGTCCCACTTTACAAGAGCGTCTATTTTAGAAACAAACGCTTTGACTTCCGCTACAAGGTACACCTCTAAACCACACCATCAGAGAGAAACAACTGCAGACCTCGCTTTGCGAACATTAAGGCCATTTATATAATACAAAGGGCTGTCAATGTTTTTATCATTATTTTTTACAGTCATTAAACACATCTGTAGAAATATATATAGCCAGTGAGGTGGTTAACAGTAGAGGACATGGCGATTTAGAGGGTTTTAAGCAGGAGCTCGAAAGGAGACGTCGAGATAGGCTTTGGGAAATTAGATAATGCATATATCACTTAGTAAATATGAACCAAAAGGAATTACTAAAACTTAAACCACTAAAGAGTGACAAAAAAAATGGATTCAGGAAACAAAACAGGCAACTTCAACTTTATGAAATGCAATAAGAACGTAGTCGGAGTAGTGAGGATAGCTAAAAGAAGCACCAAAGAGGAAAATATTTTAACAAACAAACCAAGGCAAACCAAGCTTAATAAAACTTTAAAACTACTATTTGTCATATTACGTCTTATTGTTTCTTAATTACCTTAATCAATTATGGTCTTCAAAGTATTTGTTTGTACTTTTTTATTTATGACATTTAGGGCTTTTTTATTAAAAAAAGTTAACCATCGACATCTAAAACCAGGACTCGGGGCTTACGAACACCAGGCTAAAGCGTCCGTCCAAAATGTCACAGTCATCGTGCACACCGAGCTGCCCAGCACAAACTCCCAACCTTCCTGTATCCTTCACTTGGTCCTCCGTTAATGCAACAAGAGGGGAGACGACAACAACTATCAGCTTTGCATTCCCATCGTTCGCCTTAGCTAACTCATTCACCACTAGCGGAGTGAGCTGGAAAATCAAACTTTCCCCGAACCCCGTGGGGAGGAGGGCCACAACATCATGGCCACCAACAAAACTTAGCAAACATTGTTCTTGCTCCGGCTTTAAATTCTGTATATTCGGCAGTTTTCCAACAACGGACCGAATAGCTTTTCTCACGTCTTTCTCTGCTGCCATAACTCAAACTACATCAACGTCATCGTTCTCAGCCACTCCCTCTATTCGCTGATTGGTCCTACAAAAAAAAAAAAAAAAAAGATTTCTGGAAACCTAAGAATATACAGAATTGTCATAACTTCCTATCTCCACAGCGCTTGTTAGCTTAGCTTCCAAACAAGATGGCTGATATTGATTTCAGTCTCTGCAAGTGAAGTCCCACCCTCTGAACTGTAATAGGCCTGTAGGGTGAGTGGGTCCCACACCCTTGAATTATGAGGAGCTAATGTTTGTAGTCTCTACACTTTTTAATTAAATGTGACTTCCTGCTAATTATGACGCAAAATGGCGATTTTTACGTCATAACAAGCAGGAAGTAACACTTGAATCCTTATTTCTCCCATTTCATGGGAAAAAAAGGGAATAAACCATGACCATTCAAAAATATGACGGGGTTTCTAAAGATACAAGGCTTAATGCAAATGGGTGAAGTGTCCCTTTAAGTCAACACACACACAAACACACGATATTCAGATGAACAGCAAGCTCATGTTAGCCTGGATGCCAGACAGAACTCCGCCCACAACATTTTTTGGTCGGGAAGTTCGGTCTGGACTCGATCCATTGAGGAGTAATTATGATCAGGAAAGAAGTGTTCAGGCCAATCAAATTGCCAGGGCGGGCTTTATACGATGATGGACAGATGATCTGCAAAGACGTAATCATCACGTTATCAAACTGGTTTCCCTCAAAGAGATATATAGATTCCGCTGTCGCGTCTGTTGCGAAATAAATCGACAGCGCATTCATTTTAATAGACAAACAGAAAACTGCAATCAAGGCATTTGACGATCGGAAAGATATTTTTGCCGTCCTTCCTACATGATTCGGCAAAAGTGTAACTTATCAGCTGGCTCTGACGGTTGTTAAGAAGATGGGACGTAATGAAAAGCCTGTGGTCGTTGCGGTTTCTCCTTTGGTCGCACTCATGGAGAATTAAGTAAAAGAAGCAACACTCGTTATTTATCTTCTAAAATAAGTAAGTTCTGTAGTTGACAACTGTGCTATGGAAAGTAGTTGACTTACTGCGTTGCTCTGATTGGTTGTAGATTTACCGACTATCCAATTGAGTGCAGAGTTTTTATTTTTTCCTGGTTCGGTTAAGACACGCCTCATAATCAAAGCCCTATGGAGCAGTTTCAGACTCACATTCTGACAAGAATATGAGTATGACGAAATCAGGCTAAGCTCATGTATTAAGTGGTAAAAACCCTAGTGTTATCAGTGCAGAAAACACAAAGATAAAGTTGGTTAAATTGGTAAAACTTATATACCACAGCGGAAGAAGAGTTGAAATCATATCGACTCGTTGGCAGTGACTGAAAAAAAGAGGCGTCATTTTGAACTGAGTCATAAATATCTCTATACATCTAAAGCTGCTCAAAACTGGTGCCATTCCAGATGAATGCATCATGCATGAGACATCTGAATACACATACATAAATATATAGTAAATATACACATACATAAATATATAGTAAATAACATTTAAACAGACTTTAAAATAGAAATGAAAATATTTGGATAAATTATGGTCTACATGTAGGCTTGTACTGGAGAAAGTGTTGAAACATCCATATAGGAGGTGGATGTACAGGAGCTGATGAAGATACTGACCCCAAACTCTCAAACTCGGCGTCAGCGCAGAACCCTGTTACTGTACGTTAAACATGTGGTCACAATGTCCTGGAAACAAAACAAACAGCAAAGTGACAACACAACAGGCCTCGGACGTGTAAAACCACATGTGATGAGGAACCAACAGCTTCAGCAGAGCTAAAACCTGCAGAAAACAGTTAAAAACAGTTAAACAAGCGACTCAAACTAAACTAATTTACTTTAAAACGTTATTTTAACTATTTATTGTGTATGTATTAATAATTTAATACATGAAGTATTCTGCCTGCGGATTATTGTGTGTTGGACCCATTTAGTGAACTCTTGGTTTGTGAGCGGCCCCAGACCAATGGGGTCTGACTATAACTGATCGTCATTGGCTTTCGGAAATGTTGCCATGACAGCAGAATAATGTGTTGTTTATGTTACTGAGCAAATACATTTCTATGTTAATACTGATATTAAAATGAGAATATTTTATTGATGAAATCTGAAGTATCTGTCTGCATAGATGTTAAAATGTTTGTTCCAGTAATCTACGAAACTTTTCTTCTGTAAGCTTGGTTTGTTTAGATTTTAGTCACACATCATTATTAATAATATTAGTAGCCTGTAATGTAGAATATATTAATGAAAAGTTAGTTTATTCCTATAGCAAAGTATATACACAATGGTAATTCAAAGCATTCTGTGTTAAAAAGGAACATAAATATAAAACATTACAAAGTAAAATAAATTAAAGTAAATTAAAACGTAAACTATATACATTACGTGTGTGGTGTCAGTAGCAGAAAGTTCAGTCTTCAGCCAATAGGGTGCTGGCATCCTTTATTTTAAAAGTCATGACGACAGCCCTCTGGTGTAATCATCATCATGTCTAGTGGTGGCAGATCGAGGCTTCGTGAAACAATGAAACAGTTGAAGCAAATGTGCCATATTGTGTCGAGGCTTCGTCGAAATAGTCCGACACCCGTCTCAGCGGTGAGACGTAGTGGTCACATACAGGTGTTGATCTGAAACCACATTGACAAGAAGACATTAAAAATTGTTTTTTTTTTTATTATTGTATTTTTCTAATGTGTGAAGCTTGTAACTGTGCTCCTCTCTGTGCATAATGTTATTTAGGTCATAAAAAATAATAACATTAATAAAATAAATCAAGCCACAATGTCTCACTTATTTATAGATTTTTATTCAAAAATATTAATTTCTCCGCTGTCGAAGGACTTTTTTTGTTACTGATAATTTCTCATATGTAGACCTATAAAATGTATATTCACAAAATATTATATTATGTTGACAACATATAAGCTGTTTTTAACTTTATTGGTAGTTGTGATTGGGAGGTTGATACAGGCCTATGAACTTTCTAAACAGTGCCCCAACATTTTGTTATTATATTTCAATTATAATTATTTCACACAATGCATACCTTGCTTAGATGCAGCAGTGTCAGTAGCAGGCCGAGGCACAGGGGGAATGCTGTCCTCTGCAGAATGGCAGGATGAGTGCTCCTCAAATGGCGCATCCTGGATGATTTATTGCAGTAGGGTATAGCTGCCAATCACAATATTTTACTTTATTTGGGGTTTCCAAATGGACATGCTCCTACACCACAGATGTGCAGCATGTCTTCTGTGCAGCCTCCATTTTTATCCATCTATGTGTGACTTTTGGATTCTTGTTACTGATCTGCCCCACTCTTCATCAACACAGGAACTCAAAATGTGGATGAAAAGCTTTATTTCCTGCACACAGAGCATTAAGAGAGAGAAAATGGCGAATCGTTAGGTTCACAGCTCCACCCACAGCAGTTCTCTATTACTCTGCTCTACTCAATATCATTATGAACATTTCTTGTTCACAGTACATTTGTATCAAAAACAATAAACAAAAATAAAATAATAATGAAATGTAATTATCTCTCCAGTCAATTACATACATACTGTTAACCTTTTTCTGGTTTTGTGATCGTATAGGTTTTGTGATCGTATAACACTTGTATCATCCTTCTTATATAACTCTATTTCGTTTCAGAAAATAACATCTGATAGATTCAGTCAAACCATGAATTACATACATTATAAAACACAGTTTATCCCAAATAATTCCCAACAACACAGAAAATACAACTTTATGAAAAGTAAAATTACAAAAAACTATAAAATAAAACATTTACCTGCACACAGAGCATTAAGAGAGAGAAAATGGCGAATCGTTAGGTTCACAGCTCCACCTCGTTAGAAAGCACATGGCAAATATGACGCAGTTAGAAATCGCAGACATAAAACACTCAAAACACTCATCAATACAGACGGAAAACACTCTTACAAGCTAATATGTGTTTCTTATGAACAATCCATCAAATAATCATAAATCATTTAAGATGAAATTATACATTTTTCAACTTTTAGTGCGGAGCTTACAGGAAACCGACTCACCCACAGCAGTTCTCTCTTACTCTGCTCTGCTGCAGATCGTACGTGCGCAAGGTAGCCTATAGCGCCACCTGCGTATCCTATAGGAAGTGCAATCCCATTGTTGCAGGATTTATTTAAAGAACTCACAACTATATATATATATATATATATATATATATATATATATATATATATTGTGTATCTATTTTTAGGGGATAACAGTCAAAAGACCCAGAACCAGATATGAAGAATGAAGACCCGGAGTCAGAATTATACAAAATTAAAGAAAAGTTTACTGAACATAGTTTTCAGTTTCATCAGTAGAAGTCAGCTTCAAGACTCACTCAGGAGTTCGTAGGCCGCCCCCTTACAGTTACTAAGATCACAGCAGTTATACCATTTTCAAGGTCTAAGCTACGTCATTGCTTACACGTTGAATGATTCTCATTGGCTAAGAAATAGATAAACACAGTAATTTTCCACACATATACAGATAGACGAAGTATACCTCCATCGATGAGGCACGTCATGACCTTCCAAGGTCACAGATTTGGGTTGCTGGCGCCAGTGTGTCCAGAACAACAACTCATTCAACCTCCAATAATGGCAGTGGTTCCTTAACCTGCAACCAAGAAGACTAACACTAAACTTTAGTCTAACTGGAGATTTAACAAAGAAATGGTGCCTTAAACTGTTGGCTTCAATGACCCCTTTATGTTTTAACAATCAAACATAAACCAAATCCCCATTATTTTCACTGTTACCTTATTCACATAGGACACTAGCAAATAAGAGCTCCCATCAAGGCTGAAGAGAGTCTGAGCGGCTTATTAGCGTAGTATAAGTGTACCGAAACATAATGGTAAAACATTCACTCGTTTGGGAGAAAAACAGATAACATTTGCTCCTCAGAAAGCAAATATAATTGAAAGAATACATTTTAATACAACAATTAAAGTTCAATATAGCAATGCTCAATATAGCTTGACCATCTGTACAGAGAAGTATCATATGTGTTGGACATATGTGTTCACGAGTCGATAGATCAATAAGTGTTGAATTATTTGCAGATGACGGCGTTATGTGGAAAAAGGAAAGAAATGTAGAATATATAATGAGGAAAATGTGAGAGGCAATAGGGAAGGTGGAGTGATGGGACATGGTTTTAGATTTTCAGTGGCAAAAACAAAGGCAGTCTTTTTTTCACAAACGAAAATATTTCAAGAACAGATTCAACTTAAAATTTATGAAAGAAACTTAGAGAGAGTGGACTGTTTTAAGTATATCAGGATATGGTTTGACAAAAACTTAAGTGGAAAATACATATCAAGAAAATGTTGTTGAAAAATGTTAAATAATACTAAATGTAACAAGATGTTTGAGATGGCAGATTTGCACCTTTTGGAGTAAAAAAAGAGAGAAGTATTGACAGAATTCAGGGATTTAGAGGACAATTATACAATGTTTATTAAGTTGCATCAGATGACAATACAAGCTGCGTTCATTATACCAGAAATAAATGTTACGTTAAATAAAAGAGTTAATGATAAATTGTCTGTGTTTCCAGTAGAAATGTTGGCTATTATTTTAGTTTGGCTATTAAATAGTAAGGCAAGGCAAACAAAGTGTTAATAGGATCAGATTCAAGTAGTGTGCTAACCAGTTTCAAGAACATGCAGTCAGAAGCAAGACAGTATGTTGGAAATAGCCCAAACTGCATACCAGATCATTAAAGCCTGAGTAATAGTAACATTTATCTGGATTCCAGCCCATATAGTAGTAGGAAATTAATGGGCAGACAAAAAAAAAAAAAAAAAAAAACAGTTGATGTGGAAGTTATAGCAAGGTGGAAGTTAAAAGCGTAATCACAGCAGAAATGAAAAAGGCAGGAGGAGTGGAATATGGAAACTAAAGCAAGGATGTTAGTGATCTGAAGAAGGTTGGAGGAATGAGAGAAAATAGAAATAAAAAGGAAGAGGACATTATTTGGAGAATGATGTTGGGCATACTGGATTAAATGGTACCCTTAAAATAACATGAAACTGGGTTTTGTGAGCAGAATAAAGTGAAACACTGGATCATGTAATTAGTAATTGTTATAAGTAGAATCAGGAAAGGACGTTCCTGAGGGCTAAGCAAAAGTTCATTATAACTTTTTTCATAAACTGAGTTATATTTGTACGCACGTATTTAAAATAATAGTGAGAAAAAGAATGCTGAAAACACACTTAAAAAAAATATATAATAATAAGAAAAATCATCTCTCATTGAGTTATTGAGGTGGCTCTTAAAAGAGCCTTTGGGTTTGTGCTTCTGCGGTGGATTTAAGCGCGCTCTCCGCGGATGCGGCGGGCCAGCTGAATGTCTTTCGGCATGATGGTGACTCTCTTGGCGTGGATGGCGCACAGGTTGGTGTCCTCAAACAGACCCACTAAATAAGCCTCGCTCGCCTCCTGAAGGGCCATGACCGCCGAGCTCTGGAAACGCAGATCTGTCTTGAAATCTTGAGCGATTTCTCTCACCAGACGCTGGAAGGGCAGTTTGCGGATCAGCAGTTCAGTGGATTTCTGGTAACGGCGAATCTCTCTCAACGCCACGGTACCGGGCCTGTAACGGTGAGGCTTCTTAACTCCACCGGTAGCGGGTGCGCTCTTGCGGGCCGCTTTAGTGGCCAGCTGCTTCCTCGGAGCTTTACCTCCGGTGGACTTACGAGCGGTCTGCTTTGTTCTTGCCATTGCTTCAGAGAAGGTTTGTTGACGGCTTTGTTCAGTAGAAAAGTCCAACGAATGAATAGTTTTGTCCAAACCACAGCGCGTATTTATCCCTGGGGCTGCTATGCGCTCATTGGATGGCTTTGCTGCAGAGATATTCGATTGGTTATTGTCTGGCGTCTGTAAATGACAATTGGCCAATGGCTGTGCACCTCCTGTTTTCAAACAAGATACGACAGTTTGTGGTTCCCGCCCAAACATCCTTTGTTTCTCTGTGTACATGAAAATTAAATCAGGTCAAGTTTGTACAAGTTTGTACAGCAAACTTACTTTAGTTGGACTTGTGGCACTAACAGTAAAAACTGAGAGGAGTACCGTAAATACTTAATCACCACGTCGTGTTTATATTTTTGTATTTATATTAATGTGTATTAATATTAATATATCACTTTAAATATTTTTAGCCATGCTGACAAAACTATTTGCACTTCCATTATACTTGATCAAATCCTTACAAATAGTTTAGTGAGAGGGGATAACGATTACATAGATCACTTAATTGGAATTGGGCATGAATTTCTAGTAAGATTTAAATATAATATATATATATATATATATATATATATACACACACAGACTTAAAGGTTAGGGGTCACAATAAATTTCGGGGTTCTTTTCCCCTTAACAATCAGCATTGTATAGTACATTTTATTGTTTTATTATTTATCAAAGGGGACTTGAAAAGTAACTGAAATAAAAGAGACAAATGAAAGTACTCTCTCGGGGAGAAAATGGGTGGCTCTTAAAAGAGCCTTTGGTTTGAAGAGAAACTTCCGTCAGTTTACTTTCCCTTCGCGGGCTTCTCGGTCTTCTTGGGCAGCAGCACGGCCTGGATGTTGGGCAACACACCACCCTGAGCGATGGTCACGCCACCCAGAAGCTTGTTGAGCTCCTCGTCATTGCGCACCGCCAGCTGCAGGTGTCGAGGGATGATGCGGGTCTTCTTGTTGTCCCGAGCGGCGTTTCCAGCCAACTCCAGGATCTCAGCGGTCAGATACTCGAGCACAGCGGCCAAATACACCGGAGCTCCGGCACCGACGCGCTGGGCATAGTTGCCTTTGCGGAGAAGTCTGTGAACACGGCCGACGGGGAACTGCAGTCCCGCCCTGGAAGAGCGAGTCTTGGCCTTGGCACGAGCCTTTCCACCGGTTTTGCCTCTTCCGCTCATTATTACAATCAGTTACTGTTGCTGACTAAATAAAATAGTTCCACGTTGTTCCCGTATCCAGTTTTTATACGAGAGTGCCAGACGCCTATTGGTTTCGACTATGATAAGATTCAAACCAATCACTGAACGTCTCTCCAAAGCCCAGTCCCCCCTTTTGCTGGAATGAAAACAAGACGGAAGAGATGAAATCACTGACATGTTTGATAGAAAATTCAAAGTACAATTTATAATATACGCTGTTCCTACCAAAAGTGCTACACATACGCTATATTCTGTGCATATTGACCAGATCTGATCCTGTACAGTATTATTATTATCCTAAATGTAATATTGTAACTGTATCACTGCTATTGTGTGTGTGTGTGTGTGTGTGTGTGTGTGTGTGTGTGTGTGTGTGTGTGTGTGTGTGTGTGTGTGTGTGTGTGTGTGGTTCTTTGTATTGCCACATTTCTCCATCATATTTTGTGTATATATTCTTTGCTGTTACACAACATAATATTTGGACTGATCCTTATACAGTTTTTGGACATTTCCAATCAATTTCGTATGAATAAAAATGTTTTACCTTTAACCTAAACTTGGATGACTTATTTGATTGCATTAGTCTGAGTGGTCTTACGTCACATTGGCTATTTGATTCCAGAATTATCAAATCATTCAAATTCACGAGTTTTGCTCTTTACTCAGAGTTAGTGGTTGGCTCTTAAAAGAGCCGTTGAGGAATTAACAGTAAAGTTATTTCTTTTTTGGAGCTGCCTTCTTAGGCTTGGCTGCTTTAGGCTTGGCTGCTTTAGGTTTCGCCGTTTTGGGTTTGGCTGCCTTTGCCTTTTTCGGGCTCTTGGCTGCTTTCTTAGGAGTCGCTGGTTTCTTTGCCTTCTTGGGGCTCTTCGTTGCTTTCTTAGCGGCGGGCTTCTTCACCTTCTTCGGAGATTTCTTAGCGGCGGGCTTCTTTGCTGCTGCAGTTTTGGGCTTCTTCGCGGCTGCGGGTTTCTTGGCTTTAGGAGCCGCTTTTTTGGCGGGCTTCTTCTTGGTCTCAGCTTGCTGCTTGTTGAGCTTGAAGGAGCCCGAGGCGCCGGTCCCTTTGACCTGCACCAGGGTGCCTTTAGTCACCAGGCTCTTGATGGCGGTCTTGACGCGGGAGTTGTTCTTCTCCACATCGTATCCACCGGCGGCGAGCGCTTTCTTCAGGGCGGCGAGGGACACCCCGCTCCTCTCTTTGGATGCGGACACAGTCTTGACGATCAGCTCGCCGACGCCTGGACCCGCTTTCTTGGCTTTAACAGCGGACTTCTTCTTGGGCGATTTTGCCGGAGCGGTAGCGGCTGGGGCTGGGGCGGTTTCTGCCATTTTCTCTCTATGATCGGATATCAAAGTAACTCTGTCTGGTTTCAGCAATGAACGAACAGCGTGCGAGAGGCGCTGCGGTCTTAAATAACACATGAGAACCTCGTAGACTCAACCTGCCCCGCTCGGTGTCTGTGCCTCGCTGACGCTTGTGTTTTCTTCTCTTACATTTGGGGCAAAACTGGAGCTGTTGAACAGTTTGTCACAGTCAAAACTAAGTGAACACCAAGCAGAGGATCTGGGCTTTCATTAGAGACTAAAAAACTCGAAGAGGAAACGTTACGTTTGCCTTCGTCAGACCAAATCCAAGGCGATCATCGGCCGCGGGGAAAAATCGCGTGCAAATCTGATGGATAGTTTTAATGGAATAGTTGATTAAAGCCTGCACGCGTCCTTTGTATGCTCAGTTAACAGTCTGAAAGAGACTTTAATGAAATCAGCATCAGTGATGAGCGTTATGAGGCTTTCATAAGCTGTTATTTTGGGCAGCTGGAAGCACATGAACGTCATCCGGAGTCTCCGACTGTCTATGACTCTGTTTGGCCCCATCTTGGGTCAGCAGATCCATCCATATGTTATCTCATTAAACACTTCAAATACATCGTTGATGCAGGCTAACATTACATGCTAATTCAAGTATCTACAATGGGCAAATATTGTTGATATATTTAGATTCTGCAGGTCTCAGGGGCTTTTCTTTCCTATTTCAAAACATCAGGGACTGAGACTGAGGATTAATCTTTTTTATATGCTGTTAAAAAAATGTAGAAGTGAAATAAATTAAGAAAGTGAAACAGGAAAGAAAAAAAGTTTTTCAAAACTTGTTTACTAGTTGACAACCGGACTCCATTCCTGCCCATGTAAGGGCACCTCCATTTCCATATGTGGTTTGAGTGATCTGAACCATTTATTTTTTATTTTTTTTACAATTCATGAAGTAGACATCATGTTTAGAAGTAGAATGATAAGTTTGGCAGATTTTTATATGAATTCAATCTCTAAGAAACGCATAAAATGAACACCCATGTGCATTACAGCTCTCTGCCACATCACAAATGGTGAATATCTTTCTTTTTTTATATCTAAAACTTTTTTTATATATATAAAATAATTGTATGGATACTATCTTTTGAACTCTTGGCATGAAAACAAACTGAGGTTTCTACCATTCTTTCATGGTTTTTCATGTTTATTGATGTTTCAAAATAAAGATCTGAAAATGCCTTAGGAGTATGAAAGTATTCTTGTTGCAAATTGATAATTTATGGTTCCTCTGTAATCAAGATTAGTTTAGGTTTAGTATAGGATATTACTGTTTTAGAAACCCACCGTTTTGTTACCCACTGTTTTATTACAGTTCTTTGGGCCCACCGGTGGGCCGGTGACACTTAAACAATCCTTGTATTTATAGTAGTAATCTTGCGGGGAGTCATTTAAAGTAAATGTAATGTAATGTTCTGGTTTTACCCAAGTTTCTGTCAAACACATATCTAAGTTATGAACAATAAATGTTTTTGAAGAAAGGCATCGAATATTCAGCAACCTGAGATTAATCATTTGTTCATCTGTATTATATCTGTTTTTACTAGTTGAAAATCAATTAAATGCTTACCCTTAAATGGGTCTGAGAGGTTTTTTGTAATTCCTTGGGCACAGACACAGTCTCTATATGATGATATCTAGGTGAAAGTCTCAGTGTGATGGCATTTATCTTATTGATGTGAGGCCACTAGCAGATAACCAGTATATCTGCTTCCTGACCTGACCTGAGCCCCATATTGTCATGTTTGAGCTACAAGACTATGCTCCATATTACTAAAGAGAAGAATAGCACCATCCCAGGAGAGATGAATACCATCTCTTTTCAAAAGGTCAGGTCTGCCCCAAAATCTTTTTCAATTGTCTATGAATTCTATAGTATTTTGTGGACACCACTTAGACAACCAGCCATTCAGTGAGGACAGTGTACTCATCACTCCTGCAAACAGGAAGGGGGCCAGAGCAAATTACAGTGCCTGACTTACAAGTTCACACAACTCTTCAACGTTAATTTGATGTCAGGCGCTCTGGCTTCCACCAATGTGACTTTGGTGGCTGGTGTCTCTATTTTCCCGTTCCTTATAATATAATCGCCAGTAAGTGATCCTGTTAAATGGCACATTTAACAGGATTCTCAGTGGGTGTTTCACTGAGTGAAGAAATCCATATAAATTAGTAATGTAATATAAGTAAGTACTGTAATATAAGTGAGTAATTTTTATATAAGTGAGTAGTATAATATAAGAGCAATGTGATGAGAGTATTGTAATATAAGTGTGTAGTGTAATATAAGTGAGTAATTTAATATAAGTGAGTAGTGTAATATAAGTGAGTAATGTGATGAAAGTGAGATAAAGTTTTTTATAACAGGCCCATATCAATGAGAAATGTTTTTTTTTTCCACTGATGCAATTTCAGCTCATATGTTTCTACTCACATCCAACTTGAAACATAGCAGCAAAAGCTGTAAATAGTAAAAGCTGAGACATATATCCATCTATTTTATATATTGAGATTGAATGTGTGAAACTCCAGTTTTATTATATTTCAAGCTAACAGATCTCCATCGACATCATTCTACAAATTTAGAGATGGAACTCTGGATTGTTCAGATAGGCCTTAAAGACTGGTGACTCCGGTGAGAGAGTAAGGGCTCGGAGAGTTACATCCAAAACTTTAATATGCTGGGAACATAAATAACATGTACATGGATGTTTGTATATGTGTGTGTGGTCTGAAACAAAGGATAATAGTACAAAATGATAGTACAAAATTAGACAAAATGATATTACAGTCATTGTTAAATTGCTACAGATATTTTCATACTGAACAGAAGATCAACAACATTATAATAGTGTAGCATGTCAAATAACTGTAAAATGGCAACAGATTAACATTTTAAATGTTAATATGACACATTATAACATTGTCTGAGGAACTAGCACGTTAGCTTTCTGACATCGAATAACATTATCTTGTGCACATACAACTTGCAAGATTAATATACCATTATAATAATATAAACAACATTATTATAGTGCACATTTCTACAGGAAATAAGAAATACTCACTTTCCTGCACGAACGCACACAGCTTTGAAGTTTACGTGCTCATCGTGACCCAGCGCGTGCGGTGGATGACCTTAAAGGGGACGTTATCAGTAAAGTGAAAGACATGTGCCCTCTAGTGCTGAAACACGAAAGTGCAGTTAAAGGGATAGACTTTCCTACAACAAAACAACACAATTGGTCAACTTTTTATTTTAAAAGAATAGTACTAATGAAATATAAAAAATGCCAATAGGACCCTTTGCTTATGATGCTTCTTTCAGATGGAATATCTTTTATAAGACAAACCAGATCAAGCATTGACATTTTCCAAACCGTTGCGTCTAAAATGGTAAATGTTTATGATAGTGTCTGTATTCATATTATTTATTTTATTAATAATTCTTCATTATTATGTTACATGTATTTTAGAGATTTTATCATTTATATTTTTCACTGTATGCTATGGTTGATGATTTCAAAATGTAAGATTGTTGGTGTCTCTTTGTGCTGTCAGATTGAATGTGTATTTTCCATCATCTATCTTATCTATCTGTTTGACATTTTCTTATTAAAGCAAAACATACATTTAAGAGGATGTACGATTCCTGCATATTCATTGTTTTTATTAAAATTTTATCTTTGTCAATCATGCCCTGTCTTCCAGCATCCCATGAATGAACCACAAACTTTTGTGAGCAGCCATCTACATCTGTGGTCACATTCCTGTAATTAAACTGTTAAAACGGATTAGGATCATCTGCAAATATTAATAGTTTGAAAAAGGGCCATCAAACTCAAATTTAAAAGGTTATTGATGAACATTTATGAATTTGCTCATTTTTTCCCATGTGTTATTGCATTTTACAAATCTGAAGAAAAAAAATACATTACTGCTTCAGATACATACATGTATATTTTTATTCTAACAGTTGAGCCTATTAAAATGAATTAGAAAATAAACAGCTTAATTTAATTTACATTAAAATCAGGAAGATCACTTATTTATTTCCAAAACTAATGTACCCAGAATAGTGTAGAGAACTGTAGCTCTTTTCACAGATAATATGGGTGGCTCTTAAAAGAGCCTTTGTGTTGTTGATCGGACTCGCTTTACTTTGAGCTGGTGTATTTGGTCACGGCCTTTGTGCCCTCAGACACGGCGTGTTTGGCCAGCTCTCCGGGCAGCAGCAGACGCACGGCGGTCTGGATCTCTCTCGATGTGATGGTGGAGCGCTTGTTGTAGTGAGCGAGACGAGACGCTTCACCGGCGATGCGCTCGAAGATGTCGTTGACGAAAGAGTTCATGATCCCCATCGCCTTGGAGGAGATCCCGGTGTCGGGGTGAACCTGCTTCAGGACTTTGTACACGTAGATCGCGTAACTCTCCTTCCTGGACTTTCTGCGCTTCTTTCCGCCCTTGCCGGCGGTTTTAGTGACGGCCTTCTTCGAGCCCTTCTTGGGTGCAGACTTCGCTGGTTCAGGCATGATATTTCAGTCAGTGAAACTCAATGAACTGTAGCTCTGTGTCACTGCAGGCGGCTTTTATGCACTGCTCTATGCTAATTTAAAAAGGCAGGAACGATACTCTGTGATTGGTAGGCTTCCTGGACCAAAACATATAACGATTTCATTGGTCACATAAAACATTCCCTGAATTGTAGGCGTTCCAATCAGAAGCTTTGAAATGTTAATCACGCCCATCGACAACTACCATCCCCCGTGACTTCATTTCTTTGTTTCATTTTCCCGCATTTTTCAGGAATGAATAAATGGATTATTCTGAATCATTTCAGATTTTATTTTCGTACGTAGAGTATTATATATATAATTTAAACAGTAAATTAAAAGCAGAATTAGCCTTGTATTATGTATACGGTAATCTACATAAAAATAGTATATACATATAAAACAACATGACCACTAACTTTCGAGAGTCTTTATAACGACGTTAAATTAACTACAAATCAGAACTGTGAATATAGCACAGTAAAAATACAAATCACTCAACCCTCTATGCTTGGAATGGTGTTGCCTCCAGGTAACATAGTCTAATATAGTCTGTAGGTTTGTTTCTTTGTTTGTTTGATAAAATGAGACCTAACCTATCTCATGATAGAATAACTCAAATACCAATCATAAACGTGCAAAATAGTGGTCACATGACCCACAGGGGGCCATTTTGTGTTTTACTTCAGCACATGTGCACGTCTTCATATTTTCCCCAAAGAAAAGTTCATTTTAAATAATTTGCGTAGTTAATCACCCACAAAAATAAGTATTTTCAAGCACTAAACATTATATATCATCTTTATATATCAGGAAATAACAAAAATCTGTGTTGCCTCAATGCAACATAGCACCACAGTGGAAGGACAACCCAGATTGGAATACAAATGTATTATATTTGTTAGGGTGACCATATTTTGATTACCAAAAACCAGGACACTCGGCCCAGCAAACACATGGGCCAACTCAAATGATACTCTAAGTTTAGTCAAAGATACCTTATTAATTTCAATACAGTTAAAGTAGGTTATGCCTCCTCTGTATGGATAGAAAATTGTTATATGAAAACAGGACATGTCCTGGGAAAACAGGACAGTTGGTCACCCTATATTTGCAAGGAGTTAGAATTAAATAAATAGTCAATCTGTAATGAACAGTAATTCACATACTATATCTACACAGGGTCTGTAGCATCTATAAAAGGTATAGAACACAGCTGGCTGTTGATGAGGGTGGAGAGGTGGATCATACGATGTGGAAGATGAGATTATAGAGAATCCAGCAGGGAGAGTGAAGATGGATATGGTAACTTGATTTGTTGGTTGGGTAATTTGTGTTCCACTGTGGTACAATGTTGCCTGAGAACAGCTTTAAAAAAAATAAGACATTAAAAACTAAATTAAGTTGTTCGTTCAATCCTGTGGTTAAATAAATTGACTTTCTATATGAAAATGTCCAACGTTTCAGTTTGTCCGTTAATTATCCAATTCTCTTTTCTCATTTAAATCCGATTTTTATTTTGTTATCCATTTAACATTAATCGTTAATTTATTACGTCTCTATACATTTCAACAACTAGAAACTCGTTCTTTATGTGTAAATGTGGGTGGCTCTTAAAAGAGCCGTTGGGTTTTTCTTCTTCGTGAGTCTCTGTCTTAACCGCCGAACCCGTACAGAGTGCGTCCCTGTCGCTTCAGCGCGTACACAACATCCATGGCGGTAACGGTCTTTCTCTTGGCGTGTTCAGTGTAAGTCACAGCATCACGGATGACGTTCTCCAGAAACACCTTCAACACACCGCGAGTCTCTTCATAGATCAGGCCAGAAATACGCTTGACGCCCCCACGTCGAGCAAGACGACGAATAGCGGGTTTAGTGATTCCCTGGATATTATCGCGGAGAACCTTTCGGTGACGCTTAGCGCCACCTTTCCCGAGTCCTTTCCCGCCTTTTCCTCTTCCAGACATGTCGATAATTACTCTTCAGCTCAAATCAACTGAATATACAATCGGAGTACAGGGGTTTATAGTCAGCCAGCGGACCTAGTTGAAACCACATTCATGGGCGGTTCTGGTAAACGTCATCAGTTACGCATTCCCATGTCCAGTTCAGTCTTTTGATGTAGTCTTTTGATGCCTTATAGTAGTGGAAATAAGTCGAATATAAGTAATATTTACAACTATATTATTTAATTATATATATATATATATATATATATCCTTTAATGCATTAAAAATAGAAAAATCAACGTGCTATATAAATGTTCATATTTCAAAATACCATAATATGGAAAACTCTCTTAGAGTTATTGAGATGACTCTTTAAAGAGCCTTTGGGTTTGTGTGACTTGTGGATTTAAGCGCGCTCTCCGCGGGCCAGCTGGATGTCTTTGGGCATGATGGCGACTCTCATGGCGTGGATGGCGCACAAGTTACTGTCCTGGACCTGTCCTACTGGCTAATGGCTGTGCTGAGCGCCTCTGCTTTCAAGCTCAGTGTTTTTACGGGTAACAGTTACACAAAGGCAAAGCTGGAGCATAGATCAGTTGTATATTTGTGCATCATATCCCATAATTGTTCAAAAAATAAAATAAAAATTTACTTATGCCAACTAATTTAAAAAATTGAGACGCCCATATGAATTTAACAACCGCAGTGTGTATTATAAAATGCAGCAAATGCTTAGGAATCACATATTTTTGTTTGTTACATTTTCAAAACACTTCTTGCTGATTTTAATATATGCTGGGCTGATCCAAACTTAAACAATGATAAAATTTATGAAATCACTCTCGGGGAGAAAATGTGTGGCTCTTAAAAGAGCCTTTGGTTTGTAGAGAAACTTCCGTCAGTTTACTTTCCCTTCTTGGGCAGCAGCACGGCCTGGATGTTAGGCAAGAAATTTATTTCAAATGATCATAAAATGGCCCTGATATGTCACTAGACATTAAGAAATAATGTTAATTTCAAATACTTATATCACCGACAACTGTAGTCCAGTCAGGATATTGTCATTTAAAAAGTGAAGTTGCAGCCTTCAACTGATGTTGATGTTGTCATGTTGTGTTTTGGTCTGATGCTCCTCCCTCCACCGATCTACCAATCACGGAGTCAGTAGTGTTGCAGTATCCGGGTTGCCAGCTCAAAAAAAATAATAAAGTTGGCAACCTCGCGTCAAGCGGGATACACCACTCTACAGTAATTTGAAAGTGATTGCAGTACCAGTTTTGGCCACAATCTTACATACAGTAGATACATACATACTTACATACTTACATACATTTATGCTCTCACAGCCAACTAATTTCTTCAGGCCTAATAATAGAGTTGGTTTGACTTCTGCTCTGTTTCTGTGGTTTTAACCCGAGTAAAGGAAACATATATGCCTTTTCTGCATCTTCAGTTTAATAAACCTCAAAATTTCACAAGAGCAAAGATTCGCAGAATGTCTGTGTGATTTTCATTGACTTCCCTATTTTAGAAATGTTAATTTCTTCTCTAAAAGGAGGGCTGTGAGAAAGGGTTGTTTAGTGATGAAAGATGTCACTTCTAAACCTTTCCCACTTCTTTCCTTTTAGAGAATAAATTAACATGGTTTTAACCCTATAATGGCTTTATTTTTTAGTTTGGAAATCCCTGCTAATATATTCATCATAAGATTTGTCCAACCAATCACAAACATCAAACAATCAAACTAATACTACTTACATCTAATACCTTGTGTATAAATATATAAACCAGATACACATACACATACTTTACTGACTGACCCCTGACCCCCTAACTGACCTCTGACCTCCCGACTGTCTCTCAAGCCTGATTCAGGGATCCTCTCCTCAAGCTTACGGTCAGAGGGAATGACCCGATCATGTTCCTTCCGCCCATAATAACATGTTCTTGTGTCCATTTCCTGTGAGTGTCAGTAGATTGTAGAAACATTGACTATTGGTGCGTTCAAGTCTTGTCAGAAAGATGATATTTATACGAGTTGAACACATGAACTCCTCCACAAAGTCGTAATTACGAGTGGGAAGCAATGGCAGAAGAAAATGTTTTTATTCATAAATGTATTTCTGACTATTACTGACAGTCAATGTAGTTTGTTCGCATTATGTGTTTTGTTAATGAAGAAGAGAAATAAAGTTTACCAGAAAACACTCGCTCAGACATGAGCTGAAGGGCTTGAGTGACCAAACTACATTTCCCATCATTGACATTGGATTGTTTATTATATCAATCCTTATGTAAATCAATTGCTTTATTAAACAAACACGCTATTTCAATGAATCACCTTATTAACAGCGGGGATTGTGATGTTGATGCAGATCGCTGGTCCACAGCTCGTGTGTTTCAGGGTCTGTTAACACACATTAAGGAAACTTTTTAAAGGTCAGCACTCATTTTCCAAAGGCCCTTTAACTTTATTAACTTACTACTAACCCTAACCGAATAAAAACTTAATGATAAAAAGGCTGTATATTTCATTCACTGATATGTCGTAGAGTTACATTATTAGACACATTAGATGTCACATGGTGAGTTCACTTTAATCACGGTCTGTCTTCTGTATGTGTGTGTGTGTGTGTGTGTGTGTGTGTGTGTGTGTGTGACTGTGTGAACGAACACAATAACAGTGAGAACAATCAATCTCCATCAACTAAATTTTCTATGAACAACTGAATAACAACTTGAATAAATTAGCATCTAAATATCTTAGACTGGATCTCTCTCTTCTTTGTGTATTTCCGCGTGTTTTGTCTCCTCCTCCCTCATCTCTTCTCTCAAACACAGGAAGTGTGTGTGTTTTATCACACAGCGCTGTTAAATCAGTCTATTAATGTGTCAGTATGGGCTCCAGTGCACTGCCGCTCATCTGTGAGTGTTTGATCATATTCTATAATCTTCTTTTTTCTGTTCCTAATGCAATGTATTCAGCTGAAGATGTGATAATTTAATGAGCGTTGTGTCTCACTGCTTATTGTATTATTTATGGATCAGATTGATGTGATGTTGTTATGTTGATCAGATGAAGAGTTTGATGATGTATTTATCTGTGTGATAATGGATATAGAATATCATTGAGGCCTGAGATGACGGAATGTATTTTATAAAACGTTCTTGTAATGTGACGTGTTAAAGCAACAATGTTATCAACACAGCAAAAACTCCCGTGTTAAATTAACTCTCCTGGGAGTTTGTTTGACTCCACACTCAAAGAGTTAAAGTGTTCAAATATGAGTGATAAATGAACACTAAAGAGTGTTAAAATTAATTAGATAATTATGTTATTAATTGTGTGATGATTGACCATTATTGAAGACACCTGATTTTAACAAGCAGAATCACTAACGGAGAAAATCAAATTTTTATCCATTATGGTGATCAGTGTTTGTTTTAGTTGGGTTCTTGCCCCTTAAATTATTAACTTTAGATTTTGTTTTTGCTGTTATAACCGATTTTTCATTGCCATATGAACAAAGAGAATGGTGTTCAGGTGGTGATGGTTATGTTTAGCCGTAATCATCATTTGACTTGAATCACTAAACACCATTTACATTTAATAGATGCTTTTAACCAAAGTGACTTACAACAGAAGATTACAATTTAATTAATTAGGTTTACCTGGTGATTCTACACCATACAATTTGTAGCATTTTCTATAGAATCCTAAATATTATCAACATTTCTGTTCAAAATATTTAGATTTTTTTTTATTAAGACACAGGCATCAAGATTCAGCCTGTGAATCTCAACAGTGGTGACCATGTTGCAGTGTATTCTGGGTGCCACCAATCAAAACTCATTCATGGCTCCCATCATGGTCCCATCTTTTCCTAATTAAATATTTCATTTGTCACCATTGTTGAGATTCATACACTCATGCTTGATATGTGTTAGTACCTACTCACGTTTTTAAAATTATTTTATCAGAACAAGTTTTAAGAATTTTTTTGGAATATATTGAAAATTCTTTGTGGTAGAATCACTGTGATGCTGCAATCGACAACATAAATGTAAGTCAGAGATTAGGCTCTAAATTAGTTTTGTGATACAGGGAAAATTATAATGATGTCAAAATATAACCAATAAATTCATATCACCTTTTTTCCTTGTTTTAACATCAGGGGTCTTCCATAATGCTCAATCATCACTCAATTAATAATTTAATTATTTCATTAACTTTAACACTGGAGTTTGTGCTGTGTTCCTTTAGGAAAACATTCTGAGAACCAAAATAAAACTACCCGCTGAAAACATTATTAAAACTTCATGGTAATGTTCCCAGAACGTTTTTAGAACAAAACATTTCTATATCTTTCTTCCTACTTCAGGTAGTTCAGATAAATGTTGATATAAGTTTTTGTTGAATGATGATTACACACATAATGCACATTCTTTGAGTTTTCTGAGCTCGTAAATGCACAAACTAACACACAATCAGCTTCTCTATCACTTATGTTTCTCTCTGAGTCTCTGACTCTCTTACTGAGAAATAATTGCAAAAATGATTTGGAAACTCAAATTTCATTGTCATTTAATGGACAAACAGTTTATCAAACTAAGTATATAACTTTTCTGAGACACTTTTCAGTTATTTTTAACCAGTTCGCCTGAACTTCATATTTAGTTGTTGATTGATGTCAGTTCACATGTCACAATAACCACAGGTTTCCAGAATAACTTCATTATGTCGACATATGAACATGTTCCACCAATGACAATCAGGAAGTATCTCAGACTTCTGTTGTCCTATTACACATATTTATTTATTCATGTTCTGCAAAACTTTTTTTTTTTTGAGAAATGTCTTGATTGAAAACTGAGATCATTAAGTCCTGAGATATGAATTATTTCTGACGAGGCAAAAGCTCTTGAAGTGCTGAAGCAAACGAGGTGTGAAATTGCTCTTAGACCAGAGGTCACTTGCAGAAGGTTTTCTTTCTTTTCTTTCAGGCTACTATATATACTATACTATGTCCACCTTATTTGAATATAAAGTCACAATTAGGGGTGTGCACGAATATTCAAAACAAATTCGAAAAAGAAAATAATGCATGTGTGACGGTCCTCTATTTATCACTCTTGTTGTGTATATGGAACATCTGCACAAGGGGAAACCAAAACGAATCAGGAGTGGCATGACATCGCAAACAGAGAATAAAACACAGCCCACAGCAGTTACCGGAAATTCTGCTCTTTTTTATTAACTGATTCCAGTGTGATCGTATAGTGGAATGTTTGAATGAAATGTTTCACAATTCGTTGTCTTTCCCACAGAAAAATGTGAAATAAATAAAATAAAATAAATAAAATCTCTGACATAAGTATTTCTGCCATATGAAACAGTTTATAAAACAGCAAATTGTTTTCAACAGGAATATTGCTGTTATAACGTACATTTTCCACATAACAAAAATAAACATCAAATTCAGTATTACCTGCACAAGGGGAAACCAAAACGAATCAGGAGTGGCATGACATCGCAAACAGAGAATAAAACACAGCCCTACACAACACACAGTAAATCAGATGGAGGAATATCATTAGCGGCAGCCATGCAACATGTGCTACATATAACATTAAACTCTAAACTAGTGACTCACTCAACATCAGACAAATAGCATACATCTCTTAATTACATTATTACAAAAATACAGTGAAATAAACATTGTGTAGTGATATTTAAGGCACTTAGGCTATTTTTGTCTCTGCAGCGTTTAACATGCGACTTACCACAGCAGTTACCAGAAATTCTGCTGTGGATTACCCAGAATTCGCTATTTTTAACACCGTGGCGCAATACCAAGTGACGCCAGCAGATGGCGCTTACCCCATTTAAGCAGGAATTTAACTATATACAAACATATTCATCCTTTATGTCCTCTTAAGGTGAATGCAACGCATTCTTGCTTTTATGTTACCCTGGCAACTTATTTGTGTCTGTGTATTTTGCTGTAATTTTTTTTTCTTTTATATATGTTTGTATGTATTCCTTAAATGTTTAATAAAAAAAAAAAAAAAAAAAAAAAAAAAAACGTTACACATGCAAAACAACCAAGTAAAATCCAAAGTGAATCCATGACAAATCCCAAGCACCGACTCACAGTTACAATGAAATGGACTGGGTGGCGCTGTGGAGCATATTAACACATGGATTGGATTTGATCACGTCAGTGAATCTATCAGTGAATAAGTGAATCGACTCTCGAATCAGTTCACGAGTCTTGTGACGTCAGTGTGATGGTGTTAATGTCGGAGAATAATCCATCAGAATAATCCACATTTATGAGCATCAGAACAGAAAAACACTTTCAGTTCATGTAGAATAAACTCTAGACATGTTTCAGTGTGTGATTTACATTGTGTTGAATGAATGGAAAAGCTTCATCTGTGTTTCTTTTGCTTTTAGTGCTGATGTCCCTCGTTCACTCTGGACTCAGTCAAGGTACTGTCCATTACTGCAGGAACTTATAATTGTACACTGTAATATATATATATATATATTGTTGGTTTAACTTAAAATTTTAAGGCAACCAGGTTACTTATTTTTTAAGTTCATTGAAATGGAAAAATTGAGTTAATACAATGAAGGAGATTGATTTAATCATCAGAAACTCAAAATATTATGTTATATGAACTACATAAATTATTTAAGTTGATTTGACAAAAGAAATAAATGTGATTACAAATAATGAAAAAAAAAGTGAATTAACTAATGTGAATTGTGTTGATGTATTTATTTGTCTACATGGATACTGTACATCAGGATCCCACATTTGTCTCTTTGCTGATATTTTATGTTTGCATAAATTTCACAGAATCAACTGACTGTAGTTCATTATGCTGCAAAACATTAAATCTGCTATTTATTTAGTCAATCAAACAGTCTTGCATTGTACAATAGTTCAGTCGACTGTAAGCATACGCAGACACATCTGGAGACAGTTGAGTGGACCTCGACATACCCTTGCTCTGGCTATGCCCAATGCACATACGTAATACGATTGTGCACCGTTTGCCCATGTTAACAACTTCAAGTAATTCACGTAGACTAATTTTCAGGATGATATTTAAAGGTTAACATTTTTACCCTATTATTTGGGTCTTTCTAATATTATTCTTCAGGGATTTTTTTCCTAACTCAGGACTCAGAAGACAATCAGTTGAGTTTGCTTTTGTTGCGATTTGTTCTAGGTTGACCCCCATTTTAGTTTAAAATTACTGGAATATTTATGACGAGAATATATGCATAATGCCCGTGCGTATAGTCAATCACTGTATCCTGAGTAAAAGAGAAACAGACAGCGAGGAAGCGTTTATCTTGAGTTTACTGAACACTTCGATAAGCATGACATAACTACACTGCCACTTAGAGGACAATTTATAATAATATAATAGTGGTGTCTATTCAGGTAGATCATTAAAATTGTTTATTTAAATGTACCCATAGACTGTAAAAAAATAGAAGTAGGCGACATAATACATATTTTTGCTCACGCAAGTTGATCATTTGTATTTACATACTGTAATAGCTATATTATTATCATTGATACTGACCTTCATTTATAAAAAAAAATGCCAATAAACAAGTATTTAAAATATACTTTAAAATACACCTTTATGTTGTCTACATTAATTTGGAGATTATTTATTGTTCTATTTATTTCATAGAATTGCACTTTTGAGACAATAACATGTTTGCAGTAACTCAAAAATATCCTTATTTAATTAAAAAAAAAGATATTATTTTAATTTGGAAACACTGCATTTTTACACTGTGCTGTTGTAGTTTCAGTTGAGAAATACACATTTCAGCATTTCACTAATCTGTGTCGGCATTATCCTTGAGAACCATTCAAGATGACTTATGAAACCATTTGTTTATTATATATCTCAATTGCAATATTGACTTCAACAAATCGCAATATGACATTTTCTTCAAATCGTGCAATTCATCCCGTAGAAGGTAATTAGTTCAGTCAGACATTTGATAGAAATGAGTTCTGCACAGTGAGAGTTTTATTTGCATGTTTCTGAGATTTGCTGAAATTGTAATTATTGATGGTGTGTCATTAAGATCTTGAGCACCAGTGCTAAGCTTTATTCATTCAGTGGTTTGGTTGGAAGAGCTGGAAGAGAAAAGTGTTAGAGAAGAGACAGACAGAAGTTAGTTAGTGAGTTCCCAGTTCAGATCTTTAAAAAAAAAAAAAAAAAAAAAAAAAATCAGATCTTTAAACACTCTGACAGTAAACAGCACCATCTACTGGTCAGAACAGGTAGAACAATAATACAATAAAGACATTCAGACTGGATACATAGCCTACATATATCACTTCCATTTAGTTTTTACCAATACATGCATTTTTTATGCAAGTTACAAGCAAACTAGATTTTTCAAATTTAAGTGTTTTTCTCCTGAGGAACTTTTGAGTTTATGAAGTGATCTTGATCCTGCAATGCTTTTCAATATTTCTATGTTTCTCAGTGAAACCTGTATTGACGGTGACGCCAGATCAGCGTGTGTTCAGTGGAGAGAGAGTCACTCTCATATGTGACATACCAACAAACATTCCGTGGATATACAGATGGTTTAGAGATGGACACATCAATCCATTTATAACAACACCATATTGCAGTTTCACAGCTGATGCGTCTCACAGGGGTGAATACAGTTGTAGAGGAGAGAGTTTATACTTATACACAGACTTCAGTGATGGAGTTACACTGACTGTATCAGGTGAGTCTTCATATTCACATCTGTTTAATCATCATTTAATATCCATATTTCAATACTTATTATCTTCAGCCAAGAGACTTTAACATTATTCTTTGAAAACTCTCTTCCCAACATATATATTTTTTTAATTCTGTTTGGTGCCCGGAAGCAGAAAAGACAAACACTCTTTTAAATCAAAATAAATTAGATAGTTTACCGTTTAAAATAATGATAAAAACAGAAGACTAGTTAAAATATGAGCAATAACTGTATAAAAGAGCTCCACACTGGCTGCATATCAATTACCAGGGTTTCCGCAGGGTCTTAAAAGGTCTAAAATTCTGAACCTTAAATCATGTAAGGCCAGACTTAAAAACGGCCAAGTCTTAAATTTGAATTAGTCAGGTCTAAAAATGTATTTTTCTCTCGTTCATTTCCCAAAACTCTGGCCGCAGAAAGTTATTACAAAGTTGCAAAAAAAGTATTGGGTCGTAGCAGCTTCATATTGGTTCAAACCGGTTCAAACACGCCGTTCGCGTACGACCGTTAGCTCGTTGCTTGTGTAACGGTTTGTATATAGTTAAATTCCAGGACCGTCACACTTGCTTTAGCTGGCCAAGAGGCAGTTCACACCGGTTCACACACCGGGTTTGCGCGCTCAAGTTCGTTCAAATATAGGCCATCCCCAGCGAGATTGAAAAAATCTCACCATTTCAGGTTCAGAATTCCGCAAACGAAACGAATAACCAACAAATCAGCCCCTTCCGTATCAACACTGAAAGCTCAGTCAACATGAAGGATCGGGGTGCACCAAAACACTACGGGAGTTTTTCTCTTCTCCATGAATAAATATTGTAGCAGACCTACAGCAAGCGTTTCTTGTTGTGGAAATCCATTAGCTATTAAAACTTCTTTGTCGTTGTGGAGAGCGCAGTGCTTGGTTGCATAGAGAAGACAGACGCAACAGGAAAATCGGCCCGAAGTCCCGCCCATCCGTGAAACTCCAAGTGGACCTCTAGGTAGAAAAGGCGTCAATGCAAGTGAATGAGAGAAAATAATTATTTTCCCTCCACAAATCCTGGTGCGATAATCTAAGGAATTAGATCGAGATTCCAGTGTGTTTTGTACCCAAATGTCACCATTCAAACAATGGTTTGTTATTAGCTTTACAATGGTTTGTAAATAGGTTGTTAATGGTTTGAAAGCAGGAACAGTCGTAGTCCACAAAGTCTCTAACCGTAAGAAAATTCTACCCGCTAAATTGTAGCATTCTTTACACGAAAAATTATATTAAAAATTCACAGACAACATATGTTCACATTCACTGCAAAATTCAAACGGGATTAGAAAATAATTATTTTCTCTCATTCACTTGCATTGACGATTTTTCAACCTAGAGGTCCAGCGGGGTTAGCGGAAGGGGATAAAGGTCTCAGGTTACGACTGTAACCTATGTTCCCTGAGAACAGGGAACGAGACAATACGTCGAATGACGCTATGGGGAACGCCATAGCGTCATTCGACGTATTGTTGAGTTCCCTTCGAAAGGGAACTATTTTTGTGAAGACATTATTTTAACTTGTACATGTTAGTAGATAACCTGTTGTAAGACGCTCCTTCAAAATCTGGCCATAATTTTTAATGGTATTTTAATGTTTATGTAAACAAAAAGTGCATATTGATGCTAAGTGTATTTATTTGCTGGGGTTTGACATACATTTGGCAAATTGATTTCATAATAATCAAGAAATGAAATGTTCATGCCATTTCATCTCTAATCGCTTTCGCAGTATAAAATGCCACGTACAAATTTCTATACTTTCTGTAAATGTTATTTTCTCTGACTCTTTGACACACACACACACACACACAATCTCTATTAGGCTATTAATATGCTGTTTTGTAATGTAAATAAGTATGAAATGAAAACTATTCTATTTGAGGGCAAGTTTATTTGAAGCTATTATCATTTTAGGCCAAACGTTTTGGGCATTCGGCATGTTGTTTGATTGTGGAAGGTTACTAATGTGATTGCTTTACCTGTAAATTTAATTAATGCTTTTTCAATTACTGCAATTCATTGAAATATATATATATATTTTTCAAATATGTTTTTAATTTTAATATTTTTTTGGTACTGTGTCGTATAGATCTTAAATTTAAATCTTTATGGTCTTAAAATGTCTTAAAAAGGTCTTAAATTTCACTTACTGAAAACTGCAGAAACACTGACTTCCAGATAAACCGACTCTGACTGTAAAGCCCCAGAGTTCAGTGTTCACTGGAGACACAGTTACTCTCAGCTGTGACGTGGGAAGATCAACTGGATGGACTTTTCTCTGGTGGAAAGACGCACACTGGGAATCCAGTTATTATACAAGAACTAAAACTATCAGTTCTGTGAGAGTCTCTGATGGAGGACCATACTGGTGTAGAGCACAGCGAGGAAACTACAACACAGAGAACAGTAATGCAATACAGATAACAGTGAGCGGTAAGAGCTCTTTTATTTTTTTTATTTTTTTATTTTTTTGTGAAATCTAATTTTGTTTTTAAAAATGATTTTAAAAATTCAAATATTAAGTGTGTTTGCTCATTTCACAGAGAGACCCAAACCTGTAGTGAAGGTGAAGCCTGATGTCCGTGTGTTCAGAGGAGAGAGAGTCACTCTCACATGTGACATACAGGAGACAGGAGTCTGGACGTACAGCTGGTATAAAGATCAAGATAACAGCAGCAGAACAGACCAGATCTATCACAGCGCAGGACAACACCAGATCTATATAATCACATCTGTGGATTCGTCTCATGCTGGTCTGTACAGATGTAGAGGAACTCAAACTGAAACCCAACAGCACTCAGAGATCAGTGATGGAGTTACACTGACAGTATCAGGTGAGTGTGTTCATCATTTCATCACTTTAACCTGAAGACATTGTATATAGAAAGTTAGCTCAGGTTTATTTTTCTTCATGATCTTTATCCTCCAGACATGTTCAGTTCATCCATGAGCTTCTGCTCTTCAGATTATCTGAGATGAATGAAACCGTCAGTGTAGCAAACAAGCCTTGAGACTTGATCATCTGTCCTCAGTCAGACCGAGATCAGGATAGAAGTGGTGTTACAGTAACTTACAGAGCCTCAGTGTGTCTGTTCTCATGGTCTGAGAGTGTCAGTAGTTATAAGACTAAAATTGAAAACTGAAATCAGAAAACTGATGCCAGATCAGCGTATGTTCAGAGGAGAAAGTGTCACTCTCACATGTGACACACAGAGAGGAGGAAACATTCAGTGGAGATACAGCAGAAATAGAGATGGAAACAATCATATGAACAGCTCATGTTTCTGATCAGTGTTTGTCTGAGATCGTGACGGAGCCGAAGCCTCAAAACACATGAGAAAACGTCTCGGGTTACGACTGTAATCTATGACTATGTTCCCTCAGAACAGGGAACGAGACACTGCATTGATTGACATTGTTGGGGAATGCAATAATCATTTGTCCTCTAGTCAGTTTTTGTTTGTGTTTCTTCTCAGATTTACCCACATCTACAATGACTGTGACACCAGACGGTCCTGTATTCACTGGAGAATCAGTCAATCTGAAGTGTGTGATAAACTCTGATCACAGTAACTGGAGATATGAGTGGTATAAAGACAGTGTAAAGTTACAGAAGTCTGATCGTTACACTGTAAACAGAGACACTGTCACTATCAGAAGAGCTACTGAGTCTGATCAGGGTCAGTACTGGTGTAAAGGACGGAGATATGGAAGACCAAACTCATCAACATCAAGCTCTGCTGTTTCTCTCTCTGTGAAGGGTGAGTTCAACATCATTGTCCTCATAAACTCTCTCTACTATAATCACACATATAATCAAGAGACTGCGGGGGAATGGAAAACTGACTGACTTCAGCACAGTACTGCCACCCGTTTATAATAGCACGTGACAGATCATATTATGCAACGGAAAAATTATTCAAACTGTCAAATGAACTCATTAAATCACAAGTTTTATTTAGGACTCTTTTTAAACTATTATTCAAATATTGTAGAAACTATAATTGTGTGGTGTTTGGATTCAAAAGATATATACTCACACACATACAGACAAATGAATGTGAATGTTGGCTTTACCAATAAACACAGACATTTGATGTAATTAACACAAACTACAAGCAGACTAGATTAATTAAAAAGGGTGGTATAATGCCCTTTTCAAATGTAAAATACATCTCTGATGTCCCCAGAGTGTGTATGTGAAGTTTTAGCTCAAAATACCCCACAGATATTTTTATATAGCATGTTAAAGTTGTCACTTTTTGAGGGTTAGCAAAAACGCACCGTTTTGTGTCTGGCCCTTTAAATGCAAATGAGCTGCAGCTCCCGACACAGTGGTCGGAGCGTGTGTGTGTGTGTTAGCGGATTACTCATGCAGACGCACGCTAAAATGAGTGAAATGAGTAGTGGGTGATTTCGGACACGCTAAAATGTCAGAAACTGTTCTACCTTTTATGTTTAAACCGGAGTCAGACAAAGATGGAGAGACTAAGAAGAAGTGACAACATGTAGAATGCAACAGGGCGTCTCTGAATGGTTAGTTGCTGAATTTATGTTGCAGGTTGTGTAGTTAACTATCTTCAATTAGCATATTCTGTCAGGATAATCTATAAATCGCTCATATAGGTACTGTTGTGAGATGCACACAGAGTAGTGATGGGAACGAGACCGCCTATGCCGAGTCCGAGTCAAGACCGAGTCTTTGAAGGGTCGAGTCCGAGTCGAGACCGAGTCCGTTGGTTTTTAAATGCAGTCGAGTCTGAGTCAAGACCGAGTCTCTGAGGAAGCAAAAGAAATATCGAGGACTCGGTCTGAAAATGACGAGTCCTTCTCCTCCCACTGTGGTCTGAGTCAAGACCGAGTCTTTGAAGGAACAAGTCCGAAACGAGTCCCGAGAAAGCAGAAATCGGTCTCGAGACCGGACTCGAGTACTACATCACTAACGCAGAGTGACTACAAAAGCTCTTCCTCTTCTCAACATGAGGCGTTTCTCAATGTCAAGGAAGGATCCTCGGAAGCCGGAATTTCGAGGATGCTACGTCATCGACGTCCGTCGAAGGACTGTTCCAATGTCGAGGATCCTCAGAATTTCAACCAAGGACTGAGTCCTTCGTTCGGAAAATATCCCATACACAGGAAAGGATGCATATGTGTAGCCTTCGCGCTCTTAAATCACCCACAATCCTATGCGCAGCTTTGCTATCTTGTTCAAAAAATAAAAAAATGTCGACCGTTAGCGGAGTCGGAGTGATAACGGCAATATGCTTTCAAATGTAAGCAAGTATAATTTCAGTTTAGCCATTTATTTAATGTTTGTTAAACTATTTGCATATCGGCTCAAATTTGCTTAGGGGATTTAAAGCTGTTCCCTTTTACTGATTAACTTTTTAATTTTTACTTCATAGCCTTTTTTGTTGGTCACATATTTTACAATTGCATGTGTTTTAACAGCTAACGTTAGATCATGTTGCTATGGAGGTAGTTCTGTTAACTCCGGTAATATAATCGTTTTTGAATGAATAAACTCCTTTTTAAATCAATATTTTGTGTCAAATTATTGATTTATTTGGTAGGTAGCCATGTTATAAGTGGGAAAATGTATTATAGCGAGGCGGTTGTTACTGCGAATACAACCGGCTGATCAAGACCCCTCTGCTTTAGAGTTTGCGGGGTTGTATTCACTATAACAACCGCCTGGTTATACATTATCCCTTTATTTATTTATTTCTATGAGGACTGACAAGACAAAATAAGGACTGTCAAGTGTATTTAAACAGTGCAGTACACCAGCACAATGATTTTTGCAGCGCCGAAGCGGACCTTTCACTGATGTAATGACGCAATGACGTGCACTTGCTAGCCTGTTCCATTTACATGTTCTCCGAACGCTAAAGAGGACCCTTGCCCATAGCCTCTGAAGGAAATGACTTGGAAGGACCCGTCCTGCCAAGGAAGTATCCTTGACATTGAGAAACACCTATGGAGTGCGTTTTCAGGGGGCGGGGTTTATGTAAATGTTAGGGTTAGTGATGTCACTATCCAGGGGGGAAGCTTGTGTAGTTCCTACCAGCCGTTTGTTGTAGTCCTTAAAAAATATTTCTTTGCTTTGAACTTTGAGAGTTGTAACTTTGCAGATGTTGTTTATGCTCAAACAACAACATTATACACTATCTAAAGTTAGAAAAGTGAAATCATAATCAACCAACGCTTTAATGTATTATTTTGGAGGTTTGGGGTTGATAACAGTGATCATGATACTGTAATGCTGTTTAGATCAATATTTACTCATATGTGTATTAATACAGGAAAACTTTTAGTGACAGTGAAGCCAGATCAGCGTGTGTTCATAGGAGAGAGAGTCACTCTCACATGTGACATAAAGGGAGGAGGAAACATTCAGTGGACATACAGCTGGATTAAAGATGGAAACACTGTCAATCCATATATAGTCTCGCGTAGCCAGACCTTCAGACTGACGGCTGAAGGTCTGGAATTCATATAGCAGCTTTCTTTGGCCAAGGCCCGCCCATAAGGCCGTTTGACCGACATGTCAAACAACCAATTACAGTTCGTTTCATTCAGCGTCACGTTTCGGGGCGTGGAAATGTCCCCACAACATCAGACCGGCGTGCAACAAGTCAGTCAGACTCAGCAGCAGTCACCGGAGGCGCTCGTTAACAACAGTCCGCGTTATTAAATTCACCCACAAACTCGCGCTCATGTCCATCTTATGCCCGCTTTGTCACACGGCCAGTTCAACCTCGTATAAATCAGGTTATGTGTGTAAATCACGTGCTCACGAGCGCTCACTCAGACACACTGTACCCGGCGCTGCTTGTGCGTCACAGTTATGTTCATAAAGCGCTCCCCGTTCACAGTAACCGGCTCGTCTCATTCAAAACAGCCAGCTGTAACGTTAGCTGTCAGCGAGCCGCAGCACATTGAATACTCGCAGTCAAACGTTTGACTCTGCAGTATCTTATGCACCTTATAATCCAGTGTGCGCATATATGAATACTGAATCGGCCAGCTGCGATGTCAGCGTCTGTTGTTTCATGTTTGCCCACAAACGCGGCTGATATCCCCTTCGCAATTAAGTACTTCACTTGATCTTCCATAATCGATAGGAGGGGACATACAACTACGTTTAGCTGATCTTGATTAATGTTCATTGTCACTCATAAACTCAACAGTTTTTCTTCCGCAATCACACTTCTGCGCTTTGTTTCCCGGCGGACCGAAAATAAACGCGACACTGAAACACGCCCCCCGGAAATCCGATAAAATTCAACCAATCAGATGACGACTTCGACATTCCTGAAGTGTTTCCAGTTAAGTGTACCATATGCATCAGACGTTTAGCCAACGTTCCGTGGGCGTGACGTCTGAGGCTGAGACTAATCCATATATAACAACAACAACAGCAGAGATCAGTTTCACAGCTGATGTGTCTCGCAGTGGTGAATACAGTTGTAGAGGAGAGAGATCAGACTCACACACAGACTTCAGTGATGGAGTTACACTGACTGTATCAGGTGAGTCTTCATATTCACATCTGTTTAATCATCATATATGTGGTCAAAACACTTTTCTTATGCTCTTCAGCCACATCTCTTAAAATAAGGACGGGAACAATTCTTTTTTTCTGTTCAAACAATGAACTTAATATTAAATTTAATTTAATTTTAGTATTTTGTGCATATTATGCACAAACAACCTGTTGTAGAGCCAATCTTTACAATAAATGCTCTGATGCAATAGTCAATCTTTTTGGGGCAAAGACTCAGAATCATGCCAGAATGATTTTTCTGATGCAGACAATTGCTAATTTATTTGACTCTGGAGGATCTGAATCTGTTGTTGTTCTCCTGCAGATCTACAGCCGAAGCCTGAACTCACATCAGATCCTGCAGGAGCTGCACTGACTGGAAACACAGTGACTTTGACCTGTCGCATGAATCTAACCAGAGACTGGGACATTTACTGGTACAAACACACACTGAACCCCGAGACAGAGAAGACACAAACACACTCCTACAGCCTGAAGATTGATTCAGTGTCTGATGGAGGCCAGTACTGGTGTAGAGCTGGAAGAGGGAAACCAGTCTATTACACACAATACAGTGATGCACTGTGGGTAAATGTTACAGGTGAGAGAGACTGTAGTGTGTGATGCAACAAATACAGATCAGAGACAATATCTACACAACTTCTGAAACTATAAATGCAATAATCTGTGTTTGTACAGTGAGTCCTAAAGCTGTGGTGACGGTACGACCTGATGAACGAGTGTTTAGAGGAGAAACAGTCACTCTCAGATGTGATATAAAGTGGGCAGGAGACACTGAGTGGACATACAGATGGGAAATAGAGGGAACCAACGACCGATATAAAAACACTGTCAGCCGAACCTCAACACAAGAGTTGATCATCAGCAGTGTCGATCTCTCTCACAGCGGTGAATACACCTGTACAGGACTGATACACACTCTCAGCTCTCAGCGCAGTGATGCTGTTACACTGACTGTCTCAGGTGAGTGTGTGTGTGTGTGTGTGTGTGTGTGTGTGTGTGTGTGTGTGTGTGTGTGTGTGTGTGTGTGTGTGTGTGTGTGTGTGTGTGTGTGTGTGTGTGTGTGTGTGTGTGTGTGTGTGTGTGTGTGATCAGCTTCTCCATCAGTTTCTCTACGGCTCTGTAACTCGTGATGTTTTGTTCAGCTGAAGCTCAGGCATCACTGCGAGTGTCTCCACAGCCGTGGCTGACTGAAGGAGAATCAGTGACTCTGATCTGTGAGGTTTCAGGCTCCTCTACAGGCTGGACGTTCAGCTGGTTCAGAGATCATGATCATCTGTCAGACAGCAGCAGAGGAGCTGGAGGATCTTACACTCTCAGTCCTGCTGCTCTACAGCACACAGGAGTTTATACGTGCAGAGCAGAGAGAGGACGACCAGCCTATTACACACACAACAGCAGCTCACACACACTGTGGCTCACTGGTGAGGGTTTCTGCTTGTGCTCATCCGCATCTGTGTTTCACTGCAGTCTCTGTGCTGTCAGTTCTGATGGAGATTTTCCTCTTTTCAGGAGTTTCTGCTTCAGTGTCTCTGGTCATCGATCCCAGCAGAAGTCAACACTTCTCATCTCAGTCTCTCTCTCTGAGCTGTGTGGATCAGAGTAACTCTGCTGGATGGACAGTGAGAAGATACACAGACACACACACACAAACCTGTGCCAAACAAACAGGATCTGGATGTGTAATCGACTCTCTCAGCACATCTGACTCTGGAGTGTACTGGTGTGAGTCTGAATCTGGAGAGAAACGCCGTCCTCGAAACATCACTGTACACGGTGAGTCCAACCACTCACAACTATATAACAATGAACAACAATCTGTTTAAGATTACAAAATATTATAATAATATCAAGATTTTAACTCTATAATATAATAAAATAAAATACACTACATTATAATTAAGTGTATGATTATATATATACTGTATATATATATAGTAACACTTATGTTACAATAACCCTTTTGAACATGTGAATATAATGTCATTTATTCCTGTGATCAAAGCTGAATTTTCAGCATCATTACTCCAGTCTTCAGTGTCACATGATCCTTCAGAAATCAGTATAATATGATGATTTGATGCTTAAGAAACATTTCTGATTATTACCAATGTTGAAAACAGTTTAATATTTACTGAATTATTTACTGAATTATTTATTATTTCAATATTTACTGAATTCAATTACTGATTAAATGAAACAGTTTAACACTTTTCCTGGAATTTTTTTTTTTTTTTTTTTTTTTGATGAATAGAAAGTTTGAAGTACATAATTTATTTGAAATTTAAACATTTTTTAACATTATAAATGTCTTTTTTGATCAATGCGTCACATTTGATAGTGAATCCCTTCTGAATAAAAGTGTCAGTTTCTCAGATTAATGAAAGTGAACCTTTTGGCCCTCCACATCTTATTAATAATTGAAGTATGGGTCTGATTAATACGTTAATACAGTATCATCACTAGCAGCTGTTGATGTGTGTCTCGTGTTTGTAGACGGTGAGGTGATTCTGGAGAGTTCTGTTGATCCTGTGATTGAGGGAGAGACTCTGACTCTACACTGTTTACATCGATCTACAAACTCCCCGATCTCCAGCGCTGATTTCTATAAAGACGGATCACTGATCCAGAATCAGACGACAGGAGAGATGAGCATCACTACTGTCTCAAAGTCACATGAGGGTTTCTACTCCTGTAAAACAGAGAGAGGACAGTCTCTCCACAGCTGGATCTCAGTCACTGAAGTCTTTAATGGTGAGATGATTTAATGAGAAACGCCACACCATTATTATATACTAGTCTCTAGCTCTTATTTCTGTCAATAAGTGTATTCTTCTTCTGTGTAAAATTATTATAAATACCAGTTTATGCAATTTAATTATGGCGTTTAAGATCGCAGTCGGACACTATCAGCTCGGCTGGCCGTTTCTAGCCCTCGCTCGCACTGGCTCCACAGTGGAAATGCGGATAATGATTTCTGACTGGCATAAAACTGTACAAATCAAACAAAATAAACAGGTAAAGGTAGAGACCAGTTAAAGGAGCTGTATGTAAGAAATTTATTTCAAATAATCATAAAATGGCCCTGATATGTCACTAGACATTAAGACATAATGTTCATTCAAATACTTATATCACTGACAACTGTAGTCCAGCCAGGATATTGTCATTTAAAAAGTGAAGTTTTAGCCTTCAACTGATGTTGATTATGTCATGTTGTGTTTTGATGTGATGCTCCTCCCTCCACCGATCTACCAATCACGGAGTCAGTAGTGTTGCAGCATTCACACACAAAACTTTGTTGCTCAATAATTTTCTTGTGTTTCTGTTTTCCAGGTCAGATTTCTGTCTACAAAATCCTCAGTTTTCTTCTGGCAGCTTCTCCGTATCTGTTAGCGACAGTCGTGCTGCTTTTCAAATGTTACAGAGCGAGAGGTAAAACTTCACATTATGCCTTTACTGCCTGTCTTGTATATATTATATAGATCTATATTTTGAACGGATGATGGTCATTCATAAAAGCAATAACTGCAGTGGGGAAAGAAAAATAAATAAATAAATAAATAAAAATAAGACATGTCCGTTTAAATGTTGAAAATGTTTTTTGTGTGTATTTCACAGTTTCATCTGCTGAAGACCAAAGTCAGTATGCCGTAACAGAGGAATAAAATATTTGACAGAACAAAGTGATTCCTGCAATTGTAATTTAATGTGGAATGTACATTTGTGATACAAACAAAGGCTATTGGGGTATTTTTGCAGAGAATAAACGAGCCTGACGAAAGACTTTTTATGTCTTTGTAAACGAGACCCTTATCATCTCCCTGTAAATACAAAAATGCTCATTTGAAAATGGTGACGACATGCGTATGACGTGTTCATTCTTTTGGCTTTTTTAAATGAAAGGTTCATTTCAACAGACTCAAGGATGATAGATTTTTTCGAAGCCCTTGTGTTCAAAGGTTTTGACAATTTCTAAAAGTGACTTTATATCAGAGGAGATCATTTTAAGATTGGGATTACTGTGAATGTTTCTGGCTTTTTGAAGAGGAAATTTACCCAGAAGACAAAGTAATATTACAGTATTATCAAGATGAACATCCTTAGAATGGAAATCAGACAAAAACATGATAGATTCTGTAATTTGTGTCTTTAGGCCTGTGTGCTCAGCTGCAGTGAACTACAGTAAAATAATGTGTGTGTGCAGTGCCATATCTTCATTTACAAAGTCACATCGCCAATATACATGCTTACGTATCGCCAATATGCTTAGAAAAACAGCACTCTTGCTCATTACTCTTATTTCTTAACTTTATCATTATAAATATACAAATCAGGAACTCATTAGTGAGGCGCTCACCCAATTGATTTTGTTATAAAAACTGTATTGTGTTTATAAACCTTTAAAAACTATATATTTCATAACCATAATCCGTAATAAAAAATAATAATAATAATGTTGTGTGGTGTTTTTCATTATAGGGTTCGAGCTGAACTCTGCAGGAAAGTAGATCTCGAGGGTCAGAGTTGCTCACTAGTTTATAATGTAACATCAATGCTATTTTTTTTTTTTTTGGCTAAAACTAAAATAATAAAGATTATAAATAAAAGATAAGATGTTAAAAGAGTCTTTGTGTTCTCTGATTAGACAGCCGTGCTGCTAAACACATTAATGCTTGAGTGAGGGATGATATTTTAACTGGATACTGGAACAGGCCGAAAGCACTAAAGCATTTTTACATAATGAATAATGCAACAAAAAATTTACAAAAAAAACATGGAAAAAATTGTATTCGTGCTGAGAGTTGCTTCAAATCAATTTGTTTATCTTTGTTCATATCCTTGAATATATTTGAATATGATAAGCATATATAGCCTACTGCTAATTTGATATCTGCTATTCTGGATAATAAAATGGTAAAATGTAAATAATTTGTTGATAAAAAATACTTTTATATTACAGCAAAAACATCAAAAATTTAAGTCGATTGTACGTTATAGCATGAATTTTAGTCTGGGAGTTTAAAGGGTTAGTTCACCCAAAAATGAAAATTAAGTCATTAATTACTCACCCCCATGCTGTACCAACCCCGTAAGACCTTCGTTCATCTTCGGAACACAAATGAAGATATTTTTGATTCAATTTGAGAGCTGTCTCACTACCACATTGGCTTCCTAAGGGACAGGCTCTTGACGGCCCAGAAAGTCAATGAAGAAAATGTTTAAATATCCCAGGTGACTACAGTGGCTCAACTATAAGTTTATCAAGCGACGAGAATACTTTTTGTGCGAAAAAACAAACAAAAATAACGACTTTATTCCACTATTCCTTTTCTTCCTTGTTGGCCAGAAACGAGACTTCCTTAATTAGATTTCCACGACGCATGCGCGATAATTGCGACCTCTTTTTACTACTTCCTTTCAGTTCTCGCGCATGCGTCGTGGAAATCTAAGGAAGTTTCGTTTCAGGCCAAGGAAGAAAAGGAATAGTGGAATAAAGTCGTTATTTTTGTTTGTTTTTTCGCACAAAAAGTATTCTCGTCGCTTGATAAACTTATAGTTGAGCCACGGTAGTCATTTGGGATATTTAAACATTTTCTTCATTGACTTTCTGGGCCGTCAAGAACCAGTCCCTTAGGCAGCCAATGTGGTAGTTATACAGCTCTCAAATTGAATCAAAAATCTTTATTTGTGTTCCGAAGACGAACGAAGGTCTTACGGGGTTGGTACAGCATGGGGGTGAGTAATTAATGACTTAATTTTCATTTTTGGGTGAACTAACCCTTTTAACCTTTACTTTGAAACCAGCCATAAATGTCTTCACAGAATAGTTTATTGTTCTACGGCATCTTCCTTAACATGCAACACAACTGCTCTTTTCACAGACAATATGGGTGGCTCTTAAAAGAGCCTTTGTGTTGTTGAGCGGACTCGCTCTACTTTGAGCTGGTGTATTTGGTCACGGCCTTTGTGCCCTCAGACACGGCGTGTTTGGCCAGCTCTCCGGGCAGCAGCAGACGCACGGCGGTCTGGATCTCTCTCGATGTGATGGTGGAGCGCTTGTTATAGTGAGCGAGACGAGACGCTTCACCGGCGATGCGCTCGAAGATGTCGTTGACGAAAGAGTTCATGATCCCCATCGCCTTGGAGGAGATCCCGGTGTCGGGGTGAACCTGCTTCAGGACTTTGTACACGTAGATCGCGTAACTCTCCTTCCTGGACTTTCTGCGCTTCTTTCCGCCCTTGCCGGCGGTTTTAGTGACGGCCTTCTTCGAGCCCTTCTTGGGTGCAGACTTCGCTGGTTCAGGCATGATGCTTCAGTCAGTGAAACTCAAAGAACTGTAGCTCTGTGTAAAGGCAGGCGGCCTTTATCCACTGTTCTATGCTAATTTAAAAAGGGAGGAACGAAACTCTGGGATTGGTAGGCTTCCTGGACCAAACCATAGAACGATTTCATTGGTCACATAAAACATTCCCTGAATTGTAGGTGATCCAATCAGAAGCTTTGAAATGTTAATCACGCCCATCGACAACAACCATCCCCCGTGACTTCATTTCTTTGTTTCAATTTCCCGCATTTTTCAGGAATGAATAAATGGATTATTGTGAATCATTTCAGATTTTCTTTCATACGTAGATGATTATATATAATTTAAACATTTATTTAAAAGCAGAATTAGCCTTGTTTTATGTATGTACGGTAATCTTCATAAAAAAAATTGTGTGTGTGTGTGTGTGTGTGTGTGTGTATATATATATATATATATATATAACAATGAACTGTGAATATAGCACAGTAAAAATACAAATCACTTAACCCTCGCTAGCTTGGTATGGTGTTGCCTACAGGAAACATGGTCTAATATAGTTAGTAGGTTTGTTTGTTTGTTTGATAAAATGAGACCTAACCTATCTCATGGTAGAAGAACTCAAATACCAATCAATGAAATTGCAAAATAGTGATCACATGACCCACAGAGAGCACGTCTCCATATTCTCCATGACTCACATGAGCACGTCTCCATATTTTCCCGAATGAAAAGTTCATTTTAAATAATTTGCGTAGTTAATCGCCCACAAAAATATGAGTCATATACACTAGTAAGTTAATAAGTATTTTCAAGAACTTTACATTATATATCATCTTTATCTTTATCCTTATATATCAGGAAATTAACAAAAATCTGTTGCCTCAACATAGCACCACAGTGGAATCGCATAAGGCCAAACCAGGTTGGAATACAAATGTATTATATTTGTAAGGAGTTACAATTAAATAAATATTGAATCTGTAATGAAAAGTAATTCACATACTATTTCTACACATTGTCTATAGCATCTATAAAAGGTATTTAAAGCACAGCTGGCTGTTGATGAGGGTGAGGAGGTGGTATCATATGAGGAAGATGAGGTTATAGTGAATCCAGCAGGGAGAGTGAAGAAGAGGATGAAGATGGATATGGTAACTTGATTTGATGGTTTGGTAATTTGTGTTCCACTGTGGTACAACCAGATGAGACAACCAGATGACAACCTTACAACGTTGCCTGAGATCAACAGCTTTTATTTATTTATAATACATTAATAACTAGAAAAAACTTGTTTGTTCGATCAACTGGTTAAAAAAAATTGACTTTCTATATGAAAATTTCAAACGTTTTAATTTGTCCGTTATTTATGTAATACTAATATTTTCTCATTTATATTAATTTTCTCTATTTTTCTATCCGTGTAAGAGAATTCATTAATTTACCACGTTACTGTACATTTCGACAACTAAAAACTCGTTCTTTGTGAGAAAATGTGGGTGGCTCTTAAAAGAGCCGTTGGGTTTTTCCTTCTTCACAAATCTCTTATCCGCCGAACCCGTACAGAGTGCGTCCCTGTCGCTTCAGCGCGTACACAACATCCATGGCGGTGACGGTCTTTCTCTTGGCGTGTTCAGTGTAAGTCACAGCATCACGGATGACGTTCTCCAGAAACACCTTCAACACACCGCGGGTCTCTTCATAAATCAAACCAGAAATACGCTTGACGCCGCCACGTCGAGCAAGACGACGAATTGCGGGTTTAGTGATTCCCTGGATATTATCGCGAAGAACCTTTCGGTGACGCTTAGCGCCTCCTTTCCCGAGTCCTTTCCCGCCTTTTCCTCTTCCAGACATGTCGACAAATACTCTTCAACTGAAAACAGCCAAATCTAGAACAACACGATTGAAGAAGAGGCCATTATAGTCAACTAGCGGACCTAGTTGAAACCACAGTAATGGGAGGTTCTAGTAAAAGTCACTTACGCATTTCCAGGTCGAGGTCAGTTTTTTTGATGGGCCAATTTTGGAAGAAAATTACAGACCGCTTGCTTTGACTTCACATGTGGGTAAAATGATTGAAAACAGTGATAAAGGAAAGATTCAAGTATTATTCAGAGACAAGGGAACTATTAAATGATTACCAAAGCGGATTTAGAAAGGGAAAAAGCACAGATCCAGCTATATGTTTAGATTAGATTAGAAATTAGAAAAGTTCTAATTAATGAAGAAATTATAGTATTTTGTAGAGAAAGTATACGATATGTTGTGAAAACAAGGGTTAATGATTAAGATTTTTTTCAGATGGGAATAAGAGGGAGACTGTATAGTTGGATTAAACACTTTTTAACGGATAGGTAGATCATAATAATAATGGGAAAAGAATTTAGTACAAAGTATTTAGTGGAAAATGGAACTCCTCAAGGGAGTACAGTTAGTCCAGTTTTGTTTTTAGTTATGATGAATGAAGTGTTTATTAAAGTTGATAGATCAATAAGTGTTGCATTATTTGCTGATGACGGCGTTATGTGGAAAAAGGAAAGAAATGTAGGAGTAAAATGTGAGAGCCAGTAGGGAAGGTGGGGTGTTTGGAATGGAAAGTAGTTTTAGGTTTTCAGTGGCAAAAACAAAAGTAGTCTTTTTTTCACAAAGGAAAATAATTCAAGGACAGATTCAACTTAAACTTATGAAAGAAATTTAGAGTGGATTGTTTTAAGTATCTTGGGATATGGTTTGACAAAAACTTAAGTGGAAAATACATATCGAGAATGTTGAAAAATGTAAAAGAATACTAAATGTAACAAGATGTTTGAGGTTGATGTGGAAATTATAGTAAGGTGGAAGTTAAAAGCATAATCAAAGCAGAAATGAAAAAGAAGTGGCAGGAGGAGAAACTATGGAAACTAAAGCAAGAATGTTAGTATCCACAAGAAGGTTGGAGGAATGAGAGAAAATATAAATAAAAAGGAAGAGGACATTATTTGGAGAATGATGTTGGGCATACTGGATTAAATAATACCCTGAATATATAACATGAAACTGGGTTGTGTGTGTAGAATAATAAAGTGAAACATTAGAACATGTAATTAGTAATTGTAGGTGTAATTAGGAAAGGATGTTTCTGAAAGATAGGCTAAGCAAAGAGAAAATTGCATTTGTATATTTGATTTTTTTGTTTCTTTACACTACTTTTATTTTACATTACTATTTTCATTTTTAAAAAAATTACATGAAGAATATACAACTGAATTCGGAGGGGCTATAGAGCAATTTTTAGTAATAAAAAGATGGGCTCATTAGAAGTATATGAGTTTAGTTAATATTAAAATTGCGTCAATGATGATGTGAAAGATAATGTATTAATATTAAGAATTTTATTAGATTTTGTACTTTACATTTATTTAAATATTAGTGAGAAAAACAATACTGAGAAACACTTTTAAAAAACAATATTAATAATAATATGAAAATCATCTCTCATAGTTATTGAGGTGGCTCTTAAAAGAGCCTTTGGGTTTGTGCTTCTGCGGTGGATTTAAGCGCGCTCTCCGCGGATGCGGCGGGCCAGCTGGATGTCTTTGGGCATGATGGTGACCCTCTTGGCGTGGATTGCGCACAGGTTGGTGTCCTCAAACAGACCCACCAAATAAGCCTCGCTCGCCTCCTGCAGGGCCATAACAGCCGAGCTCTGGAAACGCAGATCTGTCTTGAAATCTTGAGCGATTTCTCTCACCAGACGCTGGAAGGGCAGTTTGCGGATCAGCAGTTCAGTGGATTTCTGGTAACGGCGAATCTCTCTCAACGCCACGGTACCGGGCCTGTAACGGTGAGGCTTCTTAACGCCACCGGTAGCGGGTGCGCTCTTACGGGCCGCTTTAGTGGCCAGCTGCTTCCTCGGAGCTTTGCCTCCGGTGGACTTACGAGCGGTCTGCTTAGTTCTTGCCATTGCTTCAAAAAGGTTCAGTCGCTGCTGTTAACAGAAGAGTGAATGAAGGAATACTAGAAAACATCGCCTTTTAAACCTTTGGCTGCCATGCGCTCATTGGATGGCTTTGTTTCAGAGGCATCCTATTGGTTGTTGTCGGGCGTCAGTAAATTACAGTTGGCCTTTCAAACAAGAGACTAGAGTTTGTGATTCCCGCCTTTGGAGTGTAGTCAAACAATGTGTGTCCTTACGTGACTCTTGAAGTTATTTTCTTTTTATTTTTGATCAGTTAAAAGTTTGTGGATAATGTAGGGTGGAGGATACCCAGAACTTTTCTCATGTTTAATGGTTAGTTAGGGAGTGAGGGAAGTTATCTGTTGTTTTGTTTTCTGTTATGTATTGGTAAGTTAATGTTATTCCCCTTTTAGGTTATTTTGTTTTCTGAATTGGGCCCTCCTCCGAGTTTATATTTTTGTTTTTGGATTTATTTGTAATGTGTTTCTTTACTTTATATTATTAATAGGGCTGTCAGTTTAACGCGTTATTAACGGCGTTAACGCAAACCCATTTTAACGGCGTTATTTTTTTTATCGCGCGATCAACAGTCTTTTTGTCCTAGCAAACTTTGTAGTTTTTTCACATGCTTTTGCAACAGGACGCGGCATGCGTCCTGATCCATTTTGGTGTCTCGCGCTCGTCATCCACTCAAAGCCGGCTCACAAGCCGAAACGTGTCTTTGCGGCGTGCCTGTTGTTTTGTTTACGGTCTAGATCCGCTTGCGCTTTGGTCGATGAAGCAACAAAACGTCCTCGCGCGGCGCAAGCCATTGAAATGAATGGGTTTCAGAGCGCAGCGCGAGGACGTTTTGTGCCGCACACACTCGTTTTAGCTTGCGAGCCGGCCAAATAGTAACGTTACGTTTTGAGTGGATGACGAGCGCGAGACGCCGAAATGGAGGCCCAAAGATTCTGAATGGAAAGTTTACTTTTAAAAAGTTGCCAAATTGTCCCATTGACAAGACCAAGTGATCTGTGTGTTTTGTCGTTGTGGACTGAGCTATCATCATCGCAACACGTCCAATCTGAAACACCACTTGATGGTGGCCAAGCAAACACACACACACACAAACACACACACACACACACAGATGATGCGAATTCTCCACCCACTCGTCAATATCAGGACCTCGTCAGTATTTCTTTCACCCTTTTATTGATAGACAGTGTTACATTGTGTGAGAGATTATTTATATGTTAGTGTGAAATTGAGCACTATTCCAATGTTATTTTCAATAATAATAATAAAAAAAACTTTTGCACTAAACAAGCCAATCCACTTTTCCATGTTGATAAGAGCATTAAAATGAGAAAATAATGTAACAAAAAGAAATCAAAATACATTTAGAATAGATAAAAATGTGCGATTAATCGCGAGTTAACTATGACATTAATGCGATTAATCGCGATTAAATATTTTAATCGTTTGACAGCACTAATTATTAACATATTTTCTAGCTTCGGCTTGGGTACACAAATAAAAGGTAGACATGCCATTTCAAAGTGAAATTTGTTTGATTATTTGAATCTGGGACTGGAGATCCTCAAAGTCTCTCTACTGTTTGTTCGTCGTTCCCTCTTGTACCCTTTTTAGATAAAAGGGGAGACCTAACAACACGAAAATATGGCAAAATCAGGTATTTGTACAGCAAAACCTGTGATTGATTTTTCATTGTTATTGAAAGTTTAGAGTTGTGGCACTATTAGTAAAAGCTGAGAAAAGCACAAATACTTATCCACGCTGTGTTTCATTTCTTTGTATTTATCAACATTTCAACATTTTAGCCATGCTAATAAAACTAAGCACTTTCATATTACGCTCATTAAATATATACAAATAGTCTAGCAAGATTGGATAACACAGTACTCATCAACATTTTCTAGGGAAACTCATGTTGTCAGATTTAAAGAATAAATAAATAACATTGAAAACACTGATTTAATCTCAGACATTTAAGAGTGTTAGGTTCCATATGAAGAAATGTATTTTTGTTTAATAGGAGTTGTGTGTAGTCTAAAGTAGAACTATTAGTTTATGGGATTTCTTCTACCCTAGCATTTTTCTTTTTAATAATTAATAGAACTTTCATAAAAAAAAAAAAAAAAAAAAAAAAAAATCGGACAAAAGAAATCACTCTCTCTTGGAGAAAATGGGTGGCTCTTAAAAGAGCCTTTGGTTTGAAGCGAAGCTTCTGTCAGTTTACTTTCCCTTCGCGGGCTTCTCGGTTTTCTTGGGCAGCAGCACGGCCTGGATGTTGGGCAACACACCACCCTGAGCGATGGTCACGCCACCCAGAAGCTTGTTGAGCTCCTCGTCATTGCGCACCGCCAGCTGCAGGTGTCGAGGGATGATGCGGGTCTTCTTGTTGTCCCGAGCGGCGTTTCCAGCCAACTCCAGGATCTCAGCGGTCAGATACTCGAGCACAGCGGCCAAATACACCGGAGCTCCGGCACCGACGCGCTGGGCATAGTTGCCTTTGCGGAGAAGCCTGTGAACACGGCCGACGGGGAACTGCAGTCCGGCCCTGGAAGAACGAGTCTTAGCCTTGGCACGAGCCTTTCCTCCGGTTTTGCCTCTTCCGCTCATTGTAGCTTGCAGTTGTTGGTCAAAGTAAGATTAGTAACATTTTCGACGCTGTTCTACGTTTTAAAAGAAAGCTCACTAATCTCCTATTGGCTGGAGTCTGAACACATCATTGGGCCAATCAATGAGCTTCCCTCCAAACACCAAACCCAACCCCCTTTCTACTATTCTTTAGTGTTTGTTATGTTAATCAGGCCTCTTAGCTTTCTTTTAATGCATTTCTTTTAAGGGTTGAATACGTCATTCATTTCTTCAGTATTTATTTTCATTTTTTTATTTTTTATATATATGTCGTATGTATATTTTATGACTATGTAAAGAATGTTGAATTACCATCTTGACTTTACTGTCTGGTTTTGACCAGATTAGTCGATATTAGTTCATTGGTTTAAATTTCACTGTTATAAACATGTGAACGTCTATACAGATACATAGTTCATCAAAATGTTGAAATTGTAAATTTAAATGTCTAACGTTCAATTCACATCTAATTGTACATGTGCTTTTTACAATAAATTCGTTTCGAAGCAGCTTTACAGAAAATGCATGAGTCCATTACAATTTAGTGTGATCTGTTCTAGGAGGGAACTATAAACAATGTACTTCACAGTTGACTTAAAATGAATTTATTTTAAAAAAATTATAATTGAAGGCAGAGACAATGAGCTCATTGAAGTAATGAATACTTGTTTGTAATCAAATGATTATGACCTTTAGAAAAATGCATTTTCAGATTAAAGAATTTAACTGACATATTTATGTTATATCAGGTCAAGTTGCTTTCAGTTGAAACATACGTTTTAGTCTGGGACTATATGGTTTAAACTGCGTGAAATTTTGGATAAATTTATTTTGCACACAATGACACTTTCATTGAACAGTGACATAAAATAATGCTCTTTACTATGAATAAGTGGGTGGCTCTTAAAAGAGCCTTTTTGATTTGTAAAAAAAAAAAGAAAGAAAGAAATAATGAGTTTATTTCTTTTTAGCTGCAGTCTTTTTAGGCTTGGCGGCTTTAGGCTTGGCTGCTTTAGGTTTCGCCGTTTTGGGTTTGGCTGCCTTTGCCTTTTTCGGGCTCTTGGCTGCTTTCTTAGGAGTCGCTGGTTTCTTTGCCTTCTTGGGACTCTTCGTTGCCTTCTTAGCGGCGGGTTTCTTCACCTTCTTCGGAGATTTCTTAGCGGCGGGCTTCTTTGCTGCTGCAGTTTTGGGCTTCTTCGCGGCTGCGGGTTTCTTGGCTGCGGGCTTCTTGGCTTTAGGAGCCGCTTTCTTGGCGGGTTTAGTCTTGGTCTCGGTCTTTTTCTTGTTGAGCTTGAATGAACCCGAGGCGCCTGTTCCTTTAGTCTGGACCAGGGTTTCATTAGTCACCAGGCTCTTGATGGCGGTCTTGACGCGAGAGTTGTTCTTCTCCACATCGTATCCACCGGCGGCGAGCGCTTTCTTCAGGGCGGCGAGGGACACCCCGCTCCTCTCTTTAGATGCGGACACAGCCTTGACGATCAGCTCGCGGACGCCTGGACCCGCTTTCTTGCTTTTGGCGGCTGATTTCTTCTTGGCCGCTTTAGTCGCGGATGCTGGTGCGGTTTCTGCCATGATTTCTCTGAGTGAATCTGGACTCAAACAATCTGACTGTGATCAACAATGAGCCGCTGCGCCTTTAACAGCCGCATGAGAACCGTGTAGACTCAACATGCTCTGTTCAGCGTCTGCTCCTCCACTAATGCATTTGCTTGTGTTTTCTCCTTTCATTTTTGGAATAAAACTGGATTTGTAAAATAGTTTAGTAGATTAAAAACAACGTATACATTGAGGAGAGAGATTGAACTTTATTTTAAGACTAAAACACGCGAAAAATCAACATTTATTTAAGCATTGTCCGACCAAATCCAAAATGTGCACCTGTAGTGAACAAGGCTGCGTGTATATTTCATATAATTTTGTGTATTAACAGTAGTAAACTCCTGAATGTGTCATCCTGGTTTTGGAACTAGCAATTTGACAATGGCTTTAATGTAAGGAAGATCGCTGAGGGACTTGTGGAGTGTTTCATTCAGAAGTTGTTTTGTGCAGCTTGAAGCACACACATCTATCTAACAACTCTTTATCTCCGGTCACTGATGATTCCCATGTATTCCTTCTGGAGATGCCTATATTGTTATGTAGTGTATGACTTTCTGTTGCCACGTCAATAGTATCTAGAGATCCACATTACTCTGCATTGTGAAGTGACGGAGTCAAGGTCAAACACACATCTGAATGCTTGGGGCCATTTTTCAAAATACATTTCTGAATGGTGTATTTTCTGTTGAAGAACTCTCAATGCCTCATGCTACAAATTATAATTATAGAATTGCAACAATAGAGATTTAGAGTTGAAAATTAACACTGAACTAGTTACAGATCCAACCATCATTTCTACTGAACTAAACACTTTCTTTTAAAACTCAGTCTTTGAAATAACTAAACTTTTTAATTTACCTAGCTACTCTATTTGCTCCATTAAAAATGCACAGCCGATTTTTCACCTACAACAAATAACTGAATTAGAAGTATCAAACATTATCAATAGCTTAAAATTAGAAGGCCATGGATATCTATGGCCTTGGTACAATTAAAAAGGCACAAAGAGGACCTTATACAGCCTATTACACATCTGATTAATCAGTCCTTATCCATTATGCCATCAGCAGAATCAGCAATCAGTGTTTTACCTGTTGTTTCTAAAATACTGGAAAAATGGGTGGTCAAACTACTGATTCGACATCTCAATAAAAGCAATAATTCACTCCACCCTTCACCCTATGCATGTTTATAGGCTTCATATCAGTAATATTGTTCATAGCCTAGAAAAGTTTCAGCCATTTTATCATGTCACTGTGATGTCTGTCTGATCTTCCTAATAAAAAATTCACAATGATGCTTTGTCTTCTTCAGTTTTGGTTAGTTGTCTGTCACTTTTTTGAGTAAACGTATATTGTTTTATTCACTTGTTCTGTATAAATGAATGACTGCTGAGATTAATATGTGTGTATTCCAAAGAGCAGTAATAAATATCTTTATTTGCCTCACATTTGTATCATGATTTTTTAACTATCATGGTCTAAAACAATTTCTTAATCAAATGAATCTATATATATTTAGTGAATTTTGTTAAATATTTTGAAAGGCATTTTATAATTGAAATTCATTGTAAGCTATTAGTGTTCCACAAAAATAAACGTGTTTTACAGAATATTATAAGTGGCCAACAAATGAGAAATGCTCTTTCCAATGAAACAAAGTGATGAGATGATTGCTAAATATAATGCTTTATGAAATTGATTGCCACCAGTAAAAGGTGCAAACAGATACTATGTTTTGACAATGTAATGTATGACATTTTTAGTAGGCTGCTAATGATAAAAATAAAAATTTTATGAGGGTTGCCCAAAATGAGGATTGCTTAATTCGATCCCAACAATCCATCAGTTCTCCAAAACTGCCAATATTCTGTCCATGATCTCCGGCTGAAGGAAAGGAAACACAGGTGGCCAGTCCATCACAGGCCTCACACACATTCACTCTCTTATTTACACACAGACACCAATTTACATGCTTCATGCCTTTGGATAGTTTGGGAAACAGGAGTACACATGGAGAAACACATGCAAACACATGATTATGCATTGCTAAAACAGTAACTGATTCTTCGAGTAAATATGTTAAGTCAAATTAATTTGACTGACAAAGTGTTTGGAAATCACTGTTATACGTTAAATAGCAGACAACATATAAAACATTGGCATTTTCCTAACTGCCATAAACATACATTATTAATCTTCCACACATGAGCTTGTCTGATAACACTGATAACACCCATAGTACTTCAAACTTTTACACTTTAGTATAAGGGTCATTCCTGGGCATTAGTAATATTTCAACTTATATATATATATATATATATATATAACTAAAACTCATTTTCTAAATGCCACACATCAATGCACATATCAAACCTCCCAAAAATAAAATTTTCACATTTTTTTCAGATTTGAACATCTGTTATTTTCAACCCCATAACGGACAAATTGGAATTGGTTTAAAAAGGATTTTACACAAAACTTATTATGAAACATACATCTACTACTCATATGTCCCTCATAACAATTTAATAACTACAAATGTAACATTTATGATAATCTTCACATTTCTGTAGGACTGAAGTTAAAAAGAGAAAACAAATTATGTCTGTGGTCTCATTATTTTTGTTTAAAAAAAAATACAAATTTGATGTTTGAAAAAAACAATTTAATTGTGTCAATCCTTAACATTTCAGGTAATCCGCAAGAAAAGCTTTCATTTTTAATTGTCCAGATTTTTTTCCCAAAATATTAATGTGACAAGGTTGTGAATAGTGTAACCGGTTTGAAGGGAGACATTGTCTTCAATTTTATATTTTTTTCTCTTTCTCATATTGCACACTTCTTTCTGGCTCAACAAATTTGCATTCACAACACTGTCTTTCTGCGGCTGATGTGGCTGCCCAACCTGACATAAGCTTGTCAATGGTTAAGTGGACACATTACATAACGTATAACAAAATTATGAGTTGTCATGATTTTGGTCAGAATATCTTCACTTCTTAAACCATAATTTTATGTGATGGGTGGAGTTGTTAAGCTTGACAGTACCCTCCCTTCACTGTAGGCCTCAAAAATATTTATAAAAAGTACGATACTAACCATCTTCACAACACTGTTAAAAGACTTGAATTATATAATATCTGGTAAATGATGTTACATATGGGAGGACTCTAAATTATTATGAGAGAAAAGTTGATGAAAAGTTCAAAGTTGTGATGGAGTTCAAGTTCAGACACAAATAAATACTTTCAATGTTGCCAAAAAAAAATTGACAGTGGACATTTTGTTAAATATTTTTATCAGTGAAATGCCTTGGGGATATGACAAACTGCTTAGTGTAAAAGAGAATAGAATAAAATTATTTTATAATACAAATTATTTAAAAAAAAATTATTGGACATACCAAAGTATTGTGAAAAGCTTTTATTTCATTTTGAAAAGAGTTTAAACAGCCCCCAGTTTTAAAAGCACGGGGGACTAAACTACTACCAGGAACATTCTATAAATATTTTTGGAAGATATTTTAAAATTGGGCAGAAATCTGCCATTTCTACAAGTACATAGGACATTCATTCAAATGCATGAGGATGTGACAATAGAGTGAAACTAAACTTTCAATTTGTAGCCCACCAGTTTAAAACGATGTGCACTTTCATTGTAGAGACAGTGCAATTTGCTCTTTAAAAGAAGTTATGGGCGGCTCTTAAAAGAGCCTTTGTGTTGATGAACGGACTCGCTCTACTTCGAGCTGGTGTATTTGGTCACGGCCTTTGTGCCCTCAGACACGGCGTGTTTGGCCAGCTCTCCGGGCAGCAGCAGACGCACGGCGGTCTGGATCTCTCTCGATGTGATGGTGGAGCGCTTGTTGTAGTGAGCGAGACGAGACGCTTCACCGGCGATGCGCTCGAAGATGTCGTTGACGAAAGAGTTCATGATCCCCATCGCCTTGGAGGAGATCCCGGTGTCGGGGTGAACCTGCTTCAGGACTTTGTACACGTAGATCGCGTAACTCTCCTTCCTGGACTTTCTGCGCTTCTTTCCGCCCTTGCCGGCGGTTTTAGTGACGGCCTTCTTCGAGCCCTTCTTGGGTGCAGACTTCGCTGGTTCAGGCATGATGCTTCCGTTAGTGAAACCACAGTAACTGTAGCTCTAATCACTGCATGAGGGATTTATCCACTGCTCTATGCTAATTTCAAAAGGGAGGAACGATACTCTGTGATTGGTAGGCTTCCTAGATCAAAACATAGAACGATTTCATTGGTCACATGAAACTTTCCTTGAAATGCAGGTGATCCAATCAGAATCTTTAAATATTAATCCCACCCATCGCCTCATGTCCTACTACCATCCCCCATTAGTGATGGGAAGTCCGGTTCTTTTCCGCGAACCGGTTCTTTCGGACAGTTCGTTTTAATGAACCGGTTCAAAAAACCGGTTCACCAGTTCTTTTACGTCATCACGTAATGACGTCAATTCTATCATACCGCCGGATAAAAATACATTAAATTAAAGGCATTTGTAATCACAACTTCAGTTAAATAATAGTATGCATTGTCATAATCATCTTGGATAAGTTTCTTACATTTACATTTTGAAAACGAACCCTGCTGCAGCCTAGGCGATGTGCTAACGCGGATGTTTTACATGTTTTAAATATATAAAATGCATAAATGGTCTTCATCATTTTATTTGTTATTAAATAAACTTACATTTCGCCGATTCGCTGTCTCATTTAAGTCCTGGGTTCACCCGTACTACTGCGTGCTCATGTATCAGCACAGGATCAGCCGGCCGAAAGAAAGTTCTGTTCAGAGACGGTGATATCACGCATGCGCAGTATCTCCAGCTCATCGGTTCTCAGTATCGAACGTGTCCGAAAGAAACAGTTCTCGGTTCTGCACTAGTGATTCAAGAGCTGCAACAACCAGTTCTCGACTCGAGAACCATAGCATAGGCTTGTATGTGCTGAGCTGAAACCTGAATATACAGTCGACAAAACTAAAAAAATCGATGCATGTCTGTCTCTAATATAGCCTTCTGCAGCCTATGCAGTATACATCATGTTTATAATGTGTTAACATAACGAATTAAATGTTTAATTCGTTATGTTAACACATTATAAACATTTACTAAGCAGTGCACCATTAAAACCTTGGCAAGAGTTTACATTAAAGATTTATATTGTTACTTAGAAATTAAACGAGCTGTTTAATTTCTAAGCTGAAAATATTATTTTAGTCTAATAATAAATGTTTAGTAGTTTGACAGTTTTAGAATCCAATCATTGTTTCCAATCGTCAAAATAATACAGTGATAATACAGTAATTATGTGATAAACATGTTTCCAAAATGTTTTATTTTTGTTACACTTACTGATGTTCAACTAAAGACATGGAAACATTTCGTCCCTCAGAAAAAAATGCACGCATGCTCAGCTCATCAACTCATCAGTTCTCAATATGTCGAACGTGTCCGAAAGAAACAGTTCTTCTCGGTTCTGTACTGGTTATCCGATCGATGTACGTACGTTCGGTAGTACACGCATGCGCAGTATCAGCTGCTCGTGCTCATCACTTCTCTCAGCACCAACATATGTCTCCGTTCAGTGAACTTTTTGAGTTACTGGAATAAAATGTACTTCTGGATATTGGTTTATTTCGATTCGGAGGGACTGTCAGGCATGTCTGAAAGTGAGTAACTTTAGTAACTTGTGGTTTAGCGCTGACGCAAGACGCGAACTGTTTCGAACGATTCAGTCCGATTTAGTGTACTGGTTCGACCGGTTCACTAAAAAGAACCGGTTCAAAAGAACGATTCGTTCACGAACCGGCCATCACTATCCCCCATTCGATCAGGTTTCTTTGTTTCATTTTTCGCATGCAATGCCATGGAGTATAAAATATTGAAAGTAAAACATTTCAGTTTAATCAAATAAAAAAATATGTAATTCATACTACAAAACTATATATTAGCAATATTGTAATAATAGTATTTTTAATTTCCACAGAACCACAACGAATGTTACAATTCCATCTCTGAATATGGAAGCAATGAGGAACCTTATTGCTTTTATAAAACGGTTACTACAATAAAAATATTAAAGTAAAAATATATATATTTAACACTACAACTTTCATGAAGTACATCACTAAAAGCCTTCCTTCTGCTAGAAATATAATTGTCCCTGACCAGCAACAAAGTCCCAATGTACGAAAGCCCAAAAAAAAAAAGCGATCAAAGAGCCGTGTTTTATCATGAATAGTCCACAGCTATTGGCCAGTCAAAATCAAAGACTAGAACTAAGAGACTTATTAAATCCCCATAAAGAGCTTAATCTCATTAAAATCCTTGTGACGTACTTTTAACCACTTGGAAACTCGTTCTTTGTGTGTAAATGTGGGTGGCTCTTAAAAGAGCCGTTGGGTTTATCTTGTTCGCGAGTCTCTTAGCCGCCGAACCCGTACAGAGTGCGTCCCTGTCGCTTCAGCGCGTACACAACATCCATGGCGGTGACGGTCTTTCTCTTGGCGTGTTCAGTGTAAGTCACAGCATCACGGATGACGTTCTCCAGAAACACCTTCAACACACCGCGGGTCTCTTCATAGATCAAGCCAGAAATACGCTTGACACCGCCACGTCGAGCAAGACGACGAATAGCGGGTTTAGTGATTCCCTGGATATTATCACGAAGAACCTTTCGGTGGCGCTTAGCGCCTCCTTTCCCGAGTCCTTTCCCGCCTTTTCCTCTTCCAGACATGACGAAAGATATTCTGCAAATTTCAAACAGAAGCTATAACAGACTGTTGTTGAGAACAGAGGTTTATAGTCGGCTAGCGGACCTAGTTGAAACCAAATTAATGGGTGGTTCTTTTAAACGTCACTCGACCCGCTACTCTCCAATTGGTGCTCAGCAAATGACATGCAGCTCCACCTCTCACTGCGTAATGGGTTGATTTGGACGTACAGCTCCACTTCTATGGATCTAATGGTGGGTGTTAGTGTTTGGTTTGACAGTCTAACTTCACCCACTTGCCCAAATTACATTCAGAGAGGAGGAGCTGGATCTCAGACTCCACCCATGATTCTGCAATGAGAAGCCTCTCCTACACTCCAATAAAATCCAGTTGTCCTTCTAAGCAATTTGTTTAAATAATCAACAAGCAAACCCTGAGCCCATACGTTATGCACAGCATTGATGGAAATAGTTTATTTTAATATAAACATTTTATGAACAGTTGGTTGTTAAACTCGTTACGACAATTTTATTTATTTCAGCAGATCTGTATCCAACACACGTTTTCATAAAGCAAATAAAATAACCTAAACTCTTTTTGGAGAAATTGGGTTGGCTCTTAAAAGAGCCTTTGGTCTGTGTGAATGCGGTGGATTTAAGCGCGCTCTCCGCGGATGCGGCGGGCCAGCTGGATGTCTTTGGGCATGATGGTGACCCTCTTGGCGTGGATTGCGCACAGGTTGGTGTCCTCAAATAGACCCACCAAATAAGCCTCGCTCGCCTCCTGCAGGGCCATGACAGCCGAGCTCTGGAAGCGCAGGTCTGTCTTGAAATCTTGGGCGATTTCTCTCACCAGACGCTGGAAGGGCAGTTTGCGGATCAGCAGTTCAGTGGATTTCTGGTAACGGCGAATCTCTCTCAGCGCCACGGTACCGGGCCTGTAACGGTGAGGCTTCTTAACGCCACCGGTAGCGGGTGCGCTCTTACGGGCCGCTTTAGTTGCCAGCTGCTTCCTCGGAGCTTTTCCTCCGGTGGACTTACGAGCGGTCTGCTTTGTTCTTGCCATTGCTTCAGAGGACTTCAGTCGCTGCTGTGAACAAGACGAATGAATGAAAAGTTCACTTCACAGAGCTTTTTAAGCCTAGGGCTGCAATACGTTCATTGGATGGCTTTGCTTGAGAGGCATTCAATTGGCTGTTGTCTGGCGTCTGTAAATGACAGTTGGCCAATGGCCGTGTCTCTTTTCAAACAAGAGACAAGAGTTTGTGTTTCCCGCCGGAAACATGCATTTTCTCTTTGTCTGAGAATAGAAAAGGCGCGATACATTTTTAAAATATTATTGAAAGCGTAAAGTTGGACTAGTGGCACTAATAGTAAAAACTAAGATAAGCACAATTACCATATCTTTGTTTAATATTTTTTATATAAATTTAAATATCCTTAAATAATATTAAATCATTTTAAATAGTGTAGTAAGTCCATAACATAACATGTATTTCTACTTAATTTAAAAATAAAATAATGAAAAAAAGACAAATTGATTTATCAGAATCTCAAACATGTTAAAAGAATTACCTTTTTTTTAATTACATATAGTCAATATAGTAAGTATAGTTAGAATTGTCGACACATGAGAATTCTTCTGCAATATTTATTTTTCTTGTATATAAACTATCTTCGAAATAAAAAATAAAAAAAAGTGGGACAAATGAAATCACTCTCTCGTGGAGAAATTGGGTGGCTCTTAAAAGAGCCTTTGGTTTGATGAGAAGTTTTCGTCAGTTTACTTTCCCTTCGCGGGCTTCTCGGTCTTCTTGGGCAGCAGCACGGCCTGGATGTTAGGCAACACACCACCCTGAGCGATGGTCACGCCACCCAGAAGCTTGTTGAGCTCCTCGTCATTGCGCACCGCCAGCTGAAGGTGTCGAGGGATGATGCGGGTCTTCTTGTTGTCCCGAGCGGCGTTTCCAGCCAACTCCAGGATCTCAGCGGTCAGATACTCGAGCACAGCGGCCAAATACACCGGAGCTCCGGCACCGACGCGCTGGGCATAGTTGCCTTTGCGGAGAAGCCTGTGAACACGGCCGACTGGGAACTGCAATCCGGCCCTGGAAGAGCGAGTCTTAGCCTTGGCACGAGCCTTTCCACCGGTTTTGCCTCTTCCGCTCATGTTTGATTTTATTAAAATATTATGACACAACTTCTCTGTACAGAAGTAGTAGAATGAAAAAGCTGAGGGACTGCACTGTCTTTAAAAGAAAGTGCCAGTCTCCCATTGGTTTAGACTGTGATAAGTTTTAAACCAATCAATGAACTTCCCTCCAAAACCCAACCCCCTTTTTGGAACGATCACATGCATAGATGTTTGATAGACAATTTAAAAAAGTACTAAAATGGATATTATACCCTCTTCCTGCCAAAAGTGCTTCATACACTATATTATGAGCATATTGACTAGATCTGATACTGCACAGTATTATTATCCTGTTGTAATATTTGAGTTGTATCACTGCCATTGTTGTGTTGTTTGTATTGTCACACTTCTCCAGCATATTATTTTTTGTATATATTCTGTACTCAACATCCTATTTGCACTGTGATTAGTTTCAACCATCACATGATTTTTGGTTATTTGTAATCCATTTCTTATGAATAAAATTTTACACTAGGATTACCTAAACTTGATGACTTGGTTAATTGCATAGTTTTAGAGGTTGAAAGTCAAATCTTGGCTATTTGATTCCAGAATGATCAAATTATTCAAATACATGAGTTTTGCTCTTTACTTGAAGTTAGTGGTTGGCTCTTAAAAGAGCCGTTGAGGAATAAAAAATGGATTTATTTCTTTTTTGGAGCTGCCTTCTTAGGCTTGGCGGCTTTAGGTTTCGCCGTTTTGGGTTTGGCTGCCTTTGCCTTTTTCGGGCTCTTGGCTGCTTTCTTAGGTGTCGCTGGTTTCTTTGCCTTCTTTGGGCTCTTCGTTGCCTTAGCGACGGGCTTCTTCACCTTCTTCGGGGATTTCTTAGCGGCGACCTTCTTTACTGCTGCAGTTTTGGGCTTTTTAGCGGCTGCGGGTTTCTTGGCTTTAGGAGCCGCTTTCTTGACGGGCTTCTTCTTGGTCTCAGCTTGCTGCTTGTTGAGCTTGAAGGAGCCCGAGGCGCCGGTCCCTTTGACCTGCACCAGGGTGCCTTTAGTCACCAGGCTCTTAATGGCGGTCTTGACGCGGGAGTTGTTCTTCTCCACATCGTATCCACCGGCGGCGAGCGCTTTCTTCAGGGCGGCGAGGGACACACCGCTCCTCTCTTTAGATGCGGACACAGTGCTGACGATCAGCTCGCCGACGCCTGGACCTACTTTCTTAGCCTTCACAGTGGATTTCTTCTTGGGCGCTTTGGCTGGGGCGGCAACAGCGGGGGCTGGGGCGACTTCTGCCATTTCTCCCTCTCTCTGTGTGTGATTAGATCTGCAGGCTTTCAAATGCTGTCTGGTTCCAGCAATTTTTTGAATAGCGCTCGAGCGGCGCCGCGGTCTTAAATAACACATGAGAACCTCGTAGACTCAACCTCGGTGTCTGCTGCTCGCTGACGCGTGTGTTTTATTCTCTTACATTTGGAGCAAAACTGGAGCTGTTAAATTGTTTAACACAGTCAAAACTAAGTGAACAGCAAGCAGAGGTTATGGGCTTTCATTAGAGACTAAAAAATGGGAAGAGGAAGAGGACTTTTGCCTTTGTCTGACCAAATCCAGACAAAAGGTTAGCATCAGCCCCGGGGAAAAGTGAGCTTGCAAATCTGATGGATAGTTTTAATGGAAAATCTGATACAAGTCTGAACGTGTGTTCAGCCCATGTGTGTTCAGCAAAAAGATTGAAAGATACTTATATAATGAAAGATACTTAAGATAATGAAATCTGCATCATTGAGGAGCGTTAGGAGGTGTAATAAGTACAGCTGTAAATGATTGACTCCAGCAGATGGAAGTAATGTGTTGTATAAGATGAAGTGCATTGTGCTAAACTAAAGAGTGGTGTGGTAATGGAGATATGCTGTGTGTACAACAACGTGTAATAAAGACGTCTGTACCAGTCATTTCTCTTATCTTTATTATTGTTGCCTGAACAATACATGGTACCAGGAGTGGGGTCAGTAGAAAAGAGCAATGGATGCCATTAAACCACCGGGGCCGTTGAGGTTGTGTGGAAATATGGATGCAAATTGGAGGACTTTCAAACAACAGTTCGAGTTGTATGTTGTCGCTATTGGACAAGCAGCTGCTGTGGACGAAAGAAATATTGCTCGGTTACTTACCATTGCTGGAGTTGATGCCGTGGAGGTCTATAACACGTAGGGCTGGGCAAAATATCGCACCATATTGAATGCGCATCTAATCAGTAAAGCCAGTTCCTTGATTAGTAGTAAATCACCTTCACCTGATTTCAGATGGAGCGGCAGCAGTCAGCAAAGTCTCTTTCTCCTTCCTAGTCTCAACAGGTTACATAACTTTAACTTTTGCAATGATAGGTGGGATTTGGATAACTATGAATCAAGCTGAATTCACCTCTTCCGTTATGCTTCCTGGTGACTGATAGCATGCAATCCAAAAGCTAAGTCTTTGGTGTAAGTTACCCATGAAGACTGTAGCATTTTTCAAGTACCCTTAAAACACCTACTAAGTCGACCAGTCCAAGAAAAATGCCAATGTAGCTTGATCCTTCACTCTCATCGTTTCCTCTCAAGGCAAATTAACAGACCTCAAAACTTCACATAATCAATAAGATGGCCTAGAATGTGGCGCTTCTTTCAATTGTAAAAGCTTGACATTTTGTTGGTTTTGGTTTCCAGTTGCCTGTTATTTTGCTTGTTTGAGTAATTTGTAAAGATAGACCAAAGTTTTATTCTGATGGATTTTGTATTTTCAGTCATCAGATTTATTTGCATTGTGAATCTGCCTTAGATTAAATAAACTATGCTTTAGATGTAATCTAGATGTAAACTGAACTCTATCTGTGTCTGTAAAGGTGTATGGCCCACAGAAACTGATTGGTGTGAATGGCAAAGAATCAGCATTGCTCAGAGTGGATTGCAGGGTGGATCTATCTCCTGTGAGAGGCCCTAACAGTTTTCTATTGTTTGTAGCCTATCATGTATAAAGTTGGTCTCACTGACAGGACTTTGGACTAAGATTGTTGGAGAGCGACATGCTAACATCGCTGCTGAAGGACTGCTACATTACAAACCTTCAATAAATTCTCCTCCCCACAAGAACTGGTCAAGCTTGCCTATTTTATGTATTGGAAGAATATAATACATAGGCAAGCCACCCAAACCACTGCTCGGCCAAATACACCAAAATCTATCAATTCCACATTGTTTATATAAAATAACAGTAATGTTATTTTAATGGCATTTCACTGAAAGATACTTAAAATTGCCATTTAGGGACACAAAACTGTTCAAAATGTTGTTTGACAACAATTTTACGGTATATCAGGTCTAAGAATGAAAAATGTAATTTACATTGACCGAGTGATTTTATAGGTACAGATATTTCTATTTATTTTTTTTTTATTTAATTCTCAGTTAAGCTAAGATAACAACATCACAAATATCTTTAAATGTATTGAATGGGAGGAACAGCAGGTATTTTGACATTTTAACAGTATAACAGACCAACAGCAACAATGCAGCTAATGATAACACAAAGTCAAAGGAATCTTTTCCACCATCTAATTTACATTTCACACAGCTTGGCTGTGCAGAAAGCACTCAAATTTTCAGATTAAGAGAAACATCAGAACATTTATGAATCTGCTCGCATAAAGTGATTTGTATTATTACACTCTCTCTTGATGTTCCAGTCAATCAGTCTCTAAACAATGAGCTGTAGATTAGTCTCTTCATTTATAAACACAAAATGTCTGTGATGAAGTAAAAAAAAAAAAAAAATCACAATAAAATGAATTCTTCTAAGAGTAGTTAAAATATTCAATTACATTTTTCTAAGTGTTAAACCTCAGAGTTCCAGCAAAACACAAAAGAAAAAATTAATGAAGCTCGCCAGACTTCTCCAAAAACATTTGACATACTAAGATTCCCTGTGTTTAAGCTCTTTAAAGACATTGTGGGTGGCTCTTAAAAGAGCCTTTGTGTTGTTGAGCGGACTCGCTCTACTTTGAGCTGGTGTATTTGGTCACGGCCTTTGTGCCCTCAGACACGGCGTGTTTGGCCAGCTCTCCGGGCAGCAGCAGACGCACGGCGGTCTGGATCTCTCTCGATGTGATGGTGGAGCGCTTGTTGTAGTGAGCGAGACGAGACGATTCACCGGCGATGCGCTCGAAGATGTCGTTGACGAAAGAGTTCATGATCCCCATCGCCTTGGAGGAGATCCCGGTGTCGGGGTGAACCTGCTTCAGGACTTTGTACACGTAGATCGCATAGCTCTCCTTCCTGGACTTTCTGCGCTTCTTTCCGCCCTTGCCGGCGGTTTTAGTGACGGCCTTCTTCGAGCCCTTCTTGGGAGCAGACTTCGCTGGTTCAGGCATGATGCTCCAGTTAGTGAAACTAAAAAGAACAATGACAATGCTTCTTCTTCTTCTTCTTCTTTGAGGTTATTGGCGGTTCGCATTCTTAAAAAGAGCATTACCGCCATCTACTGCAGGAATAGATCAGAGACACACTTATACCACAACTCCCAGAACAATCAGGACTTGTGCTTTCAATGTTGCTGCGTGTTCAGCTCCTCCATTTACAGCCAAAGTCCATCATCTTCCAGAGAAGGATACTAATACTAATAATACTAGACTATCTATATTCTAAAGATCAAATTTGTTCTACTTAAAAATTTTATTATTAACCTACTCCCCTCTGCTGAGTTTAAAACCATCTTTAACGTTAATTGTTGATTATCTTTCAACTTAAATTCTTCAATCATTTTACTTCTTTCCTCAGAATATTTATTACACTTAATAAGTACATGCTCCACTGTTTCTCTGATTCCACACCATTCACATAATCCTGTAGGATGTTTTCCAATTATTTGCATTGTTGAATTAAGTCCTGTATGTCCCAGTCTTAATCTAGAAATAATACAGTCTTCCTTCCTTCTCCCAAATGAATTCCTTCCTCTACCTACCAATGGTTGTATTAAATGTAAATGTCTACCTTTTTCCTCATTATCCCAATACGATTGCCAATTTTTATTTATCTCCCTTTTAATTATTGATTTCATTTCTAATTTACTATACCCAATTTGAATATCTATATTTTCCTTTGCCATAGAGTGTTTTGCTAGTTTATCTGCTGCTTCATTTCCAGCCACTCCAGTATGTGCCGGAACCCATAAAAACTGAACTATCTTATTTTTTTGTTGCATCATAAACAATATCTGTAATATTTCCAACACAATATCCTGTCTAGTATCTGATTTTTGAGCTTCTAGGCACATCAAGGCTGAACTTGAATCTGAGCATATTAAAGTTTTATTTATCCCCATTTCACTTATTTTATTAATTGCTACCATAATTGCTAGTAGCTCTCCTGTAAACACTGATACATGGTCTGATACTCTTTCCCCTCTTGCCACTTTCAATCTGGGAATGATATATGCTACCCCTACTTGTCCCTTCTGTGGATCCTTAGATGCATCTGTGAAAACCTTTATATATTGTTCATATTTAATACCAATATATTCTTTTACAATGACAATGCGTTTCTACAGGCGGGTTTTTGTCCACTGCTCTATGCTAATTTACAATGGGAGGTATAGCCTTCTCTGATTGCTAGTTTTCCTGGACCGACCCATAGAATGATCTCATTGGCTGCATTAAAAGTTCCTCGACTTGTGGGACAACCAATCACAGACTTTAAATGTTAATCCCGCCCATCGCCTCATATCCTTCTACCATCCCCCATTCGATCAGGTCTCTTTGTTTATTTTTTTTTCCGCATGCAATGCCCTGGAGTATAAAATATTGAATAAAACATTTCAGTTTAACCAACTTGAAAAAAAATATATAATTCATATTACAAAAACTACGATATATGTTAGCAATAATATAATATTAGCATTTAAGCATTTAAAATATCAGCAATAAGGAACAAGAGGCCGGTACCATATTGCCTTTATAATACGGTTACCACACAACAAAAACATTAAACTAAAGAAAAAATGTATTAGTGCAACTTTCATGAAGTCAAATCAATATATACCTTCCTTCCGCTAGAAATATAATTGTCCCTGGCCGTGAACAGTAACATGTGTAATAATGCAGTAAAGCCCAAATAAAAACAGGAACTGCAGTGTTGCATAAAACCGTTAGGTGAAGCGATCATAGCCGTGTTTTATCAGTAACTTAGTTTTTAAAAACACCACGATGAGCTCATAACCTCTTAAACTCCCCTTTGCTTTATTTATAAGCACTTGGAAACTCATTCTTTGTGAGAAATAGTGGGTGGCTCTTAAAAGAGCCGTTGGGTTTTTCTTCTTCGTGGGTCTCTTAACCGCCGAACCCGTACAGAGTGCGTCCCTGTCGCTTCAGCGCGTACACAACATCCATGGCGGTGACGGTCTTTCTCTTGGCGTGTTCAGTGTAAGTCACAGCATCACGGATGACGTTCTCCAGAAACACCTTCAACACACCACGCGTCTCTTCATAGATTAGGCCAGAAATACGCTTGACACCCCCACGACGAGCAAGACGACGGATAGCTGGTTTAGTGATTCCCTGGATGTTATCGCGAAGAACCTTTCGGTGACGCTTAGCGCCTCCTTTCCCAAGTCCTTTTCCGCCTTTTCCTCTTCCAGACATGACGACTGAATCTCTTCAACACAGAACTATAGAGTGTTGAAACCCTTTGGAAAAGGAGGGTTTATAGTCGGCTAGCGGACCTAGTTGAAACCAGATGCATGGGTAAGTCTCGCCCCTCCGCTTCCGGCTCATGGGACCTTATTTCAGAAAAAATATGAATGTCAATGGCGAGAGACAACTTATCTTTTTATTCCGTCTGAACTGTGCCCTCAATTACACATAATGTTTGTCAATTTAAAAGATAATTCTGAAAGTCAAAAACGTCGCAGTTTGTCGTAAAACAGAAGAGTAACATTTAGTTTTAATTATGTGAAAATCGCTCTGTGAACTACATCTCCCGGGAAGAGAAACGAGATCCGCTGCTCGTGTGTGTGCAGTCTGGTACAAAACACTCAGGTAGGACGGCGTAGTGTTACGATTATAACGTAAGACTATAGAAACAATGACAGACAGCCTCAGTAAAGTTAGCCTCATTCATTGAGAGAAAATGTGCGCCTTTGGGGTTTGTAGTCTTTGTAATGACGTATTTTCACAGTCTTATACCTCAACGGTTTTACATTAAACTGCGAATTTCTTTACCTTAAAATTGACAAACATCATATGTGTAATTCAGGGCACAATTCAAACGAGATGAAAATATTTGTTGTCTCTTGCCATTGACTACCATTCAATATTTTTCCGAAATAAGGTCCCATGGTGGTCGACGGGAAGGGGAGGGACTTAGGCTCTCTATTTTGCGTCAACCGACCTAATCTACTTTCCACAATTTTATGTCATGCAGGAAATGTACCCACGAAAGGCAAGAGTTGAAACATAATTTGCAAGAAATTTCTAAAGAGGACTGGACTGGAAGGACGAATTTGAGTATGAAATGACAAGATAACAATCAGATATGATAGGGGACTATCAGATTTCAGCCCAGGACCAGAGATGTTGAAATGAGACCAGGAGTCGAGAGGTGGAATCAAAGAGAAAAATTTACTGAAGAATAGTTTGCAGTTCAATTGGTAGAGCCAGCGTCAAAGTCTCACGAGGAGGTCGCAAGCTAACTCGTACCTTACACACAAATCGTACACCAGTTATACTGTTTTCAAGGGCATACATTACATAAACATTCACTTCTGATTGGCTAAGAGAACATAAAATCTAAACAATTATACATAGATAGAAGGGCATGTTGACATAAATCTTGATAGCTGTCATCCAAGTCACGAAGAGTCCATCAATGACCTCGGGGGTGCCATCGAAGAGCGTCATGAGAGCTGGTGCCCATGTCACGAGATCTGCACAGAACATCCAACATACACCAAAGCACAATGGAACATAGACCTAGAAAGATTGTACAGGCCTAAGTTCTTACTATCATATCAAATGACGCAAAACACTGATACAACCTTCCATCCTTGGAAAGGGATGAAATGACAATTACTTTACTTCTTAAGAGATATAAGTATTAAAGAAGTATAATACTCGTGAGACAAATCATAGAGCCATACAGAAGTTGACCTCTGCCCCTTAATAGGGTCAGTCAGCAGGCAAACAGGATCACACAATGAGGGTCTTCTATGGCTTAACACATTCATTCCATACGTACAACGAGCCTGTATTTTAATGTCTAGCTCAGGACCACTACAGATTAATCACAGACATCATAAAACATTCATGAAAAGAGGCATGCATAAGAGTATACTTTAAACCTATATGTAAAACACTCAATCAAAAACAGTAATGATTATAACTTGATTAGTGATTATTATAAGAATAATGTAATTATAAAAAAAGGATATACGTTTACTTGAATTGAAGAGGCAAGGGATTCTGAACCCAACCCTTCAGATGGCAGTGATGCAACTTTTTGGATGGCAACTGCCGTAAAAAACCAAGGAAGAAGAAGAAGTAATCTACTTTCCAAGTGGGGGTCGAGCGGTTGACAACACCTGTGACTGGAGAATTGAAGGAGGTGTTCGGTAGGATGTGACGTTAACTTGGTACCATAAGTGATCCGAAGATGTAAGAAAATTCTAGCAGTATTTTAGGAGGAACATTGCTGTTTGTAAGAGAAAGAAACCTTTCAGTAGCAATTCAGTAACTGATATTAAAAAAAGGCAGGACATTGGCATGGAAAACTGTAAAGTACTGCTGAAGCTTACGGATAGTAATTTTATCAATACACTAAAACTTACCAAAGAAAGCAACAAAAAAAAGTAAGTTAGGTGATGAATAGAGAGCTTTTTATTGACAGAATCTACGAAATGGAAATTTACTCTTCTGTAAAAGTGAAATTCAGCAGAAAGTTGCATAGGGAATAAAATCAATGCTTGGACAATCAAAGTTAATAGTAATTCGACAAAAGCAACAGAAAATAAGCAATAGACCCCATGTTATGTGTATACATGAGACCTGGTTGAAATCTCATTTAAGCTTTGGAAAGGAGTTTTCATCTGGCAGTTTCTAAATCTAAACTAGTCTGTTTGGCAAAGGGAAATCGTGACTCAGAAATAAAAGAGACTGGCAAGTAACTTTAAGTTTAACAAAAATGTAAGAAAAGTAATTATTTCAGATAAAATCAAGAACTATTATAAAGTTGTATAAGAAAATAGCACTCTTTTTAAATACATTGAGGTGGCTCTTAAAAGAGCCTTTGGGTTTGTGCTTCTGCGGTGGATTTAAGCGCGCTCTCCGCGGATGCGGCGGGCCAGCTGGATGTCTTTGGGCATGATGGTGACCCTCTTGGCGTGGATGGCGCACAGGTTGGTGTCCTCAAACAGACCCACCAAATAAGCCTCGCTCGCCTCCTGCAGGGCCATAACAGCCGAGCTCTGGAAGCGCAGATCTGTCTTGAAATCTTGGGCGATTTCTCTCACCAGACGCTGGAAGGGCAGTTTGCGGATCAGCAGTTCAGTGGATTTCTGGTAGCGGCGAATCTCTCTCAACGCCACGGTACCGGGCCTGTAACGGTGAGGCTTCTTAACTCCACCGGTAGCGGGTGCGCTCTTACGGGCCGCTTTAGTGGCCAGCTGCTTCCTCGGCGCTTTGCCTCCGGTAGACTTACGAGCGGTCTGCTTAGTTCTTGCCATTGCTTCAGAGGAGATCAGTCGCTGCTGTGAACAGAAGAATGAATGAATAGTTCACTAACACAGCGCCTTTTATTCCTATGTCTGCCATGCGCTCATTGGATGGCTTTGCTTGAGAGGCATTCGATTGGTTGTTGTCTGGCGTCTGTAAATGACAGTTGGCCAATGGCTGTGTCTGTTTTCAAACAAAAGACAAGAGTTTGTGTTTCCCGCCCGAACATGCATTGAATGGAGTAGCAGGAGTGCCAAATAAAATGAAGATTCAACATATCAATTTAATAATTCACATATAAAAATATATATTAATAAATCACTTTTAAATGGACAAATTAATAGACATATTTAAAGTTCTTTATTTAATTCGTGTTTTTAAATGTAATGAAATAAAACCATAAAACAATAAATAAAAAATGTATAAATAGACACATTTAAAATTGTTCATTTACAAGAGACAAGAGTTTGTGTTTCCCGCCCGAACATGCGTTTCTCTTTGTCTGAAAATAGAAAAGGCGAAATCTGGTATTAATTTGCACAGCAAAACCCGTGATTGATTTTTAAAAAATAAAATAAATACAATTATTTGACCATATTATGTTTAATTTCTTTGTGTTGATATCAATATATCGATTTAAATATGTTAGCTATGCCAATAAAACTATAACATTATGCACTGTAGGCTACATTCATCAAATCCCTACAATTAGTGTCCTGAATTCACATAACATGTAACTCATTAAAATGATCTTTGAATGCATTTCTACTTTTAAAAAAATTAAAAATAGAAAAAGAAAACAAAACTAATTTCGCACAGTTTATGTATGTATGTATGGGGTCAACATTTATAGTACTGTGAAAATCCTACAAATGGCAACTCCTCTACCATATTCTTTTGTTTATTTTAGTCAATTGAACCCGTTTATTAAAAAACAATAGTGGGACAAATGAAATCACTCTCTCTTGGAGAAATTGGGTGGCTCTTAAAAGAGCCTTTGGTTTGATGAGAAGTTTCCGTCAGTTTACTTTCCCTTCGCGGGCTTCTCGGTCTTCTTGGGCAGCAGCACGGCCTGGATGTTCGGCAACACACCACCCTGAGCGATGGTCACGCCACCCAGAAGCTTGTTCAGCTCCTCGTCATTGCGCACCGCCAGCTGCAGGTGTCGAGGGATGATGCGGGTCTTCTTGTTGTCCCGAGCGGCGTTTCCAGCCAACTCCAGGATCTCAGCGGTCAGATACTCGAGCACAGCGGCCAAATACACCGGAGCTCCGGCACCGACGCGCTGGGCATAGTTGCCTTTGCGGAGAAGCCTGTGAACACGGCCGACGGGGAACTGCAGTCCGGCCCTGGAAGAGCGAGTCTTGGCCTTGGCACGAGCCTTTCCACCGGTTTTACCTCTTCCGCTCATTGTAGCTTACAGTTGTTCGTCAAAATAAGAAAGTAACACTTTCGACTCTGTTCTACCTTTTAAAAGAAATCTCACTAATCTCCTATTGGCTGGAGTCTGAGCACATCATCGAGCCAATCAATGAGCTTCCCTCCAAACACCAAACCCAACCCCCTTTCTGCTATCTTCAAGTGTTTGCTACTATTTAATCAGGCCTAGCTTTCTTAAATGCATTTCTTTAATGTTTGAATACGTCATTAATTTCTTCAGTGTCTTAATTTTCATTTTTTTTTAAATATTTTTATTTAGTATACATGTTTTATGACTATTTACCATTTTCACTTTACTGGTTTTGAGCATATTAATAAATCAAAGTCGGAATTCATCGGTTTAGTTTTAAGTTTCATTGTTATAAACATGTGAACGTCTACACAGATACAGAGTTTATCAAAATGTTTAAATTGTAAATTTAAATGTCTAACGTTCAATTCACATCTAAATGTATAGTGCTTTCCAGTATAGTCGTTTTAAAGCATAATAATAAACATAATTCGTGTGCATCTTGAGATTAAACAATGGCACTGACATTGTAAGATCAAGTCAAATTGCTTTCACTAAAAAAAATAGCTAAAACATGCATTTTAGTCTTGGACTAGGTTTAAGGTGTGAAATTTTGGATAAATGTATTTTGCACATAAAGGGCTCATTATTTAATTCTCGCGGTGACAATGACACATTCACTGAACAGTGACATAAAATAATGCTCTTTACTATGAATAAGTGGGTGGCTCTTAAAAGAGCCTTTTTGATTTGTAAAAAAAAAAGAAAGAAAAAGAAATGAGTTTATTTCTTTTTAGCTGCAGTCTTTTTAGGCTTGGCGGCTTTAGGCTTGGCTGCTTTAGGTTTCGCCGTTTTGGGTTTGGCTGCCTTTGCCTTTTTCGGGCTCTTGGCTGCTTTCTTAGGAGTCGCTGGTTTCTTTGCCTTCTTGGGGCTCTTCGTTGCTTTCTTAGCGGCGGGTTTCTTCACCTTCTTCGGAGATTTCTTAGCGGCGGGCTTCTTTGCTGCTGCAGTTTTGGGCTTCTTCGCGGCTGCGGGTTTCTTGGCTGCGGGCTTCTTGGCTTTAGGAGCCGCTTTCTTGGCGGGTTTAGTCTTGGTCTCGGTCTTTTTCTTGTTGAGTTTGAAGGAGCCCGAGGCGCCGGTTCCTTTAGTCTGGACCAGGGTTTCATTAGTCACCAGGCTCTTGATGGCGGTCTTGACGCGAGAGTTGTTCTTCTCCACATCGTATCCACCGGCGGCGAGCGCTTTCTTCAGGGCGGCGAGGGACACCCCGCTCCTCTCTTTAGATGCGGACACAGCCTTGACGATCAGCTCGCGGACGCCTGGACCCGCTTTCTTGCTTTTGGCGGCTGATTTCTTCTTGGCCGCTTTAGTCGCGGATGCTGGAGCGGTTTCTGCCATGATTACTCTTAGTGAATCTGAACTCACACAATCTGACTGTGATCAACAATGAGCCGCTGCGCCTTTAACAGCCGCATGAGAACCGTGTAGACTCAACCTGCTCTGTTCAGCGTCTGCCCCTCCACTAACGCCTTTGCTTGTGTTTTCTCCCTTCATATTTGGAATAAAACTTGATTTGTAAAATAGTTTAGTAGACTAAAAACATCGTACACACCGAGTAGAGAGACTGAACTTTATTTTCAAGACTAAAATACGTGAAAAATCAACATTTATTTAAGCATCGTCCGATCAAATCCCAAACGTGCACCTGTAGTGAACAATGCTGCGTGTATATTTCATGTAATTTTGTGTATTAACAGTAGTAAACTCCTGAATGTGTCATCCTGGTTTTGGAACTAGCACTTTGACAATGGCTTTAATGTAAGGAAGATCGCTGAGGGACTTGTGGAGTGTTTCATTCAGAGGTTGTTTTGTGCAGCTTGAAGCACACACACATCTATCTGTGTAACTGCTCTGAATCTCCGTTCACTGATTATCCCCACATGTTATAAAGATGCATGAACCCTAAATAAAGTTCAGCTTTTCTTTTCAAAAGCAACTGATCGCATTTTAATATATTTTTGAACTGATTAAATAGAACTTGATAAAAGTTTTACAAAACAAACTTCCTGGTGAAACAAAGTAGACCAGTGTGATCAACAGTGCACATTTTTTCTTTTTTGATAATAATAATAATAATGGGGTTTTTGATGACAAGCCAACTAAAAATGATAAATGAGGCCTACGATTACAAATAGAAATATAAAACCAGGCCTAATTGAAAGAAGACAAGTTGACAAACAGATTGAATCCAATATGAGGTGATAATATAGTATAACAAGTGATTTAAAACTATAATTTTTGAACGGGAACATCACAAGTGTTAGAGGGTTTTTAACACAACACAAGGGTTAAGAAACTAGCTGACTGTCAAATATTTAAAGCTTATAAACAGCCAATGGCCCTGATTATACCCTCAAACGGCAATACATTCAAATCAGACAACAAAATTACATCAAATTAAGGTTACATTATATACACTCACCAAAAGGATAATCAGGAACACCTGTTTAATTTCGCATTAATGCAATTATCTAATCAACCAATCACATGGCAGTTGCTTCAATGCATTTAGGGGTGTGGTCCTGGTCAAGACAATCTCCTGAACTCCAAAATGAATGTCAGAATGGGAAAGAAAGGTGAGCGTGGCATGGTTGTGGTGCCAGACGGGGCGGTCTGAGTTTTTCACAATCTGCTCAGTTACTGGGATTTTCACGCACAACCATTTCTAGGGTTTACAAAGAATGGTGTAAAAAGGGAAAAACATCATGCGGCAGTCCTGTGGGCGAAAATGCCTTGTTGATGCGAGAGGTCAGAGGAGAATGGGCCGACTGATTCAAGCTGATAGGAGAGCAACTTTGACTGAAATAACCACTCGTTACAACCGAGGTATGCAGCAAAGCATTTGTGAAGCCACAACACACACAACCTTGAGGCGGATGGGCTACAACAGCAGAAGACTCAACCCGATCTCACGACCAAGTCGTACGAATTCGACGAATGATTTAAAAGTGGCTAAAACGTAACAATTCATACGACCTCACTCATTGTTTTTGCTAAATCGTACATATTTTACGAATTGGCCAACTCGTATGAATTCATACGAATGACCTACCCCTTACCCCGCCCCTAAACCTAACCATCACGTGGGTTTAGACAAATCGTACAAATTCGTACGAGTAAGGTCGTAGGAATTAGTACGAATTAGACACTTTTTATTCATTCGTCGAATTTGTACGAATTGGTCGTGAGATAGTGTTGGAAGACCCCACTGGGTACCACTCATCTCCACTACAAATATGAAAAAGAGGCTACAATTTGCAAGAGCTCACCCAAATTGGACGGTTGAAGACTGGAAAAATGTTGCCTGGTCTGATGAGTCTCGATTGTTGAGACATTCAGATGGTAGAGTCAGAATTTGACGTAAACAGAATGAGATCATGGATCCATCATGCCTTGTTACCACTGTGCAGGCTGGTGGTGGTGGTGTAATGGTGTGGGGGATATACATATCTCAACCACTTGCAACCACAGTGAGCATCAGAGGCCTGCGAGCGGAAGAACGTCAGTCAGTTGACATGTTTTCCACTGCTGATGTGGGTTTAACCAATTTAGACTCGATTTAAGTGCCAAAATAATGACAGAATACTTATTATCAAGGTTCTCAAACAGTTTTGAATCATATACACAGATCATCATTGTAAAAACCATGGTATTATCACATGCAGAAGTTTGATTGACAGCTGTAGATAATGATGCAGTTTGGATTTAAATCAGTCACTCCAACATCTCACACACTCCTTCTACAGAGATCAGAAAACTGATCAAACTGGCTTTGGGCCGGACATGGTCGCTGTGTTGCAAAATCACACCGAAATTCTTGGTAACGGTGTTTTTATACTTCCCTTTTTTCAGGCTCTGAGACTGTCAACACTCGTCAATACATCTTTTGAGTCTGACAGTAATTCTTAATATTTGGTTTAAAGTGATCTGCATAAAGCCCAATTTAGATCCAGCATTGAAATTAGTCACTTCTCATTCAGTCTGATGTAGATTTGCATCCAATTCCTATATAACCAGCCATCGTTGTAATAGCCTACATACTGTATGAACATGCCTAATAAGAGTTTTCTTAAAATGTATTCAAGGCTCTTTATTATGAGGAACTCTTTCACAATTTCTTAAAAGACGATATAGTTTTGGTTTATTTATTCGGTTCTAAAGTCAGGGAAGTGTAAGCAGGAAGGGTTTTTTGGTGCCACAACTCAGACCTGTGAACTACGGTTTGTTCCGGAAGTGTTGAGTCTATAAGACTGGCTGTGTGTTTGACAGTGTGTCATTAATAGATCAGTATGGAGCTCAGGACACTTCCTCTAATGCTCTGTGAGTATATATCTCATCTATGCTTCATTTGCACAGTTTGTAATAATAATAATAGTGAATCGCTGTTCATCTGTTTTTCATCTTTTATGTCGGCCTATTGATGTTTTTGATTTATGCTGCTAATAATTTGAGTATCAAATCAATCTGTAGCTCCTGATATTCCACACTGTTTATTTATTATAAAAAGAAATAATCCTCTTTTATCCTGTGAATTCCTGGTGATTTTTTACAGTGTGTGTGTGAAAGTGAAAAACACTAGCTGAATGAGTGTATTGATCAGTGTATTGATCATTACTGTGATTCGTCAGTCGTTCAGTTATGGTTTGTAATGGTGTTGAATCACACACTCTTTTGTAAAGTTAGTTTGTTGTCTTCAGTAGATCTTCAGCATCTCCGATCTTTATTTATGGATCTTAGTCTTCTTGTGGTGTGCTGACTGACATTAATGAGCAATAATGGCATGTCCTATATGAAGCAATGATGGCACGCAAAATAAGGTCTGCAGTCAGATGGCTTGAGCTTCTCTTCACTTTGTGGTTTCAGTTTTATCATGACAGCATCGTAGATATTCTTATTGAAGAGGATTTCTTCACACTTCCTCTTTCATGCTCAATATCTCCAGTTATTATTGACTGCCTTATATAGATGTGAAAGTGTCGAGATCTCTTGCATCAAATCAACACATCACTTCTTCTGTTTTTGCTATTTTCAAAAAGTTTTCTGCATGTTTTAATTTATCTCGTGTGTGTGTGTGTGTGTGTTTGTGTGTGATTTTGTCTCTTTTTGCTTTGTAGTGCTGATTTCAAACATCCGCCCTGGACAAACTCAAGGTGATTTATATATTTTCTTCAAATCTTACGCAATAACGCAGTGGAACAGAAAGCATTTATAGCAGCATGTCGATTGTTCATCATGACATTTATTGGGTTATTAATGAAACAGCTGAGCTGTGTATGAAACAAATGTCTTGTACGATTAATGTTTAAACATCTTGTTTTATGTGATGTTATAGAGAGACTAAAGGCTGTAGTGAAGACAGAGTCTGACACACATGAAACCACTGCCAGATGTGAAATACCTGGAGATGAAGATGACTGGACATACAGCTGGTTTATAGATGGGTCATCTCGGCCCTTGAGCACTGACAGAGAATTCAACTTCATATCTGATGTATCTCAGAAACTCAGCAGCGTCACCTGTAGAGGAGAGAGAAGAGATGGACTGAAGTCAGAGATCAGTGACGCTGTTACACTGGCATTATCACGTGAGTCTGATCCTCTTCACTGCAGAAATACACTGAGACGTGATGACGTAACAAGAAGGGCTTTTATTTGCACAGAAGAAAAGAAGGTGGTTGTAAAAAAATAAAAATAAAGTGAGTGTATTGTTGTCAGTGAGCAGGGCATGATGTGTCAAGAGGAACAGTATTGATATTTTAATTGTATTGCACAATAACTGGACATATAGACAAGAAATGCACTCTAAATCTTTTCAATCTTATTCACTTATCTTGGTTTATTTGTGTTTTATCACAACTTCTGTTGCAGTTCCAGAGACACCTAAAGCTGTTCTGACTGTTCAGCCTGAACCATCACTGATACTCAGAGGAGAGACTGTCACTCTCACATGTGATATACAGGGGGAAGGATGGACATATAGATGGAGGTGTGGAGATGATGATGATAGAGAGCACGACACTGAAGAGAAAGAGTTCAAGATCACTGCAGAGATCACACAGGAGTGCAGGTGTAACGGCTGCAGAGGATCAAACTGCTCTGACTGGAGTGATGAAGTGACTCTGACTGTGTCGGGTGAGTGATCATCACTGATAGAAAGGATCTTGCCAAGATGATGCACGAACAATTAATAAACTGCAAGTTTACAGCATTAGTAAAAACTGCATTAGTAAACATTGCTAGATGTTAGACAGAGTGGACTGTGAGTTACAGTAAGCATTCGATTTTACAAGCAATGTCTCTCAGGATCTGTATATTTGTATCTTTATGAGAGCTCTCATGTTAGAACATAAAACAGCCATACAATTATTACTCATAATGAAATGAGATATTACTCTGAAGTATTGTATAATTATACTCAATTATTACTCTGAAGGGTGAGGTCAAAATAAGACATATTAAGTATAAATTATAGAAGTCATAAACAGTGATAGATGACTGAAGACTGTATATTAACAGAAGATCGTGAAATAGTTGGAGACAAACCCAGAGTAACAGTGAAGCCCCAGAGTTCAGTGTTCACTGGAGACACAGTTACTCTGAGATGTGACGTGAGTCGCTCTGGACGGAGGATTATCTGGTACAAAGACCACCAGAGAATACAATCTGGTGTTGATACAGTAACACTGAGCAACGTGAGAGTCTCTGATGGAGGAGAGTACTGGTGTGGTGTACTAGGAGAAACACAAGGTCCAAGAGTCACGCTAACAGTAAGAGGTAACGTGGCAAACTGATTTAATTCAGATTAATGTCATCCATCAACAGTATCATGTCTTAAACACAGTTCATTTCTCACAGAGAGACCCAAAGCTGTATTGCGTGTTCAGCCTGACAGACGAGTGTTCAGAGGACAGACGGTCACTCTCACATGTGACATACAGGAGACAGACGGCACTAGCTGGACCTACAGCTGGAATAAAGATCGTTCACAGATTCATGTCAGTCAATCACAGGAATACAGAATCAGTTCAGTTAATGAATCTCACACAGGTCATTACAGCTGTAGTGGAAGAGAGACGGGAGGATCACGATACACACACACCAGTGATGAAGTTACACTGACGCTTTTGGGTGAGTGTGTTCAAATCAACTTCACGACAGTTAAAAATGTCTGCAAATAAGAAAGTGTAACCAAGATTTTAAACAATCAAACAAGCATTGTGTAATTTAACTGTAAATGCCAGAGAAGTGTTAGTAAATTGTTTAACGTAATGTGTTCCACATATGTAGCTTTGATAAGTGACTTCAACAACAGCTATTTTAACAATTAAATGATTTAATCTTTAATAATCAAATTGCAGATGCTTAGCTACCCTTAACTGACTTGATTAATTTGACATACAGTACCAGAACCATCAGGATCTCCAGGAACATCAGGATCTCCGATAACATCAAGACCTCCAGGAACATCAGGATCTCCAGGAACATCAAGACCATCAGGATCTCGTAATCTGATCATTGGAGTCTCTGCAGGATTGAGCGTCTTGTTTCTGCTCATCGTCTTACTGGTCCTGCTGTGGCGCTGCAAACACAACAAAGGTTCTTCTCACCTCCTCAAAACAAACATCTAGACAAACTTCACTATTGATTGATGGAAGCATTTAATAGTTGAACATAATGGTATCTAAATACCTGTCGTAAACTGAGGACAGGAAAGACATGTTTGTGTTTTGAAAAGCTGGTCTTTGGGAATCGTTGCTAAAGTCTCTCTGTGTTTGAGCAGCAGGAGGATCTCCGTCTCCCTCGACTGAACATCAGCAGCGCGACATCAGAACAGAAGAACAGAAGAAGAGTAGACCACACACACACACAATATCTATAACTGAAATCAGCTATTTTGACTTTTAAATTAGAATATACAGAACAAGATAGATAGATAGATAGATAGATAGATAGATAGATAGATAGATAGATAGATAGATAGATAGATAGATAGATAGATAGGTGGATGGATAGATGGACGGACAGACAGATAGATAGATTGATGGGTGGATGGGTGGATGGATGGATGGATGGAAGGAAAGAAAGAAAGAAAGAAAGAAAGAAAGAAAGAAAGAAAGAAAGAAAGAAAGAAAGAAAGAAAGAAAGAAAGAAAGAAAGAAAGAAAGAAAGAAAGAAAGAAAGAACATAGTTAAACATGATCTAAATGACCGGGTGTAGTTTTTCAAAAATAAAACTTACATTTTATTTTCCATCATGGATAACAAAATAAGAACTCAATAACTGAAGGAGTAAAAGCAGAAAAAGACTCGATCTCACTCACTCTGTTCAGATGCGGACACAGTGAAGGGGCCTTCGGATGTCACCTATACTGAGATTGACCTGAAACCAGTGAAGGGAATGAAGAAGAAAGAAAACCAGAGTATGACCACTACATGCATGTGCATGTTCTGCTAGTTTGCTGTGACATGATGCAGTAATATAAATGCATACATAAAACATTGTAGTAAATAGTGATGTCATTTAGTAACGACTCAACTCTTGTCGTCTGTAGGAAAGACCGGTGAGAGTTCAGACACAGTTTACTCCAAAGTGAACATCGCAACAGCTTAAGGTGCACGAGGTAACCTAAAAACAGCACAAAATATCACAATACATCACAAATATCATGCAATGACAAACAAAATCTGATTTAATTTATACCTGTATTATTTTGTATGATTTCAGGTGCTAGATGGATCTAGTCTTATGACGAATGTTCAGATGAGAAACAAAACGCAATCTTGTGCTTCAAATATGTACCAAAAGTTGGTGAATTGAAGATATTACTCCTATTATTAATCAAATACTTTAGATTAGTTAACATAATGTCCTGTTAGTGTCATATACAATTAGAAAGTCTAGAGAAATAATGCTTCTACCATATTCATCTAACATTACTGGGATTACTATGTCATAGACTGTAAGTATTATGTATCTTATTAAAGAATTCTGAATACTGTAAGAAATAAAAATAGCAAAACATTTGTAAATATTCTACAAGCTAATTCTGGAGTTGTATCTATATCATGTATGTATTAACATGTGTGGATCTCTCCTCTCGATGTCCACTAGATGTCCCCATACACACGATCTGGTTTCATTGTGTGTGAGTTTTTGCTCTGTACTTTTTTAGTGTCTTTCTGCATTTACTGTGTTCCTTCATGCCTGCACTGCATTGTGCTTCAATTATAAATGCTAATAAAATAGTTTTAAGTGGTTTGTGTCTGACCTCCTGCATAACAAATGATCACTAGTTGCGCTTTTGCACCAAAACAATGGAAATGAAGCGTGATTCTGAAGAATACACAGCAAACAATACTTTTCATTGTAGTTTATATTTCGTTTCTAACAAATCTGTTGTAATGGCGTTTTATAAACGCTTTTTAAATATTGCTGTCATGATGGTATTTCATTAAAATCATTATATTTTACTTAATGGCTGTCAAAATAATGTCTACAAAAATAAGAAATCTCGTAATTTCTTAAAATGTGCTGTTTAACTGAGCCCAGAGGAACAGTATTCAACTATTTTACACCAGGGATACACCTCTATCTTTCTGAGAAAACTTATATTAACCACACAGGAGCAGTTGAACACTACACTGGGCCGCTGTGACCCACTCAGACCGCAGGATGAGCAGCGCCCCCTTCTGGCCTCACTAACACCTCTCCCAGCAGCCTAGACCTTGTTTTGAGAAACTAATGTTAAAAAGTCAAGGATAAACAAACTAAAAGGACTAAAGCAACACTGATCAATGTAATGGTGTCCACATGAAGCGAGCTCCACAGAAGACTTTACTACAGTCAAAGCAGCGCTACGTCACGAGAGTATGAACTTGTAGGACCGCGAGTGTTTAGGGTGCCATTTGGGACAGGGCCTTTGTCTACTGGAGAGGAGACCAAGTTTGGTTTGAAGATGAAAAATGTCCAATGTTCTCGCATCATTCCTGGTTTCTAACACACACTCGCAGTGTTTGACTGGTCTTATGGCTGTCGAGCTACTCTCTGGACAAAAGAGACGGATTAAAACACCAGGTGTAAACGGCTGTGTGTCGTTTTTTTTATGATGCTGTAACTGTGATTATCAGAGACATTTAATATGTGTCTATAAATTAATCACAATCATAATCAGAACACTCAATAAATGTAAAACCAAACATTATTTGCTCTGAAATGGGTTTGTTTTAACCGAATTTAAGTACACCATCGTTCGCCTAGTAAAATAAAGATAAATGACTAAAAGATAATCTGTAAGACAAAATAAAGTACTTTTTTAAATGATTCCAACTCAACTTAAACGTACTTTCATATTTAAAAATAATATATATTTAAATATTTTGAATATTTATATATCTTTGAATTTTCCCTATGGCTTTTTTTTTTTTTTTGAAAAAAACGATTTGAGTAACCTATTTCACTCTCCTCAAATACATGTGAACTTCCTGTGTGTGCTACCTGTGAAAACCACATCGTTTATTTGCGGAAATCATTTGCCCTCATTTAGCTATAAAAACATCACAATCTAGATTCTGGAGCTTTTATTTTTCAAAATGATTGAGTCCGTTTTAATGTGTTTTATATCTTCCTTAAATGAAACGAGTGCAGATAAATAACAAATAAACAAAAAAAATACTCAGTGAATGCCTTTATTTTACAAAAATATAACAATTTACTATTACATTAAATTACAATACTCACTTGTAATTAAAGAGTTGTCCACTCTCACATACTGTAATGAGCTAATGAGATTCATTCAAACCGGAGCACCAGAAATATTAACCATCATGCAGTGTGTTTGAGAGAATGAGTAACAGCAGAATCCATGCAACATAATACCAATATTTTTGCAGTACACTGTGCACACAGTATGCAAATTTGTTTGCATTAAATACTTGGATGACCATTTACTGCAATTGCCAAAGATTTGCACAAGACAACGTATCCTACAATCAGCTTTTCATTTCCAGCGTGATGAACGAACGAGATATATTAACATTTGGTCCTTGACTCATCATTTGATAAAAATTTTCTAATATTATTGTGACATTTTTACACAAAATGCAATAAAAAAATGCAACAAAAAAACAACAACCTTGCTGTATAAACATGCTACACAATGAGGTCAACGATATAGGACTGTTTTAAATGTACAATCACCTCACTCACTCTTAAAAATAACTGTTCTTTATTAGCCCTTTATTAGTTTCATAAAAAAAAATATATTCATTTTTATAATATTCCTCACACAAAGAAAGAACTGATGACAGAAAGTTGTTTGATAGTTTTTCACATGACGTTTATCACCCTTATATAAATCCCCGTCTGGAGGGCAAACCACGCTTTTCCCCGCCAGTCATTTTTACCAAGTTTGTACTAAGTACTAAGTGATATTAAAAGACCAAATTCAATATACATTGATGATGCATACTATAGACCTTATGCACCAGAGAAACGTGGGCGCCGTCATCTTTATAATATTGTCTTTGAACTTCCGGTTTCGCGGTCGCTCTGTATATTTCTATGGCATCGCTGTAGAGGAGTGGATTTACTTATTGTAGAGTTAACAAAAGTTATCATGAGCATTGTAATGTTTATCATAAGCATTGTAAAGCAGATGTCTTAACAAATGTCGACCAGGAATTTTTTTACGAGCAGTTCATTCTTACCTACGCAAGATCGCTGTCAAAATGTCAAAAGACAACGAGCGCAACGTTGAAAAGGGGCGGGGCTACATAAGGTCTTATAGTATGAATATAAACCCAGAATATTAACACAACACAACACGTTTCTTTTTGAGCATATATCCAAAGAAACCCATTTTACAGAAAATACCATTTAACACATTGCATTCATATTCTGGATGTGTTGCCCTGTCACGTGACTGGAAATCATGAATTGAATCGCTACAAACCCCCCCTACTGGAAACTTTATTTTTAAGAGTGTAATGCATACTGGTTCAATAAAATTAGCAGGTAGAATACAGTGTATTATTGCATATTCAGTATTAAAAACACAAAATTCACAGTTTTTCCTTTTTCTGTGGTTAAAGTCTCCATTGCGGCGGCGTCTCTGACGTGTACAGTATCCGTGCGTGTCATATCTCTCCTAGTTTGCAGTATACAGTGTTGATTTGTTCTGAATCGGGTTCTTCTGCCTTGTGTACTGTAGCTCTTACTTTAACAGTTCTGTCGTGTCCAGACGGCTGTTGCTCCTGGTTCTCTATCATTACCGTCACACTGTTTACTTGACAGACCCTGGGCTGAGGAAGACACAAGCCAACAAATAAACAGGTCGAACTGAGTTTTACTGCATCTAAACTGGTTTTAAAAGCAAATCTCAGCAAAACGTAACATACATGTCGTGATGGAGTGTCATAGATGGTTGTTTCACTGTTGTTTCCTGGAGGATTCTGGGATGCGCCTGGCTTTTCCACTGCGCTGTAGACCGTTTCATGATGCTGTTCAATCACTGTGTTCATGTCACGACCTGTCACAGCATGACTGGACTGACACAGAGTTTAAGAAACAAACATAAGAATGACAGTCACTTGAAATAATGCATTTCCGAGAGAGAATTTGGCTGATACCTGCGGGTGAACTTTTGAGGTTTTTCTTTTCTTGACAACTACTACAATCAAACACATAAACAATCCCAACACAACAACGACGCCAGCGGTGGCGGCGATCCAAGAGATGAGGTCTGGAGGAGGAAGCAAATCACTTTGCAGTTTTTCATGGCCTAGAAATATCAAAAACAACAACACAACAGCTGTTTATACAGGTATTGGAGTGTTTATGTGCACTAAGTGTGAAAAGCCCGGCTTATTGGCAGAGGCTATTTACACTGACTCCGCCCACTGACATCTGATTGGGCCACTGGTTGGTCAACAGTAGTCTAGCGGTGGGGTTTGTGACAGAAAGGTCAAATTTACCCATTTTTGAATCCACCTTTGGTGAACTCGGTTTACTCCCATCACATTTATTTTGAGAAAATAAAACGTTTACGATAAATAAAAAGTGAGAAAATATTCAAAAGTTGGAAATAAAGTGTGTTTAATAATAAAGTGTTTATCGGTTATTGGCTGGTGTAGTAGGGAGAGCTTTATTGTCACAATAAGGCAGCATATTTTTAATAATTTTATTTATATATAGATATATATATAAGTAAATAAATATATAAAATAATTTACACTATGTTATTGCATACCGTTTAACGTACAACACTGAGGTATATAAATTTATAAGTATTACTTAGGTACTTATAATGTAATTATAACTATTATTTACACCTACAGTACAAAGAAAATACTGCTATTTTACATGCAGTAAATTTAATGTATTGCTAATTGCACTTAATGTAAATAGCTACTGCCTTATTATTATTTAGATATTTTATACTCTCATTTTATATTCACTTTTTTTTTACTTTAAATGTAAAATAAAACAAGATTATTTACTTATAGGCCTGAAGATAAATGGAAATATTAACATTTATAAAAACACACATTGGAGACTGAGAAACAACAAAATCCGCCATTTACACTAGGATTATATTATTACACGGCTGTGTGCAATACTTCAGATAACGCAGGAACTATAGAAACGCTTTTTCTTCGTGGAAGTCTTGCGTTTGGTGAGCTAAAAGTATCATGGATTTGCTCTCTCAGTTCACAAACACAGCTGCTGTTTTTGAACGCTTGATTACAAGATTAAAAAAACAGTTACGATTTTAAAACAGTTTCATCTCATCAATAGCTCTTATCTCCATAATTGTTTATGTGGCGAATTGCTGCGCAATAAGTCTTTTAAATGTCCGTCTAGTTTGAATTTGCCTCTCCGTGGAAGTTTTGCGTTTAAAGAGCTAATAAAATACTTCAACTCAGATTAATATTACATGTCTGAGTATTTAGCCGTGTAATTAGAGGAATAATGTACATCCAGCCGGTTGTTATCTCAGAATAAACCGCTTCAGGCTGATCCTGATAACAACCGGCTGGAGGTACATTAACCCTTACTTATTTTATCTTATTTTTTTATTTATTTTATTTTATAATACTTCTTCTGGTGAGATTCTGAAGTGTTCATACGACGGATGCTTCACTATCCCATAAGGCCACAGGACAGGATTTATGAATGGCGATGAGGCGACATAACTAACGCTGGTAGGTCACATGATAATGACAACATCCAGATTACATTCATAAGATACATTTTAATGCTTTAATGCCTGTTCACATTTGGCACTTGAGTGTTCGGATATTTATTAGGACACATTCACACATACACACAACCGCCTCCGTGTTTTTGCACTTTGTAAAGCCATGGAAACCTTGTTCATTTTCAGCATCTGAAGGAAACGGATATTATCTTCAGACAGTGTTATAAACACTCCTCCTCGTTCCTTCATGAGAAACCAGAGGGGATTTACCACAGATGTGACAGCTATTAATACACATGCCTGTTGCATGCTCTACAGACATATGCAAATAAGAGCATGAACCCTGGTCTTTAGAAATGTGTTGTAGTGTGAAACAAGATGGGCAGTAAATAACCTTACACTTAATGTTGGGAGCCTGCGAAAGATTCTTGCTGACGTGGTTGTTGACGCGGCACCAGAAGCTGTGATTCAGATCGGTGACGGAGATGTTGATGGAGGATTGAGACGCCTGTGTCCTCACACACACACCCTGGTCGCAGTCGTACGAGGCCCAGCTGCCATCGACGGAGCAGTTCACCGCGGCCCGACACACTCCGGCAGACGAATTTACATCATGGGCACTCACTTCGATTTCAGGCTCTGAGAGAGTGTCTGGAAAAGAGGAGTTTATATCTGAAGTGGGTGTACAGGAGTCAACATTTAAAGGGATAGTTCACCCAAAAATGAAAATGCTGTCAGTAATTACTCTCCCTCGTGCTGTTCATCTTCGGAGCCACTGTAGTCACTCGGACTATTTTAACCCTTATGCTGCATTAGGGACATTTTTGGTCTTTGCAGTTTAATTTCTTTGACCATTTTGGCTGTTTTATTGCAAATGGTATGAAATTTGGCAAAATTGTGACTTTTTGGATACATGTAAAAAATGTGATCCCATTTTGCAAAATATGTATAACACACACTGTGTAGATCAAATAGTAACACTCAGCACCATAAAGACCAAAAATGGCCCATTGAAACCCATTAAAACGTTGTTTAAATCTGAGGCTGTCAGTAATACATGAAACATGATTTTTGCACAAACATCCTTTCATTTTGAAGCAAAAGCATTATATTTGCATTATATAGTGTATTCCACCAGATGACGTCACTACATATTTATTCCCTATGGGTGGAAATGCACCTTATTTTAGGCAATAGGCAATGTTTAATAGGTGGCCATTTTTGGTCTCTAACGCGCTAAGTGGGATTTTTTGCAAAGTGGGACTGTGATAATCCAAATCTAAAGTTTTCTCTTTGCATTTAGTTTATTGAAAATAATTGAATTTTTGTGTTTTTTCCTCTTATACAAATCGATGGTTTCGCAAACAAAACTGGTAATTAAAGGGTTAAAATCCTGAAATTGAATAAATTTTTGGTAGTTATGATGAGGACTGATGCTGGTTAAAAGATTTAACTTGGTAAAAGTGGAAAATAATAATAATATATAACATTTAAGGCAATGTTTAATATGTGGCCATTTTTGGTCCTTAATGCACTCAACGGTGTTAAAAATCTACTGCAGCACAAGGGTTAACAATGTCTTTAATAACTTTTGTGCCGGACAGTTTCGATCCCGTAAGAAGCCTATGGAGGAGTGATCCAGCTCTCTCTTAAAGGAGTAGTTCACTTTTAAAAAAAACTTTTGCTGATAATTTACTCACCCCCATGTCATCCAAGATGTCCACTTCTTTCTTTCTTCAGTCGAAAAGAAGTTAAGGTTTTTGATGAAAACTTTCCAGGGTTTTCTCCATATAATGGACTTCAATGGGAACCAAACGGTTCAAGGTCCAAATGAGAGTTTCAGTGCAGAACACGACACCAGACGATCTAGGACCCTTTGAGTCATGACTCGAAAAAAGATTTGTTCATTTTGATGAACAAGTTCAAACAGGAGTCACGAACGCTCATCACAGAACAGAGCAAGGCCAGCATTTGAGCTTATAAAACTTAAACTTTTTTATTTATTTTTTAAATGAGCGATCGTTTCGCTTGATAAGACCCTTATTCATCGTCTGGTGTCGTTTAAAGCCCTTTGAAGCTGCACTGAAATTTTCTTTTGGACCTTGAACCGTTTGGTCCCCATTGAAGTCCATTATATGGAGAAAAATCCTGGAATGTTTTCATCAAAAACCTTAATTTCTCTTCGACTGAAGAACGAAAGACGTGGACATCTTGGATGACATGGGGGTGAGTAAATTATCAGCAAAAGTTTTTTTAAAAGTGAACTACTCCTTTAATCAAAAATATCTTAATTTGTGTTCTGAAGATGAACAACATGAGGGCGAGCAATTACTGACAGAGTTGACATTTTTGAGTGAACTATCAAATACTTTCATCAAAGTTATAGATGAATTATGAATAATACCCAATCTTGTCTTAAGACGAGTTTAAAGAAACATTTTAGATCCACTTCAAATGCAACTACTACATCATGTGTGTAAATAAAGATGGATGGACGGATCTTACTCTCCACTGTAAGATTGAACTCAGCCAGAGCTTTATCCTCCCACTCCGTAAAGGCCTCGTACAGTCCAGTGTCGTTTTCCTGAAGGTTGTGTACGGTCAAAGACCAATCTGAGGGGTTTAAACTTATTTTTTCCCTGAAAACAGGTGCAACTTTTTCTGAGCGTGAAATCAACCCTTTCCTGCCGATTCGTCTCCATACAACTTGTGAATGGTTTCCACGACTGATGCTCAGACGGATCGATTTCCCTTTCAATCCATATCGATTCTCGTGGCATTTAGCTGCAAAATTTGAAGGAATGAAACACAATTTAAGCCCGAATCATCTATTTCATGATGATTCATGAAGTTTAGTATCATCCTACAGTCATAGTGAAACAATGTAAAGAAACTGAGCACTTTTTACGATTAACAACATTTGAATAACACGTTTGTGACACAGTTCTTCTGAAATCAAAACTCCTGGTTTGTGGCTTTGCTGCAGTCATTCGCCTAACGCTGCAGCTCTGTAACTGGTGCATTGCATCAGCCAATCAGAAAGCAGTTTAAAAGTGCAGAACTTGACATTTAAAACTTTTGAAGGATGTCTTATATGTTCACTGCATTTACCTGATCAAAGAATATGTGATCAAAGCATCATTACGCCAGTCTTCAGGGTCACATGATCCTCTAAACATCACTCTAATATGATGATTTGATGCTCAAGAAACATTTTCGGTTGCGCTGCTTGATATTTTTGTGGAAATCATGATACATTTTTTTTCTTTGGTGAATAGAAAGTTTTAACAACATAATTTATTTGAAATATAAATCTTTTGTAACATAACAAATATTTTTACAATACTATTTCTACTATTTTAATACATCTGAATTAAAGTATTTAAAGTCCCCCTGTTGTGAAAATGTTGTTTTAAAGAAAACAATCAGCAGATTATTACTGAAGTGAAAGCACTTAAAAAAATTAAAGTATGGAAAAGTTATGGAAGTTATAATTTACAGTAAATCAAATATACTTTATTAATATATTTTTTATATAAAATAAATATTTTACAAAATATGTTTTATAAAATTACTATAAAATGAAAGCCGTATATCTAACCTATATCTTTTCTAATATCTAATATATCTATTTATGATAACTACTAAAATATGTGATATAATAATAATAATAATAAAAAATAAAAAAAATATATATATATATATGAGGAGTTCAGATGCAAAAGCCTCTAAGTGCCATTTGAAATTTTCTTCTAGAATGATAATTTTTATCAAGCTTATATATTTAAGTTCAGCGATTTCACTTAAATGGCAATGATAATTACCTATTAATTGTTATTTAAGTGAAATTACTGAACTTAAATATACAAGTTTGATAAAAATCATCATTAAAGAAGACAATTTCAAATGGCATTTAGAGGCTTTTGCATCTGAACTCTTCATATATATATAATATATTATACTTTTTAGAGGACTTCTTACCTTACCTTTTAAAACATAATTTTATCTTTTTTTTATTGACAAATACTAATTATGTTTTATTATGAACTTTAAGCACTAAAAACCAAAGTTTCAATTATTAAAAGTGTGTGCGTCAACTTTTTGTGACAAAGGTCAGAAACTCCTGTAACGGCGTTGATTTTTTTGAGGCGCACTCTTGTCATAAATTCATATATTACTGTTTATTCATAATTTGTAAGAATAAAAACAGCGCTAAAATATCTATTTAGGAGTCTTATGGTGCGTTCATGTGCTATGGTAATTATGGTAAATACCAAAAGCTGACGTGGAAAATGCACATGAACACCCCCTCATGTGGTATTTACTACTGGGCAACTCGTAGAATATTTTGATGCACGAGTTGCCGAGATGAGATAACCTTTGAACTTTTCAGAATGGCAAGAGCAAAGCGAGAGTCGTGAATGGTAAAAATATGTACTATTCATGATCTAGATAGAAAATATACAGCATATTATTTACCGTTTGAGTTTTTATAAATCATTTTCTTGCTGTAGCAGATGACTAAAAGCAATCTTATAGTTTCAGCTAAATAGAAGGTCTGGATCTCCATCTTTTTACCACATTACGACAACACAAGCACTTGAACGCAACACACTGGTAAACTGTTGAAGTCGCTGGTGTTTCTGACGAACCACTAAATTCAAATATTTTAAAACATCACTCTAAAAAATACTGGGTTGTTTTAACCCAATTTTGGGTGTTTGTCCATATTTTACCCAAAACTGGGTTAAAACAACCCAGCATTTTTTAGAGTGATGAAGACACTTTTTTCAATGAATTCAACAGGGGACTTTAAAAACTTAATGACCCCAAACTTTTCAGTGATACAACATGCTAAAGACAGTCTGGAAATGGTCCACCATGACGAAAGAGTGATATCAGTTTGGAAACAACACAAGCGGTGTTTAGTGAGAAATATGTCTCAATCTGAACAAGAAACTGTGAGGGAATCTTTAGATTATATTTTGAGCAGGGAAATCCATGATAAAGTAAATTCGTACCTAAACTGAAGCCAAAAATACACAGCAGAAAGAGTTTCATTGCTGTCAGGTCGACTTTGAAGACTGAAATGAGGCTTCCTGTTTTTGCACCTGCAGGCCGGAAACAAAGACAAGTTAAAAAGTCAGCAGAGCGGTTCAGTAAAACAAGCTTTACATAAAGAGCATCTTTAAAAATGTCTATTTCAACATCTCATTAACACTATAGCCTCAGACTGCTTCTGTAAAGCACTAATAAAATAGAAAATATAGCAATATAAAATGAGAGATTATTTCTAATCGCTCATTTAAGTAATTAAATGAGGGGGTGTTAAGGTATGCAGTTAGCAGAGCGTATCAGTGTGATTTGTTTGCCAATTCTAGTGGAAAATCTGAATCTCCAGAGGTTTTTCAGTGCTTTTGAGTCACACACAGCAGAAAAGGTCACCTCCACCAACACATGAAGTTTCATAGTTTAAGTCTCGCCAACTCAATTCACTCCACAAGCAGATATTAAAGATTCTGTGTCATACATCTTCTAAAACATGCAAGTGTGACACAAATTACAAGTATTACACAAAATTATGCAGATAGATAGACTACACCACAAACTGCTAACCCTGCTCAACATGGGAACACTTTACACACTTTAAAGTCTACAAAAAACTGGCATTAGTGCATGTGACGTGTGTTAAATCAGACATAGTTCAGAAACAGAATGCACAAATTAAACACATTATGCACACACTCACATTTCAGTTATGTATGTAATAAATTGATCACATGATGGGAGATTGATAATATCTTACCTGCCAGCTCTGCTGTAGTAAATGTCTTGAACAGGATGAGAGATGAACGAGGGTTTGCACTCACAAATTAATTATAAACTCTTCCTGTTCATTTGCATAACCACCAGTGTCTGTCACATGATACAACCTGATGTCATCCACTCAGAAAACAGCTGGGGTTGTACACTTTTGTCCCTTTAAGGTACTAATATGTACAATTTAGGTGCTAAAATGTAACATTAAGGGACCAATATGCACTCTTTAGGGACAAAAGTGTATCTTTTGAAAAGCTTTTTTTCTGAGAGTGTACGGAAACTCGATGAACAATACACTACAATCTATCTATCTATCTATTACATTGACTAAGATAATATAACACAAAATCATTTAAGCAGCATGACTGTCCAATAAGTTTTTAAACTTTTTGCATTTCATAAACAGCACACATATTCAAATAAGCATTGACACAACAGCAAAAACATCAGTATTGAGTAACAATCTGAAGTGTTTGTATTCTCTGTGTGTACATGTGATTGTTCACATGTGACTTTAATCTTTCATTTTCATGATGCTGGGAATTTTAGGGAATACACAGCGGGAGTTTCTAACACTCCCCTTACACGAGCACAGGTGTTGCGAAAGTGATTTAACACTGTCCGTCGAGCACACAGACCAAATCACCGCGCAACTGCTTCAAAACTTCTCATTTATTAAAAACAGTCATTTGAGATCATTAGCAGTTAAAGTGATGAAAGTCCAGTTCTGAAAGTGACTAAACACAAAACACAAGTTTCCTTACAGCCACAGTTAAAGACAGGCAAAATGTGCTTAATCAACCAAAGCCTTTCTTTATCAAAAACGTACGCCATCTCATATAATAATAATAATAATAATAATAATAATGTGTTTTAAGTGGTTAACAGGGCATTGCTAAGTGGTTTATATCACCAAAAAGATTTTAATTTCAGATAACCTCAAAAATCTGCCCGATTTGAGGAGTTATTCATGTCTGTAACATAAAAAGTGCAGGACAGATTAAGTGTGAAAGCTCAATAAGGTCCGGGGTTTGTTCAAATCACTAACAATAACAAAAAAAAACCCAAAACAAATTATTATAATTATTATTATTCATAGGCACTTTGACTATATATCCATTGCTATAATTCAAAATATATCCTTTCACTCTTCCTCATTCTCGTCACATATAAAAAAAGACCATGTACAGTTAAGATGGACCCAAAGATAATATCAAAAATAATCCCTCCTCCTCGAGTTAAAGTGCTTTTAGTATTGTTAACAAAACATTGCGTTTATTCCAGTGACAAAAGATCAACTATAGGGAGAAAAAAAACTAGATCTTTACCCAAAATAGCTCTATACTGGCACTGTTAGACACAAGATAAAAATCACATAGATGGATTCCAGTCTCTCAATAAGACACGCACAAGTTATTCACGCTAAATGTTGTACCTTCGCTCTATCATTAACTACAGTACAGTGGTTTAAATATTATGATTTTTTTTTTTCAGTCTATGTCATGCAACCTTTCAGTCCATCGTGATCCATCAGCAAAAATAGATCGATATCCACGTGTTTATAAAATCAGGGAATGTCCATCAGAGTTTACAGAGTTGTTCTTCTGAAATGTGTGGCATTGCTACTCTTGGCCACAAGGTGGTGCACTAGTCCATGGCCGTGAGCGGCTCACTCGTGCTGTACGGCCGGCGCTCCTTCCTGTTCTCTCATGTATAAAGCAGCAGATCTGTGTTGAACCATCATTTGATTCCACATGGTCTAATAGTTTAGTAGTTTACAGTATTTTATGTCTGCGACTATGTTCGGAAAGGATCACTAGGATACTGTGCCTCCTTGAAAAGTATTGATGTGCATTATGCAGTGATAAGCATTTCAAATAGTAGTGTTGTCAAATGACCTCATTTAATTCAGCACGTTATTAGTTGAAAACAATTAACACGCTTTATTTTTATTGGCCTATAACTTCTGGCAGTCCTAAATACGTTATATTACGTGTTATATCAAGTGCACTACATTGTGGGATACATATCCGAGCGTGCTCTGGTTCTGTCCTGGGTGCGTCTTAAATGGCGTTTACACAACAGTTTAATGCGTTTCGGCCGTTAATAGCGTTTTGGGGTCCTGAACACGCAAACTATTGAAAACGCTTTTGAAAATTATACCATTATCGTCTCCGACGTGTAAATTACAAAAAATGCGAATACGTGAAAACGGTGACATAAAGTGTAGTGTTTGTTTGCAAAGTGGCATTGCCATCTACTGGCCTGGCCGCAGAATACAGCGTGTTTATTAATCGTTTTCTCAGATCCGTGTGAACGGTCGTCTGTACGTGAAAAACCCGTTAAAAATTGTTGTATATCGTTGTCATGTAAACAATATATCAATCAGTTACCTATAGCTCCCGAGCTTGAGAATCAGTAGAGGACTCTTGTTAACTTACACACTGTGTGTACGACATCATCTCTCGTTCACTCCACTAATAGAGTTCCGAAGTGATGACGTCACTTTGTAGGACAACTCGGAAGCTAGCGGCGCATGGGTTCCCTCGGTCGAAAAGCAATGCATTTTCCCCATAGACTTTTGGAAAATCGCAAAAAATAATATCTGTGTTTTAACAAAGGTTTGTGGCCCTTACACGTTTTGTCTATCAAGATAATCTTTACAAGTTAATCCAAAATGTATACATTTTGAAGCCTATATAAAGATAAAAAAAAAATACAAGCAGACACAATAAAGTTAAAAAAACACAAGCAGGTTATAACTGTGTGTTTTATGTCATAGATCAAAACGTGAAAATGTTTAGAGGCTCTGTTCACCACAGACCTTATTTCAGGCGATTTAGCAAAAACCCATTCAAAAATCCCATACACTTTAGAGTGAGGGAACCGGGAGTGCTAAAATGCTAACTCACTTCTGCGTTTCGGCCTACAGAGTGACGTCGTAACTTCGACACTCTATATAGTCCGCTTGACAGAGTGAATTAAAACGAGTGAGTGCATTCGGAGCAGACACTGAGTGCTGGAAAGTTAATCAACACTTAGAAAACTGGCAACTCCAGCAATAATGAAAAGATTTGCGTCATGGAAACTATGTATAAACCTTAATTAAATTATTTAATAAGCGATTAAAAAGGAATTCATCCCTGTATGATATTACGCTGGACCAAATGGAAAGTGGATGGATGTTTGATTCAGCGGCGGCGCCATCTTCTGGTGGCAAGTCATTTGACACGCAAATCTCAGTGCATTATTGGTTTTCTCTAGCCGTTGAGCGTACATCAGTTGTAAATCGTAGTGCATTATGGGATTGAATGAGTGCACTCGATAATGTCCACTATAGTTTCAGACACCAATACAAATGGCCGCTCAGACAGTGGCCTAATTAGGGTATAGGGGACTCCCTGATCAGTGCCCTGACTACTGAACTAGGAGCTGATTTACCCGTTTCCACCAAAGCATTTTGAGAGCCGGTGCCTACTCGCGAACCAGTTCTTTGCGTTTCGACAGCCAAAGAACCGGTTCTCGGCCAGGAAAATTGGTTTGGTGCAAAAGCCAAAACCAGAGAACCGTTCTTTTACCACGTCACCCTTACGTCGGGGGCTGAGGGCGGGGTTACCAACAACACGACGGGAAAGGTAGTGATCGCCATTTCTAAAAACACAGTGCTAGTAGAAAGACAGTCTGACCCAAATATTGGATCACAAAGCCAGGAGAAACATTTGCAGAAAGACGATATAATCCGCCATTGTAATTGTTATGCTTAAAGTTGTCACAAGCGTTTCAGGGAACAACATGACATCATGACTTTTGCGTAAACATACACGCCACTTTCGAGTCAAGAGGCGTGTTATCTCTACGCATTTTGAGCTATCCGCGTGTATGTCTACGCCATTAACGTCCGAGTGATTCCGCGTGTCCGTACACGCCGTCAAATGTCCGCGCGAAACGAAGCAAAATGTAGATCTACATCTGGGGAGCGATCTTTTTTTTTTTCCTAAGATGGTAAGGGAACAGTCATAAATGCCATTAACCCCAGTGACGGTTAGCTTTAGCGACGGGGTTGAGGTAAGTCATATATTTATATATACATTAATAACGTTAAGTCAACGGCCCTCATAAACACGCTGAAAAGCGATTATGCGTCTTGATAGCACGCCAAAAATGGAAATACGAATTGGTGTGTCATACACACGCTACTTCATGAGATCAGTCTGCAGGGAAAGCTAAGACGTATGGTGACGTACACAGTGACGTAACAACGTCATTCGCTGGGCTCTTGTCAGTGGAAAACTAACAGGTTCTGAGTTGAACAGCACCAGTTCCGAACCAGTTCTTCTTTGATGGAAAAGGGGTAATTGAGACGCACCCACCAGGTGAGAGAAACCTGCCTAGGGCGAAAGACCCTCATGACCAAATGAAATATCTGGTGAGTGTGGTAAAAGATAATGAAAATAACGTAGGCCTACGCTAAACCCAACGTATAGTGTGAGAAAAAGCAAACATGAGGGACAAGCGCATTGCTGAATCATCAGAAAGCCACACATATGGAGCTGATTAAGTCATGCAAACATCTAAATATATTCGTTGGTACTATGGTAAAGATGTTTTACATCGTACCGTGCAAAAATGAGTCTTTATGAACACATAATCTGCTCCTGTAATTGTAATTTACATGAAAAGGAATCAAACTTGTGTTCTGCTCATAGAGAAACCGGTCAAGAGTAGTATGCTAGTGTGCTCTTCCGAACATAGCCGCTCTCTTTCTCTTCTCTATTACATGCTTGCATGCCAGTGTATTTCAGCGCTAGCCAACTCTGCTGGCACGCTACCTAATAAAACAGGTAAGCTCAGTGGCATCGAAAAAAAAAAAAAAAGTTGGCTAACGCTGAATCAAACGAGTACTCAAGCAGTTTATCTCCATCAGATCCCTTTCTCAGTCATTCATCTCTCTCTAGACGTTACTAATGCGGACGCTATGCTGGTCTCGGACACGCCCCCTTTCCCGCCCCCTTTCCTCCCGGTAGCTCTCCTCCAATCGCATCTTCTCCGTGTCCTGGCCTCCGCCGCCGCTGCCCTGATGCTGCGGAGACTGTGTGCCGCCGGGAGGCGGGGTTTGTTTAAAAACGGGCAGGGTCTTGGTCTTGGCAACCTTGTCAAAAAAGGCAAAATCTGCTACATACTTTCCAGAGGGCGAGAGGGAGACGACGGGGGGGAACTCGTAGCCCCACAGGATCTCGTCGGGCAGGTAAGAGGTGCGCACCTGGCACGTGGCCGAGGTCGGCTCTACGGTAGCACTCATGATCACCAGCAGCTCGAAGTCAGCCATCTCCGGATCTGTCCAGCCACCACCTTAGAAGGACACGTAGAGAATCAGACTTACAGTAGCGTACAGTTTCCTTCATCATTTACTGAAGCTCTCGTGTCATAAAGCAAACTTGCTCTGTCATGAATAGCTCGATATCCCATGTTTTATTACATGCATATTCGGGTTTAGAACTACGGAGGCGTATTGCATTCACTTGAAGAAAAAAAATCTACTTTGTTTTTCTGAATTAATGAGTTAGTTTTTCCTGAGAAAAAAAATGTGCTCTGTTTTTCTGAATTAATGAGTTAGTTTTTCTTGAGAAAAAAAAGTTTGCTCTGTTTTTCTGAATTAATGAGTTAGTTTTTCTTGAGAAAAAAAGTTTTTGCTCTGTTTTTCTGAATTAATGAGTTAGTTTTTCTTGAGGAAAAAAAGTTTTTGCTCTGTTTTTCTGAATTAATGAGTTAATTTTTCATGAGAAAAAAAATTTGCTCTGTTTTTCTGAATTAATGAGTTAGTTTTTCTTTACTCATTAATTCAGAAAAACAGAGCAAAACATTTTTTCTCATGAAAAATTAACTCGTTAATTCAGACAAACAGAGCAAAACATTTTTTCTCATGAAAAATTAACTCATTAATTCAGAAAAACAGAGCAAAAAAAATTTTTCTCATGAAAAATTAACTCATTAATTCAGAAAAACAGAGTAGATTTTTTTTCTTCAAGTGAATGCAATACGCCTCTGTATAGAACAACATGGGGTGAGTAAAAAAACTGGGTGAATGATTCCTTTAAAACTAAGAAAGCCGCTCACAAATTTTTCAAAAGATGTGCATGAATCCCTTTACAATAAAAGCCGACACCATTTGCATCCAATCAGACAGCAGCGAGACATGTAGATAGTTTAACACAATTCAGAATAAAAATGGTGTGCAAGGAAACTTATGACTCGTACCAGCAGAAATAATACAAATGCAAATGCCTTCAATCGTAAACATGCCATTCACCCACTGACACACACACACACACACCTGCATCAACATCCCACATTCAGAGCAAGAGACTGTCATCTGTGAAAACAGTCTCTCCTTTAACCCAGAGCAAAAAAAAAAAAAAACATGGGGTTTCATAATCCACAAACACACTAGATCACTTCATCATGCTCACAAACATTTGGCAAAGTGTGTTTCTGGAATGCATACACATTCACATTCAAATATATCCAATGCATTGACGTATGAACACTTAGACATGTCATTGCATTAGATATTGCATTATAAATATTGATCATTAGTCATTACTCTACAGAATTAATCCCTAAAACATGTAAGAGCTGTATTGTTTTAGTGTTAATGCTAAAACAACAGATGACAAATGGTGTGAAATTTTCTAAGACCCCCAGGGGCCGGCGGTGTGTTCCCACAGATCTGATGTGGCGTCTGACTGTGTCTTTTTTATTGCGTTTGAGAATATGGGTCAGTCCTTACTTTTCTTCTTACCTTACTCGTACTTTTCTTCTATTAAAGTATCATAAATAAGTAAACATAGTACATGACTAATGCACTAAAATGCACTCACTTGACATGAAAAGCTGTATTTATTAAGATATATTTCAGGATAACAATATTTTCACTGCATGGACAATAGTAGGAGGAACATCTCCTTTTGTATTGCACAGAGGAGAGAAAGTGACACAGGTTTGGAACGACATGAGAGGGAGTGAACTTTGAATATTTCTTTATTTCAGTAGGACAGCTCAACACACACTGCTCTCGTTTGAGCTAGGGCTGCACGATATTGGAAAAAAAAGGTATTGCGATATTTTGGTTTTTCTGCAATATATATTGCGATATGGAAAATTTGAATACTTAATAGATCCTCAATAATACATTTTAATTAATTAATGTATTAATTTGTAGAATTATCGGGGTAATTTTGTTGGGGTCTGAATCTGTATTGAAATTTATTTTTTAATTAAAATAATTTGAAAAAATTATTGAGCAACTCGAACCTCTTTCAGTGACCATAAAGTGAAAAGATTGAGAGAAAAAAAAAACTTTCCACTGAGGTTTCCCACATTCCCAAAGATTTTGACACATTCAATAGGCCAATATTAATTTGATTTAAAAAAAGCAAAATAAGAAATTATAATATTGTACTATAAAGTATAAAAAACAGTATTTAATAACACAAAAATTGTATTGCATAGTACAATATAGTACAATGTATAGTACTAATATTGCATACTATTTTTCATATACGAGGCTAATCCCAATCCCAGACTAAAAGGCATGTTTGAGCTTCTTTAACTTAAACCAACGTGTACTGAAATATCTAAAAATATATCAGTGCAATTGTTGTTTTAGTTTTTTCAAGATTCACACCAGTAAAGTTTTTTTTCTAAGACACATTTAAAAAAAAAAAATGATCTCCTAATTTAACTAAGGTCTAATCCTGGCTCAATCTAAACATCCAAAGTAATTTGACTACTGCATTAAAGCAGTTCATCCAAAAATAAAATTCCACGTTCCACACCTATACGACTTTGGTTAATATTCGAAACACACTCAGATGCTTCACCATGGTAAGCAAAACTTTATAAGATGAACACATCTTATTTAAGCTTTTATTTACATCTAAACAATGATGGACATAGAGATCATCATGTCTGGTAAACACAGAAGCTCAAACGTGCGTGTGACGCACAAGAACCAATAAGGTTTGTAGCATGTGATGAACACACAAGTGCAAGTGTTTATACACTGTAAAAAATATTTTCAAGATTTGTTATCACAACATATTTTCTTTTGTCAAATCAACTTTATAATAATTTATTTAGTTGAGATATCTTATTATTTTGAGTTTCTGATGATTAAATTAATCTCCTTCATTGTAGTAACTCACTTTTTCCAGTTCAATCAACTTAAAATTTTAAGTCCAATCCAACTTTATTTCTATAGCACATTTTATAAATAGGAAGTTTCCAAAGTGCTGCACAGATGATTCATACATCCAGATCAATTAGCATATAATAAAAACAAATAACAAAATAAAAACATCTCAGTCCAAGAATACAATAAAATAATAACAGACATCAAAAGACCACACAAGTCAACCCAGGTTACTTACTTTTTCAAGTTAAACCAACACTATTTTTTTACAGTGTATGTGAATAAAATCAATACAATAAATCTGCTCATATCTCTGTACAAAACAGATTCATTAAGCTCGATTCGACAACTTTAGATCTTCTAAATTGTGTTTACCTTGAACTGTCAAAAAATATATATATCTTAACTAGTGTTTCGCAAGATTAACCAATATCTTATGGGTTTGTAATGACAAAAGGGTAAATAAATGATGCCAGGATTTCATTTTTCAGGTGAGGTTGGGTCATTTTTCCAGCTATCATTTCTAATTGTGCATCTCTAATGTGAAACTACAGTCTTTGCAAACCCCTCGGCAGGGACTCAAGCATGTTGATGGGTGATTGTCCTGTTCAGTGGTTCATATGGCTGTAAAGTCCCGCACGCAGAGGCCCGTGTCTCCCGTCCTCAGCCTCTTACACAAACACAATGCCACATTCAGCACACGGGCACACTGTGCATTTCAGGGTTTTAACTATAGATTCACACACACACGTACGTTTACACACACAGCCACTCATGCATTTACAGATTTAGACTGTAACGCGGCGACACGCTTTCGCACACGTTTTTAAACCCAGTGGCAGTTCTTCTTTGAGATCCATTCATGTGCAAATGCGCTTCCAAGGGCGGGTTGTGAATCGCTACTTCTACTTCATATTAAAGTTATGGTCGACATACTGTACAAAAACAGAGACATTTCTAGTTTGACAAGATGACACGGGAGTTTCGTTTGGATTAGGTAGCATTAGGCGTAAGTGGGGTCTATTAAGTATAACCCTATACCGTATAATCCGACTACAGTCAATTACACCTAGAGTGCAGACCCGATGAGAAACATGCATTGAGGAAGACACTAAACAAATACACACAGAGATGCACAACATACAGGAAAAACCATAGATGTGCGAGATGAGAGTCGTATTCAGTGCAAACGCGGGGACCGGAGGGTCTGATAGCTTGGGCCCTCGATGGGGTAAAGACTGGGACCGTAACTGGATCCACGACCTGCGTGTCAGCACCAGGAACTGGGCTGCTTTGTGCCTCTAATGAGACGCTCTGGCACGCTCTCATACACGCATTCCAGCCAAAGAGAGCCAATGTATAAAAGAAAGAGGGATGGGGGACTGATAAAGCTAGGTTTGCTGGGGAGGGGGGGGGGTAAAAGAGGGAAAATGAGATGGAGGGAGGAAGACATGAAAAACGCAGCTCATCTGCCAATGATAGAAACCCCGAGTTCCTGTAAACATGCCCCCCTCACCGAAGTCATTATTACATTTTCTACAACTCGCGCTAAAACTTGGTGAGAACGTGAAATCTGCTTCTGTCTTTTAACCTCCAATAATTCAATTCAAATTTTTGCAGTGTTTCCCACAAAGGATTTCTATAATTCCCGAACTCCAAAAAACCCCAGTCTTCCTTGTTTTACAAGCTGAGAAAGGCCACAAAATCCATTAAAAACCATCAAAACAGACCAAATAAGCTGTTATTTTTTAAGCTGTTATCTCACTAATTAAGCGTTCACTTTTTAAAAAAAATAATAATGCTGATAATTTACTCACCCCCATGTCATTCAAGATGTCCATGTCTTTCTTTCTTCAGTCGAAAAGAAATTAAGGTTTTTGATGAAAACATTCCAGGATTTTCTCCATATAATGGACTTCAATGGGGACCAAACGGTTCAAGGTCCAAAAGACAGTTTCAGTGCAAACTGTTCAAAGGGCTTTAAACGATTCCAGACGATGAATAAGGGTCTTATCAAGCGAAAAGATCGCTCATTTAATAAATAAATAACAAAGTTTAAGTTTTATAAGCACAAATGCTCACCTTGCTCTGTTCTGTGATGCGCGTTCGTGAATCTCCTATTCTAACTCGTTCATCAAAATGAACGAATCTTTTCCTG